CTGCTGCCACCGCACCACTGCCACACGATTTCTGTTCTCATCCTGAAGCAAAGTTCTTAACCCGAGGTACTATTTCTGGGTTAGCGGAGTCTGTAACCTGAAGCGTCTGTAACCCGAAGCGTCTGTAACCCGAGGTACCACTGTATCGCTAATAGGCATTTATAAAGTATACACAAAGTACTGAGTATATTTACATTCATTTATTTTTTGTGCTGGGATATAGTAAATGTCATGTCCACGTGACCACTGTTGCATGGGCAGCTGTTGCGCACCACGTCAGAGCACTGGCGCATCTAGCTCAGCACAGAGTGGCAGCAGCTCTCCAGGGCTTTGGCAGGAGTGTTTCCCTACCCTATTCAGAGATGTGGGATGTTGAACCTGGGACCTTCAGTGTGCAAGGCATGCGCCGTCCCGTAAGAGTAACATTACATTAATACAGTATGTATGGGCTTTTGCACTGAGCTACTGCACCATCTCTGGAGCTTTGATTGGCTTCTGTCCAGCAGAATGCTGCAGTGTTATAGGAAAATGTAGGGAATATGGCACAGTATGGCCTTGACGTTTGTCAGGAGAATCTTCTGGTCCAGACACAAAAGGAAAATAGCCCTAAGACACACCGGAATGAGTCATGCATGAAATGATAAAAGCTGTCTCACATCTGTCTCACATAGTTAAGAGGAATTATTTTTACCCATTTAGGACCTACTTTTAGCAATTGTTAAGTACAAAGAAACTTGTGCAGTGCACAAACCCTAGACCATGGGCAAGGCAGCAGAAAGCCAGTGCACCAGAACAAAATGTAAGGAGAAAATCTTACTGTGATCTCAGTCATTCCTACTCAAGCTCAGCTCATGACAGCGATCAATTATAATCCACAAATCCTCTCAGCCATGTCAGAGACTAGCTATCCATGTCCCTCTAGTATTTATAAACATTTCTTTCTTTCACATAGTGCTTTATCTTTTTATTCATTACATTTCATTTTTCAATTTCCAGTTAAGTGTTTTGAGGTCTAAATGGCATTTTTAACAGATACACCTACCCACCTGTGTAGCTTAAGTTTAATCACAGGTAAGAGTTACATTAGGGCATGGGAATGAGGATGTGGATAATACACCAATCAACTTTGCATATTATTCACATCCTCATACAGCACCCACCTGTAAGCAAACTTAAACATGTGCAAGGGACGGAGGAAATTGCATATGGCTATCCTATTTATGCATGCCTGCACTTCCTTCCCATTCCTCTGTGTGCCACAAAAATAATTTTAAGTTATAAGCTCCTCTTGTACTCGATAAAATGCCACAAGCACTGATGGTGCTATCAGTGCAAATGCTGAAAGAAAAGAACCATGTAGAATTCACTTTGTTTCTTCTTCTGATAAATTCATTTATGATTCATTAAGCCCACCAGAGGAGCTCCTTCATACATGCAGATATTCTAATATACACACTCACTAACTCACATTTCCCCACCTACAATATCAGAGCAGCTCCAATATCAGAGCAGCTCCAAATGCACATCTCCCAATGAACACAAGTCAAGAGCAGGCTATGATCTTCATAGGGGATGTGAAGTTGGAGCTGCTGTGGTCTATAGTCAATAGTAAGGCTCATTTGTGTGAGCAACGAGGACGCAACTAACTTTGGATCAATCTCGTAGTGTGTCTCCAATCAGCTGGGCAACATAATATCTGTTATTTGCCAAAAGGAATTTCAACTGGAACTGTGACAAAAGCCTTTCTTTATATACTTTGGTAATCGTGTGTCCTGCTGTTTCCTGTATGTTTCCTTTCTGGTTTTCAGGACATCCGACAGCTCCTTATTCATCCAGCTGGTTCTCTTATGAGCCCTTCTTATCTTTCCTTTGCATCAGAGCAGCCTGAAGTTATGCATCTGATAAAATCTCCTTCTAGAGCAACTATCAGTTTAGACACGTTTCCCTCTTAGTTGTTGGGTTATTGTTTTTTTAAAAAAAATACTATGGGGCATGAACATCTCTGCAAAGCCCCAGTTGAAATCTTCTGGGGTTTTTGGGTCTTTTTTGTATAACTCTCTTTACTCTGCTGCCTTCAACTTTTATTAATATGGGTAGTTCCATTTCATGTGTCATATCAAAACCAAACCAATATATCCATTCACTTTCCTTCCTTTCTAGGTGTCCTATTCAAAACTGTCTTTTAGGAATGTGTGAAGAACCTAGGGCACCATGGACATAATCCAGCAAGTTAATTTACATACATTCAAAAATGAAGGATACATTTGGATTTCTTAGAATGCCATAAGGACTGCTTCCCCTGGATAGTTTTCTCTCCTCCCTTTCAGACAGAAAAAGTGTGTGCATCACACACATTTTGTGCTTTTTCCTATGAGGTCTGGTAAATGTCATATCCAGTAGAATTCAGATAGCTCCTCTTGAAATTGAAGAATTTTAGACACTCCCCACAACCATCAAATTAGAATTTACACATGAATCTTCATTATTTTTCCACTGGCAACAAAACCATCCACAAATGATCCCTTTTAAAAAAAAATTATGAGAAGCAAAAGAATCCATTAGTGGTATACAGCTAATGTTTACTCAGAGTAGACCCATAGAAATAAATGAACATTACTGAGTTAGGCCCATTACTTTCAATGGATCTACTCTGAGTGTAGCTCAGTGGAATACCACCTCATGTTTTTGTGCCATACCAAATCTGTGATCTGTATGGTTCAGTCAATGGAAACAGATGTAAGATGTGATTTGATGGCGGGGGTGGGTGGTGGGTAACTGTGAAAATATTGTGCAATTTCAACAGCATCCATTTTTCTAATGCCTTCTCACTCTCTGGCACTCTCTCCATCTCTAGCCTGACTCCTGCAGTGTTTTGGAGGGAGGTGACAAAAAATCAGTCCTCCTGTCAGGGAAATATCTCCTTACTCACCCAGTGTTAAGATATCCCACCCTCTCCTTCTTTAGCAGAGTTTGTCTTTTCATCCAGTGAAGTAAACAGCTCACATATATACATGAAACCAAGCCTTAACAGTAGAATATGTAACTGATGACCTGAAGGAAGGGGCTGATTCTAGAGTACAGCATTAAAGCCCCACACCCTAGAGGCCAGGTATTCCATTAATCAAATTAGCCTTCAGTGCTTTTCCTATATGCAGCACCGACATGCTCACCGCTGGTCCGTCCAATCTTCTCCCCTTGCAGTCTCCCAGATTGTTCCTCTTTCCCACCCACTCTCAATTCATCAGTGCAGGGGCCAGTCCGAGCTGTGGAAAGTGCATGGAGCTAGAAGAGGAAGTGGGAAGAACAGCACTGCTCTTCTGATTTCCTCCTTTGGTTTTCTGTATATTTCGAGGGGGCAGTAACTGACGTCCCATGACAAAGGAGGCAATGCAGGGTGGGGCTTATGGGTATCAGGGGACTCCTCAAAGGCACCATGTTGGTGACATCAGTATGAAGAATGACCACCATTTCCCCAGGTGGTGCAGATAGGATATTCTTGACATCTTTTTGCTCATTTATCTCAGCGGCTTACAAATAATCCACCCTTATAAAACCCTTTCCATAGCAACTTCTCTGTTTATGGACACCAGCGCCACCTCCAGAAGGTTGTTGTTTGGGGGGAGGGCCTTGGGCAAGATGCTGTCAGCAGAAAAGCCTTGTCTCACTGTGGAACAGGCCACTAGTACTATTTTGTCACTGCTCTCTCCCAAGAGAGTGGACAAAGAAGTGAGCAGTGATTGAGGCAAAGAGGAGCTCCTGCTTGTTTGCCGTTTTCTCTTCTTTGGGGTAGTGATGGGAACTTGGTTTCACTGCCATCCAGAAAGGGAGGGAAAGAGGTCAATCAAATTAGTATATCCATCTCACATTTTCTTTAAACCCATGAATGCTCCTATGATGCACGTGTGAAGATCTCTTTTTCCTTTTACAATTGTCCTTCTTTCACAAAATAGGTAAAGAATAATGTTTCTAGAAAGTTTCTCAAATGTGAAGGCACAGAAAAATATTGGCATCCGAGATGAGGTACTGCTGTGCTGTCCTCCTGCTCTGAGTGCTGCAGCTGCTCCCTGGGGCTGGGGTAAGATGAGGCAGCAGAAATACTGGGGGTGGGGTGGGGGTGGAGGCAGCCTCAAGTGCAGTGTGTGCTTGGTTGTGGCATGTGTGCAGTGCCTCACCAGTTTATTTGGTTTGCATGTGTACCCATGGGCCCAAGAAGGTTGGGGACTCCTGAGCTGCCATAAGCTACTGGTTGAAGTAAAAAGGTAAAGGACCCCTGGACAGTTAAGTCCAGTCAAAGGCAACTATGGAGTTACGGCGCTCATCTTGCTTTCAGGCTGAGGGAGCCGGCGTTTGTCCACAGAAAATTTGTGGGTCATGTGGCCAGCATGACTAAACCGCTTCCGGCACAACGGAACACCCTGACGGAAACCAGAGTGCATGGAAATGCTGGCCGTTTATCTTTCTGTCGCAGCAGTACCTATTTATCTACTTGCATTAGTGTGCTTTCGAACTGCTAGGTTGATAGGAGCTGGGACAGAGGAACGGGAGCTCAACCTGTCACGGGGATTGGAACCACTGACCTTCTGATCGGCAAGCCCAAGAGGCGCAATGTGTTGGAGTACAACACACAGGCCAATCCCATGCATATTTATTCAGAAATCTCACTAAATTCAGTGGGCTTTACTTCCGCTTCCAGTGGAGGAATGCCTAATCGTTAATTCTGAATTCTTCTTAGATTGTTGCAAATGCACGTGTAACAGCTGCAGACGTGACATATTAAAATCCAGGATCCGAGAAACCGACTCCCGGCCGGATTCGAGTTCAGTGCCCAAGGAACACGACAGAAACAGAAGCAGCTGAGCGTTGCTCACTGTGTAACTCATTAACCGGGGCAGTTCCCTTCCCCCACCCTCTTCACCCTTCACAAAAATGTTAATCCCCTGCGGCTAAGCCCTCAGAAACCCCTGCTAGGAGGTATGTTTTCTTTTCCATCCTTGTACCAGATGCCTGCCAGCGAGTCCCCCTCTTCCTCCCCACCCCCGGGGCCGGCCTTGCGCTTCCAGCTCACAAGGGGAAGAGCACCGCTGGCGGGGCGAGAGGGCAGATCTCCACCAGCGAATGGCAAGAGGCAACGGAAAGCAGCCCCAGAGCCCCCCTGGTGAGGATGGCAGGGTGAAGAGGCAGCGCAGCATTGCGCCCCTTCATTTAGGGAGCAAGACAGCACTGCGTTCCACGGGGCTTACTCGCGGGTAAACGTGCCCAGGATTTGCAGCCTTGGTCTCCCCTTCCCTCCGCGGGAGAGAGAGAGAGAGAAGTTCTCGCCAATCCCACTTGCAGCCCCCATAAACATCCCTCACAACAGTACAAAAGCGCGTGATTTGATCCCCATCGCGGGCTCCCCGCGGCGGAGTCTCGAACCCGCAGCCCCGAGCCTCCGGGGCGGGAGAGAAGGACGCGAGGCAGCGGCCCAGTCCTTGCCGCGCGGTGCATTGTGGGCCACGCACTGTTGTGTGCAGGAGCCGCGGAGGCTGCCGGGAGCGGCGGGAGGCGGCGACGAAACTCTGAACGGCGGCGGCGGCGGCGGCGCGGAGCAGGAGGAGGCGGCGGCGGCGGCTGAGGGCCCGGCTTGGGAGGCAGCAGCGGCGGCCGGACTCGCTCAGCTTCTCCTCGGCTCCACCAGCGGGACCCTACCGGGCCAGAGGCCGCCGCCGCGGGACGGAGGAGCGCCGAGAGAGCAGCAGCAGCGCCAGCGCCGCCGCCGCCGTGGCCACCTCGGATGCGGAGGTGGCGGCAGGAGGAGGCGGAGCGACCTGCGGGTGGGAAGGCCGGGCTCGAGGGTGAGGGGCGCTCGCCTCTCTCCGCCGAGGCCTCCGGGGAAGGGAAGCGAAGCCCCACCTTCCTGCCCCCTCTTCTTCTCCTGGTGAGGGGGGAACCTCCGAGGAGAAGCAGCTCAACTTCGGGCTCCCCCGCACCCACTCCCAACTTTTCAGCCGCTTCTGCGTTTTATTGGTTTCTCCATCCAATTTCTACACTTTGGGGTGGGGATTAAGGATTGGGGCTGCTCCCCCCCTTTTTTAAACTTCCAGGGAAGATGCCCAGAACGGTTTCTGCGCCCTCTTGAAGCTTCCCTACCGCACACGCCGCCACCCACCGCCGCCTCTCTCTGAAAGAAAACAACCAACAACCCGCTTAAGAGGAATTATAAATGCGGGACAAGAGACCCGAGAAGCTGAAAGAAGGAAAAGTTCCTGCTCTGCCTAACGAGAGGCGGGTTGGAGGAGCGCCCTCCCAGCTCCTGCGGGAATAGAGAAGTTCTCCCAACTTTTTTTGTATCTTCGGGTTTTTTTAAGTAGCGCCATCGTGACCTAAAGTGAGCTTTGTATACTGTGCACTGTTGATTGATTGTCGGCCTAGAAGCACTGAAAACAGTTGGCCCTTTTTTTTTGGCCACACGCTTCTCCTAACCTGGCTTTTTTTGTAAGCCAGGATTAGATAGGAAGGGAGCTTGCTTGAAGACTGGGTTGTTCCGTATCTGTTTCTTTACCCCAGAGGACGATATTATCTTGCTGCTGCTGCTGCTCCTGTTGGACCATCTCCTTTTCCAAGCAAGATTATTTATCCTCTTGTTTGCGGTTCAAGGATTATTTAATGAATGGATTTTGTAGTCAAGCTGGATGGCTGCTCTACCATTTGAAATGTTTTTGGAAATCATGCCGAGTTGCTGAAAAGAGCTGATATTGCTGGAAAATTTTAGCCTCTGGCAAAGCCTTTTTTGTTCACCGACCAAGGTAAATGAAACAATGGAAGCTTATAAATTATTTTAGTTAGCAGCTATAAAACATGAGATAACTAAGAGAAAAGTAACTACATACATTCCACTTTGATTATGTTGATTAATGCCTAAGAATTATAAATGAAGTTTTTCATTATATTATATAATCATAAACGTATGGGGAGTGGAATTGGTGCCATTGCATGGCCCTTGAGAAAATTGCTTGCTTATGTTTAGCTCAGTCTTTATGAACATCTAAGGAAGGATAAAGGACTTTATTAGATGAACTCCTTAATTTGGTTGGCTTTAACAGAAAGTTAGCTGTTCAGTTTTGTCAGGGAACAGACACATTTACTCAGTTTTTTTGGTACTTTTTGTAATGCTGTACTGAAGTGTATATGTCCACATACATATTAAAACTTAAAGAGCTATACAGTCACTATTATTAAAATAGTTTAACATGTGCTTTGATGCTTTTGTATTTTGTTCCCATGGTGGCTTTTTGTGATGCATTGTAGGGTCTAGTGATGCTGTATTGCTGTTAGTGCTTTGATCTTCTGCTTGTTCATGAGGTTGCTTTTTGTGTTGTACTTCCTAAGAACCTGCCTGCTTATTAATTATCCAACTGCAAAAAGGCTCTAATGCTACTTTAATGGCAACAAATTTCTGTAATGGAGATTGTGCAGCTACAATACGTAATAAGCTCATGTAGACAGTAAAACCTAGCTAGCTTTCATGAGGGCAGAGGACAGTTTTAAGAACCTGGGGGTACCTATTTTTGCATATAATTGATTGTAGTTCTACTGTAGATCTTTGATTTTATATGCATCATAAGCTTGCTTTTAAGTTTTGTACCAGATACAGGATAGAATGCATGCTCTTTAAATCAACGCATTTACATTGCTTAATAACTACTGCCTGTGGTTCTATACTTGCAATGCAGATTAGATTTCCTTATCTCACCCACAAATATGTGGGTGATTCACCCCTATGCCTCTAATAACTTCAACAGGATAAAGTGTGTTGAACAATTGTGTTAAGTGAATCTGAGGACCTTTAAGGCATTTGGTTTTGTCAGGTTAGAGGTAATGTAGCATAAGAATCTTGTTAGAAGTAGCAAGTTAGAAAATGAGGTATTGTGTTAGCAGTTAGTACTAGTAATACATATTTGTTTTATACTTAGCTCATAAACGTCATTTGACGTGACACAGTTGTAAAGACACTGATAACAAACCTCCACTGCTACATTCAGATAAGTTAAAGAGGTTGTGGGGTACTTGATGTCATTGGGGGAGACCATTGCACATAAAAGCTCTGTTACTCTGGATTTGTATTTTTTGCCATGTTAATGGTATAACTAAATGTCTTAAATTTCATTTCAAGATGATGTGCGAGGTGATGCCAACTATCAGTGAGGCAGAGATTCCCTCAGGGGGAAGTGGAAGCCATGGTTCAGGTTCGCCTCTACAGTCGGATGCTGATTCCCATTTCGAGCAATTAATGGTATCCATGTTGGAGGAACGAGATCGCCTTTTGGACACACTGCGAGAGACTCAAGAGACACTAGCATTAACACAGGGTAAACTACATGAAGTTGGTCATGAAAGGGATTCTCTACAACGACAGCTTAATACTGCACTGCCACAGGTATGTTTTTTTAATATATATATATATATAAACAAGCAAACCTTGATATCATTAAACTTTAGATCACTGTCTTCAGGAATTAACATGTGAGTTAAATGAAACACTTTAAAGAGCCCATAGCATGATTTTTTCCTTTGCTTAGTGAAATAATATAGGAAATAAGAGACAAAAAGTTTAATGTGAGCAGGAAAACTTTGAAGGTTGCTTCATACTGCACTGTTGTTGCAGGATAGACTCTCAGAACCTTGCAAATTTAGCTTTAGGTGGCTTTTTAGCTTTTTTAGAAGTAACAGTTTGTAATCAAGGTGGCCAGCAAGATTTCTAAGGCTAGAATAAGCAAACCTTTTGTGTAAGGTTTGTAGTAGTGTAAGTAGAGTGGTGGTGTTGCAGTGTAAATTGACAGAATTGATTGGCATTAAAGGTGAATTGCTTTACTCTTAAAGATATCTAGGGTTCATCTTTAGAGAGGTGGAATTAAGCACATATAGAATCTGAGCAGCAACTGGAGGGATTACAAATTTTAAAAAACTACAATTCTGGTTGTGCCCCTATTATTTCTTAAGAGTGGGAGAGGGAGAATCTAGAGGTGTCAAACATAGTGAACCACTGTTCTTCTCCATATTAAGAAATTGTCATCTTGATCATTCTCTGTGCCAGGAGAGAGCTGTAGCAGCAGTCATAGTTTGCAGTCAGGTTTCTATAGATCAGAAAACAAGCACATTATGGCCCCACCCCTGCACCCTTTGTGTCCTTTTCTCCTGTCAAAGGCTGGACTATCCTATTAACAGCAGCTGCCAGACACTATTCTGTTAGGCTCTCTAGCAAAATAGTGAGCCACTCAAGTGCTAGGGTATCCCTTTCTTTCTCCTGATAAAGAAAAAGCCCAACCTACCTGTAAGAGTTACTGGTCCCAGGATATGTGAGCATCAGAGCTCAGTGGGGTTTTGGACCACGTCTGTGGTCACCAGATGTAGTTGACTCAGTCAGTTGCTGGCATACAATAAGTTTAAGACTTCTGTAATATAGAATCCCTCCAGTTAATGCCAGAAGAAATAGCAACAGATGATTGATCTTTAATAAAAAGGTAAAGGACCTCTGCCATGTCAAGTCCAGTCGCGAACGACTCTGGGGTTGCAGCGCTCATCTCACTTTACTAGCCGAGGGAGCCGATGTTTGTCTGCAGACAGTTTTTCCGGGTCATGTGGCAAGCCACTTCTGGCAAAACCAGAGCAGCGCATGGAAACGCCGTTTACCTTTCTGCCGGAGCGGTACCTATTTATCTACTTGCACTTTGACGTGCTTTCGAACTGCTAGGTTGGCAGGAGCTGGGACCGAACAATGGGAGCTCACCCTGTTGCGGGGATTCGAACCATAGAGTACATGCAAAAGGTCCCATATTCAGTCCCGGTATCTCCAGGTAGTACAAGGAGAAACCCTTGTCTGAAACCATGGAGAGCCACTGGCAGTTATTGTCAACAATACTACGCTAGAGGGATGAGTATCCGGGTGGGACCCCTAAATGGCTTGTGATCCAACAACCTAAACAGAGAGCCTCTGCCAATATCAACTGATCTCAGGCCCTATGATTGGCAGGGGAGACAGGAAATGGCAATAGCTCTCCATGGTTTCGGGTGAGGGTCTCTCTCGGTTCTACCTGGAGATACTTGGGATTGAACCTGGGATCTTTTGCATGGAAAGCATGTTCTCTTCTCTATTGCTGAGCTATAGCCCTTCCCATTAAAAAGCTTCTTATGTTCCTTTCTTAACTGAACCATCATACCTACTTCTGAGATTTGGAGCTGGTTAACTACTTGTTGCCCTTGTGCTGCTTCAGTATTAAGTCTCCTCAGATTATTTGGTGTGTGTTTTTTTAAGCTGCCACTTAAATACTGACATGTGTTGAGCTTTAATGGAATGCAGCGTCTGCAGAGAAAAGCTCCTTATTTTGGCTGTAGTCTTAAATGAGAACACAATGCATTTGTTATATGTAATTGTTAGAAGAGGATATTTAAGGCTTTCTCTCCCACAGGGATATGTTGGGGGAGGGGGAGGGTGTATCAGTTTAAGAAGTTACTTTGGAGACTGCCAGGGGAGAGAAACAATAGGATTTTATTTTTGTTTGTATATATGTAAATAAAGAAGCAAGTAGCCCAACTATAGCCAACCTCTTGTCAAGTATGCTACAAGTTGATTCCACTGCATAAGACAATACCTCTCTAATAATTGGCATGAGATTACAGTAATATGTTTAACAAACAGTCTTGTGGCACCTTAAAGATGAAGTAATTTACTCTGACATAAGTTTTTGTGGACTTATTTGTCTTAAAGATGCAACAGGACTCTGTTTTTGTTTTAAGAGACTAACACTTGTACTCCACTGGGCATGGAACAAATTTTACATCATTACGATCTAAAATAATCAGTACTCAAAAACACCACAAGAAAAGCAAGAAAATAGAAATAGTTTTTCCTTATGTTGGGTCAGATCAGAAAGTAAATAGTCCCTGTAGATCAGTGTAACAAAGGGTCTCAAATCCAGTTTCACTGATGCTAACAAAACACTGAAAATTCAACCTAGAGCCTGATTATATTCAAAGTTTGAACATGGTGAAGCCACTTGGCATTCTTGCTTGCTGTAGAGATTGTTAGAACAACTTTATTTAAAGCAGAGATGGGGAACCTGAGGCTCTCCAGATACTGGGTTGCAACTATGTGTCATCCCTGACCATTGGTCATGCTGGCAAGGGCAAATGGAGTTGGAGTCCAGTAACATATAGACAACCTCAGGTTCCTCATCCCTAGTGTAGGGATAATTTTCATAAATAAATAGCATTACACTGAGAATTTTGATATATTGTTTGCTAGACTCTATATTGTTTGCATTTGGACTTCTTTGGTTGTGCATATGGTTGGCTTAATGAAAGTTGAAGATTTAGAGAGGCAATCCTATTGGTTCCTCCCTCCTTCAGAGGGAGTGTAACCCCATCAAGAGCAGGCAACCTACTATCCATCCAGTCTAGGGAACCACGCACTAACAGTGCCTCAGTCTTAAAGGCAAGCATGTTTTTTAAATGCTTGAAGACAAGAATGGAAATGCTTCTCCAGACTAATTTGTGGCCATTCTTTTAAAAACTTATGCTTAAAGCCAGTGTTAGAAACTGAGATATGAAACCTAGGAGCTAAACGGCACCTTAAACCTAGGTTATGGGTGCAACAACGGAATGTCTAGGCGCACTTTTTATAACAAGAATACAAAGCTGAAAATGAATGAACTGCAACTAAAATCTTATATTCATTTTCCATATGGTCTAGTCCTCATCTGAAGACTGCAAAAAACAAATAATATAATAATAATAATAATTTATTTATATCCCGCCCTCCCCAGGCTCAGAGCGGCTAACAACAGTAGAAGTAATACAGCATTCTAAAACCAATTCAAAATCAAATTAATGGCAACCATTGGACTAGAGTTCTATGAGGATTACCAAAGGAGGGGGTCAGGCTGTGCCTTGGCCAAAGGCCTGGTGGAACAGCTCTGTCTTGCAGGCCCTGCGGAAAGATGTCAAGTCCTGCAGGGCCCTAGTCTCTTGTGACAGAGCGTTCCACCAGATTGGGGCCACATCGAAAAAGCCCTGGCTCTGGTTGAGGGCAGCCTAACCTCCCTGTGGCTTGGGACCTCCAATATGTTTTTATTTGAAGACCGTAAGGTCCTCCATGGGACATACCAGGAGAGGCGGTCCCGTAGGTACGAGAGTCCTAGGCCGTATAGGGCTTTAAAGGTTAAAACCAGCACCTTAAATATGATCCTGTACTCCACCAGGAGCCAGTGCAGCTGGTATAGCACCGGGTGAATGTGATCTCGCAGCGAAGACCTCGTAAGGAGTCTTGCTGCAGCATTCTGCACCTGCTGGAGTTTCTGGGTCAGTCTCAAGGGCAGCCCCATGTAGAGTGCTTCCCCTGCCTGCCCCCATAATATTCTTAAGATGGTCTCTTCTCCAGTCTTCAGAGAGTGGCTGGAAGTGGGGCGGCAGAAGAAGGCCCTCCTTTCCTTCCAATCTGCAGCTTTAATCTCATATCTTAGGCACAGTACTGTGCTCAGAGCTCAGAAACTGCTCATGCTAATGAAATTCCTTGTCTCAAAACGCTTAGAACAATGGGAATTTTGAATGCTGCTTAAAGCCTAGGAAATAAGTTAATGGGTGAATCAAATTCACATGTCTAATTTTAACCTGGACAATGTGTCATGTTGTTTGGATACTCAGCTATTCGTTTCTTTAATATATAGAGGAAAACGACACGAGGGAAACTAGAGGCAACTTATCTAACTTGGTGCTCAGTGCCTAAAGACTACATGTTTTCATAATCACATACAGCTAAACAAGCAAAATACCAAAATAAAAAATGGCAACAACTAAAACTGTACCCATTACCTCTTGAAATTAAGTGCAATATGTATTGAATACATAGGTATGATATTAGGGGTATGTGTTATTGTTGGTTAGTGCATGAAAGTTAGTGTTAAATAGTTTTTATGTGTTTGGTTCTACAATGATACATTTCACCACTAAATACATATTTATTTAATCTACAACACATGGTGTATTTGTGCACCTGTACTTACAAGCAGAGCTTGTTGGAGGCCAGGGGCAGGAGTCTTGTTAGAATAAAGTTATCAACTCAAACGAAAAAAGCAGATGGTCCCTGACGGGGCCTCCTGGCTGGCTTAGACCTTGGAGGCCTAGGGCAAGTGTACCTGGCTGCACTTCCCTTCATGGACCTGCTTACAAGTGAATGAAAAATCAGGAAAAATTTTTTTTTCTTGACATGCAGTTACTAAAATAGGCTTTGGAATTAGTGAAACAATTTTTAAATTGCAGGCACAGAGAGTTGCACTTCTTTATAGGCCTGCAGGATGAGTAATCTCAAGCAGTACTGATTAAGTTGTTGTAAAAGAAATGGTCATAATTGCTGTTACACGACTAATTATAGTGATTTGCTTGTGACACATAACATGAACTCTGCAGAAAAGAATGTTAAAATGTAAAAGGCTTGAATGCCCTTGTATCAGTGTCCCTTCATGTTATTCTAATACAGTGGTACCTCTGGTTATGTACTTAATTCGTTCTGGAGGTCCATTCTTAACCTGAAACTGTTCTTAACCTGAAGCCCCACTTTAGCTAATGGGCCCTCCTGCTGCTGCCGCTGCGCGATTTCTGTTCTCATCCTGAAGCAAAGTTCTTAACCTGAGGTACTATTTCTGGGTTAGCGGAGTCTGTAACCTGAAGCGTATGTAACCCGAGGTACCACTGTAGTGCAGAACATGCAATACATTTGTCCAAATAGCTATTAACCTCTATTATATTCTAAAATGCTGAAAAAGGTTTAGTGTAAGCTTCCAATGTGGTCTTTTTTTAAATAAATAGGCTGTTTTTTCCAGAATTTGATTGATTTGTTTGATTTAGAATTTCTCCAACTAGGCTTTGCTGTGAATTTTTGTACCCTGGATAAAGAAGGTTGAATCACAGCAAGTAAGCTGTTAAATGTAGGAACTCTTTTAGGATTAGCCTCTGTGGCATAGATCCCTTTAATGTTTAGGCATATTCTCCCCTTACCTACACAAGTTCTGATGGGAAAGAAGACTTCTGTCCACAGCCATCAACAAGTACCTCAAAATATCTCTATTTAGGCCTACACCATGCCAGCTAAGCTGTGAGCATGCTGAGGCTGCCCTGTGGTATCAACGTGTTACAACCTACAAATGTTTTGCCTGCTTCTAGAATCGGTCCCTGCCTGTCTTCTTTCACGATGGCTCAGGTCAGCATGAATTGAGCTCTCTAAAACTTGTAAACTTCTCTATGGCCATGTGGTATGCTTTTGCATTACAGCTGTTGTTAAATAACACAATTAGAAAGAGATATGGAATACACTGCTGTGTTTCTTGAAGAGGAAGAATCTTTTCTCACAGGTGTGGGCCTCTCCCACTGTTGATGAGTAATCCATATTCTTAAGAGGCTGGAGCAACTCCCCTACCAAGAAAAGTTACAACATTTGGGTCTTTTTAGTATGGAACCTGATAAAGATTCAGGACAGGCAAAAGGATGTAGTTAGTGCTTCATGTAGTACAGGAGTGGGGAACCTTTGGCCCTCTATGTGTTGCTGAACTTGAAACTCCCACTAGCCCCAGTAAGCATAGCTGATGAGCAGGGATGAAATGAATTTAAGTTCAGCAACATCTGGAGGGCCAAAGGTTCCACACCCCTGACATATTGCACAGGTAAACCCCCACGGGATGTAGTAATGGCCACCAACTTGCGTGGCTTTAACATAAATGCTGGCAAATTCACAAAAGAGAAGACTATTGGTGGCTCCTGATCACAATAGCTGTTCACTGCCTCCAGTATCAGAGACTGTATGCCTCTGAATCCCAGTTGCTTGAGAGCCTGTGAGAGAGTACTGTTGTACTCATGTCCTGATTGCAGGAATCCCATAGATATCTGATTGGCCACTGTGGAAACAGGATGCTGTATTAAACGGCTCTTTGGCCTGATCCAGCATATCTCTTCTTACATTCTTGGTACATGCAGATGTTGTTTCCCAGAGTGCCAGGCAGGGGTGGATCTACTATGAAACTAATGAAGCTTAAGCTTCAGGGCCTCTAATCCCAGAGGAGGCCCTGAAGTGACTTTAGTCCACATTGCTTAAAAAAATGGGGTTTAGTAGACCCAATTTGAGTCTCATGACTCAATTTTGTGTTATATATATTACAACAATTTCAAAGTTTGAAAGTCAGTAGCACAGATGTTGTAAAGGTGTGGTGATCTGTCATGGAACAACTCAATTGAAGAAGATAACAGTGGTTACCCAGACCTTGTGGCTGGTTGTGAAGGGACCCCCATAATGGTTCAAGCGTTAGGGCCCCCAAAATGTAGGTCCCCCACTGGTGCCAGGGCCCAGTAGTGTGCTATGAGAAGCTAGTTTTTGCGCTATGAGAAATTAAATATTCTTTTAAGCCTAAAGAACCCAATGGCACATTCAGTTCCCTATTTCATCTTTGCAGAATTGACTGCTCTAGTCTTGCCTCCTTCCATTTGGCCTCCGCAGGTCATGTAATCCTGACATTGGTTCTAAATGCATTTGGCCAATTCAACACCTCCCAATGTAGTGAAGCAGCATAATTGCTCATACTTAGAGGAGGCTTTCTATTAAGTTTCTGCATTAGTCACTGTTCTAGGCATGGCTCCTTCTAGTTAGGTGATAATCCCAGAATGGTGAGTCATGCAGAAATGTGTAAAGACAGTTCCACTGATGGTGTATAATTCTTGCTGTTAACTATATATAATGAATGGGCCACCAGCTGTTAATGAATTGCAATTTAATCATTCGTCAACATTTGCTATGCCGGCTGGGGCAGATATAGGATGTAGTCCAACAACACGTATGGAGAGCAACAAGTTGTCCACCCCTTCTCTAAAACATAATACAGTGGTACCTCTGGATGCGAATGGGATCCGTTCCGGAGCCCCGTTCACATCCAGAAGCGAACGCAACCTGCACGTGCGCGGGTCGCGATTCACCGCTTACACGCATGCGCGTGACGTCATTTTGACCGTCTGCGCATGCGTGAGCGGCGAAACCCAGAAGTAACGTGCTCCGTTACTTCCGGGTCGCCGCAGCGCGTAACCTGAAAATACTTATCTCAAAATTACTTCAACCTGAGGTATGACTGTATTTTCTTAGGGTGCAAGTGTAAAGTGTTCTTATTCTAGGAGAGGGGGAAAGAAGTGGCTCTGCCATCAGTAGTTTTGTGAAGCACTGGGCCAAATATGGAAAAAAGTTTAAACACAACATTTATTCTAGCTATTGTAGGTATTACATTGTTTTAGATGTTGGATATAAAAATGATTATAGTGATGAACGCAGTCTAAACCTTACACCTCCAAATAACTACACAGCTTGTTTCAGGAACTGTTCCTGCTGAAAATTTCCTTGCTTACAAGTATACAGGGATGATAATTGAGTACATTTTGAACTGCCGTGAAAGAGGTGGCTAAATTCTTGTTTATGAAGTTGGAGGTTACGAAATGTATTTGCATTCTAAGCAGTAATGAACTTGAAAGCTGTAAATGCAGACGGGAGTTTACAACTTACAGGGTGGCCAAGTTCTTTCAGTAATTTGAAGACTTTCAGATGTTATCTGTGTCAACACCTAATTGCAATATTTAAAGCACATTTCCCAGTAAAATGTAATTGGTTTGCACCCGATTTAGAGTGTCATCATGCATTGAAAGCTACTATCACTGGCAAAGTTGTATGGCTCCTGTCTTTTGTGAAAAAACAGCTAGGACAAGGTATTCTTAATTCGGCGTCCCCAAACATTGAAAACATCAATAAAACATGTAACCAACCTCCTGATCACAAATGCCTGATACTGCATAACCCTGTAGCAGAATTCTAGATCTTCTTCCTCTCTCAAAGTGATGACTCTTATTTTTTGCACTTTGGAACAGTTCATGAGCAGCTTGTAAGTCATTAAAGTATTTTAGTTGCCATCCTTCTTCTGCCTGTTGTTTTTGGGAAGCAAGTTTTGTTTAATGTAGTTTAAATAAACTTAATTGTTGTATTAACAAAACTTTAGAAGTAGAAGTAGCACTAGAATCCTTTGTCTGTTCTTTGTCCCAAAGTGTCATGTCAGCTGCTCTGTTCTTCCCGTAGATGTCTGATTTTTTATGTGCTTGATAGTGGGCATTGCCTAGGATAGCTAGAAACAAGGAGCTACATCAAAAGTAGCTAGACATGCCAGCAAGCACTTAAACACTGCATTTTCTAATTATTATTTTTGTATTTGGCAAGTGTTAAATCTGCAGAATGTCCGAAAGTTTAATTCCAGAGTGCCAGCTAGCATTACTGTATTGAACAGTGTGTGCTTGGCGTTCCACAAAATGCAAAAAAAGGTTCTTGCTTAAAGAAGCTTATAGTTCAGCAACATTTACCTCAAAATAATTTAGTCTTCAATGTGCATATAATGGTTATTGCCTTTTAATTGTGATGGCTCAGCAAAAATGCAGAATTCTAGTGAAATCTGAAAAAAGGATCTTAAACAACTGGCACAGGGGGTAGAAAGAAAAGGTATCATGAGCGAATGACAAATGCTATCCCAGAACAGTTAATTCCAGTTTTGTCAGTTAGGAGTGAAATGCAGTCAATGCTTTTAACTACTTCAAAGAATCATTTAAAATTAGGTGGGCCGTTGTGGTTTTTTCCTACTCAGAATTTGTAGAAATAGAAGTACTGGGTATTTCATTTAATATGTATATTCTACTTTGCAGTGTGCATTGAGCAGAGCTGTGATTTAGGGAAAGTTCCCTGCTCACAAGTACTGCAGATAAATGCCTACAGCCTTACAAGATCAGCTGCCAACCAAAACACACTATAGGAGAGTGAATGTTTCTATTGTGAAATCCTGGCATACTTTTCTCCATGGGCCCCAGGACCATTTGATTTCACTGAGGGGAACTGTGGAGAAAAAGCCTAATGAGAAATTCAGAACTCTTGGTGCTGAAAAGTCAAATGTAGGCCACTAGAATATGTAAAGCATACTTGTTTCTAGAACGCATTCATAAGGAAAAATGTAGTTGCCACAGGCATTTTTTAGTAAGTTTTCCAATAGTTTTATATTTGCAGTGGTGAGAGGATTTTTGAGACGATACCTCTGGCCATCAAATAGAACAAGAGGTTTTCTGTTGATCAATTGACTGGGGTTTTTAAAACAGGTTTAACAAACAAACAATTATATTGCCAAACAATGTTTTGTTTTGTTTTTTTAAAAGGCATTAACATTATAGGAGCAAAGAAGATAATCACCAACAGATTAGATAGCTACGTTAATTACAAAAACCAAATACAGCGGTACCTCGGGTTACAGACGCTTCAGGTTACAGACTCCGCTAACCCAGAAATAGTACCTCGGGTTAAGAACTTTGCTTCAGGGTGAGAACTGAAATCACGCAGCGACAGCAGGAGGCCCCATTAGCTAAAGTGGTACCTCAGGTTAAGAACAGTTTCAGGTTAAGAACAGACCTCCAAAATGAATTAAGTTCTTAACCTGAGGTACAACTTTAGCTGTTACTGTGTAACTATGACATTAACAGGGCTCAGGGTAGTGTACATGGATCTCCCACTGTCCTGTTAGTTTAATAGTTGGAAAAAACCTATGGTATAGGTTAGGTTGAGCATATGATTGCTGAATGAGTAATGGCCGAGTCCAGGTTTAAATGCAAGTGCCCCTGTTCCTAGCCTTATACTCTATCCTCTAAGTCAGTGGTTTCCAAAAAGGGGGGTCCATGGTCCTATCCCTTGCCTTCCCCCCAACTAGTTTTTTGTCATTTTTGTGCATTTTTTTCAATATATTGGCCAAAATATTTTTGAAATCACACCACGATAACAATTTTGACCCAGCGATACGCAACAATATATTGCTTCTCGTGCAAGGGAGAGCAGGGAAGCCGGTTTCAAGGCACCGCTGATCTGAACTGCCTTCCCTCACGCTGAGGGAGACCAGGGCAGCTGATCGCCCTCACTTCAAGGCACCGTGGCACTACCATCCCCTGGCACTGAGGTGAAACAGTGTTTCTCAGTCAGCAGGAAAGCAGCAGCAGGCACAGTGGATATTCATCTTCACTGGCTGTCACTGCTGGCTGCCCCATGGACAATGGCTTGATCTCCGTGGCTGCTCCTTCCCTCATCCTCACGCCTGGAATCTCCAATTTCAGACATCATGATATATCAGAATACTGCAATGTTGAAAATGCCGCTGATATATCACAATGTTGAAAACCAGATATCGCTCAGCCCTAGTCTGTTTTTTAGTGTAACTAAAATCCTTTGCTTATTAGGGGCTACCCACATTTTGTTCAAAAAATTGCTTTGCAGAGGTAACTACCATAGAGTTATCAAAATTTTCAAAAGTAGGGAGTCCAAGGCTTGGCTTTTGAAAAAGAGGGGGTCCTCTGTAATCAGCTAATTAGGAACCCCTGCTCTAGGTAGTAATAACTGTGTTCTTGTTTGAATGTACTATACAGTGGTACCTCGGGTTAAGAACTTAATTCATTCTGGAGGTCCATTCTTAAGCTGAAACTGTTCTTAACCTGAGGTACCACTTTAGCTAATGGGGCCTCCCGCTGCCGCCGTGCCACCGCTGTGCGATTTCTCTTCTCATCCTGAAGCAAAGTTCTTAACCCGTGGTACTATTTCTGGGTTAGCAGAGTCTGTAACCTGAAGCGTATGTAACCCGAGGTACCACTGTAATGTTATAGTAGGTAGTGGGAAAAGATTTGCTGTGGTACTGGGTTTGCCCCTGAGTCTTTGAATGCTAGAGGCTGTGCTCCCTTTGCTATCACAGGACAGCACAGTGAAATACAAAAGGTCAGCTGACATCCAGACAGTGACATTTTTGGCATATTTGATAATATTTGACTGGTATCAAATAGACCAGGGGTCAGCAACCTTTTTCAGCCGTGGGCTGGTCCACCATCTCTCAGACCATGCGGTGGGCCGGACTATATTTTGAAGAAAAAAATGAATGAATTCCTGTGCCCCACAAATAACCCAGAGATGCATTTAAAATAAAAGGACACATTCTATTAATGTAAAAACACGCTGATTCCTGGACCGTCCACGGGCTGGATTGAGAAGGCGATTGGGCCACATCCAGCCCACGGGCCTTAGGTTGCCTACCCCTGAAATAGACTGTCAGTTGTCCGGTGTGTCAATCCTACCCTAGCAGCAACTTTGGCCTGTGTTATAGCTGGAATGTGTTGTGGGAAAGCATGTTTGATTATGTGATGCTTCCTGGAATTATCTAATTTGTATGCACAGCAGTATTTCAACTGTTCTACAGTATGTTTTTTGCTGTTCATTTTGAAAGAGTCCATTTTTAAAAATAAGTAATTGATATCTTTGTGTTCTCAAAATAGTTCATGAGATATGCTTATTTTTATCTGTAAAGATAAAGTCAGAAGTCTAATTGAATAAAAATATGCAAAGCATCTGCAAGCAGTAGAATGACACATGGTTCTACTGTTTGCATCTGGTGTAAATCCAAGAAGTACCCTTGGACAGATTACTGTCTCCAATATGGCGTCAGAAAGTGGTGGGAAGCTAATTTAAGATCATTCATCTAGTAGTGCTGTCATTTTCCAGTAATATATACCAAGCTTTTGTACTGGAAAAAAACATTTGTATCCAGAAGTGTTGTAATGCTTTAGTTACAGAATACTACAGTTTCAGTCATCCTAAAACCCAATTTCCAAGATAGCAAGAATGAAGAATGTTTAAAGTAGTTGCCATAAATACTCATAAAAAATTCAGTCAGAAAGATGAAGAAACGAGTCCCACTCTTTAGGTATAAAGAAATTTAATTGAGTTAAATATTTTTACCTGCACATTCCTCAACTTATTCTGTATTATGTCCCCACATCAGTCAAATTGAGGAAATATATTTTAGATTTCACTCAAAATGTGTTTCATTCAGTCAGTTAACTTTGGACCTGCAGTTTCATAATAGAACACTAACATTTCTAAAGAAGATCTATTGAAGCTTGACAATCACCTCAGTTAAGCTAAGGAAATCTACTATTGTAAATGATCTTGCATGTGCTTATAACTGGCTATGCATATTTGAACGCTCTTGTAAATGATCTTGCATGTGCATATAACTTGCTAGGCATATATGAAATATACAACACAGGATGTGGTTTATTGCTGAAAACATTACAATAATTTGTTTTTAGTCATCATAAGAAGCATTGTTGCCTAGCTGGCAACATAAGTGTTTTGAAATACATTGAAAAGAAAATATTGCTTTGAGTTGCATTCTATTCAAATGCTTGACAGAATGGCATTTCTATCCAAGTTCTTGTTACACTTTTACAGCTTGTTCATATGTGACTAGAGAAGCTTTAGGGTCAAAGTATATTATTGTTAATTTGCTAGCGTATTAAACATTAGGTGGAGTATAATATAGTTAGCCCCCTTGGACTCATGGAAGGGGTTTCCTCCAGCAGATACCAGATCGAAGGTGCAGATTAAATCTGGCTGCTTATGAGTCTCCCATTCTAGATGCAAAATGAATGGTATAAAGTAACACAAAAGAAGAAGGGAAAGCATGCATGACTTTTAAATTTAGTCAAAAGGCTTTTATAATCTTAGATTCTAGATTTTTTAAAAAATGCATGTTTCATTGTTTTCTGCTCGTAACATATACCGTATTTTTCGCTCTATAGGACGCATAGGACGCACCAGACCATAGGAGGGGGAGAACAGGGGAAAAAAAGTCTCCCCCTCTCTGCTCAGCGCCCCTTCAGCAAAGCGGTAGGAGAAATGGAGCCCCTTCCATTTCTCCTGCCGCTTCGCTGAAGGGGCGCTGCGCAAAGAGGGGGATATTTTTTTTTCTTGTTCTCCCCCTCTAAAACAAGGTGCGTTCTGTGCGTTCAAGGTGTGTTCACCCAAAGCCTCTGGAGCCCAGCGGGAGTTCCTTTCGACCTGCTCTTTGGGGCTGGCGGGGGGAAGCGCTGCTTTCCCCCACCGCCAGCCCCATAGACCAGGTCGGGGCGCACCGCCTTCCTGCTGCTCCCCGAGCTTGTGGGGCTGGCGGTGGGGGGAAGCGTTGCAGCCTTCCCCCCACCTTCGTACAGCCTTCATAGCTTCTGCAGGGCAGCGGGGTGAAGGTACCCCGCTGCCCTGCGGAGGCTTTGCGCAGACATCCGCAAGCTAGAACAGCGAGACGGAGCGCTCCTCAGCGCTCCGTCTCCCTGTTCTGGCTTTGGGCTTAGCCGCGCAGCCTGCATTCACTCTATAGGACGCACACACATTTCCCCTTAATTTTTGGAGGGGAAAAAGTGTGTCCTATAGAGCGAAAAATACGGTACATGCTAAAAAGATGCATGCATCTTTGGTTAGATTTTCTTTATTTATAAAAAATGTTTATATACCATTATGTCATTAAAAAAAAATCAAAGCAGTTTAGAACAGTAAAACATAAAACTACAATATAAACCATATTAAAAGTTAAAAACAGACATCAATTAAGCATTGTGGAAAGATGTATTCAAACTGCCTATTTGGGCCTGGCAGAATAGAAAATTTTCAGCATGCATTTAAAAGTTGTTTTGTATTCTTTGTTTTATAGAATATATATAATAATGTTATGTTACTAAGCAATTAAAAAAAAACACCAAGAAAAAATTTACAATCCCCCCAAGCATGCATTTAAAAGTTGTCACAAAAGGTGCCTGCTGAATCACTATTGGCAGAGTATTCCGCCAATGATCGGGGTGATGGAAGTTGTAATTCGACAACACTTGGAGGCTAACCCTGTCATAAAATGTTTGTTAAATAATGTGGTCGTACTACTTTGATGAAACTACATCTAAGTCTAAAAAGCATTGCCATCCAAATTGGTATTTGTAAACTATATGGAATGTGTGTTAATGTTTTCTATATTAAAGTGACAGGCCATATATTCACACAGATGGAATGTATATGTACACCCCACCCTTCTAATGTATAGTCATTACTTAGGACAGCTTGCCGCAGTCAAGGTCATCTATATAATACAATAACACTTAATAAAATAGCCATTTAAAGTACAAGAGAGACAAACTGAGCAGATAAAATGGTCATTAGATAGAAACATTATCTACTGAGTTGGAACAGAAGCCTCCTGAAACAAAAAAATAATAATCCTGAACTATTCAACAAAAATAACAAGGGGGAGTCCAGCTGAATCTGAAAGCTAGACTATAGACAAGAAATATCTTGGAAGTAGGGGCATGAGCTAAATCCTTTATAACCTCAGTTAGAATGGAAGGCCACCACCTGTACAGCAGTAAAGATCAGCCTTGTTATATAAACTTTCTACATAGGATAGCTGAATGAGCTCCACAAATGCTTTCCTGATTACCTTCTTGATCTTCAGTGTTCTGTTATGCAATCAGAAGTCTGTGGTGCGACTGAAACGGCAATATAGGATACATCCCTATTCTAAAAGAGAGGTGGAAACCTCAAGCCCAGCTGCTGAATGTGACCCTCCAACCCCACCCCACCCTTTACGTGGCCCTTGGAACTCTCCATGGGCTGCAACTCTCACTAGTCTTCCTTCATACCCTCCTTGAGGCAGGTGGGTGCATTTAGAAACCCCTGGCTTCTGTGTGGCTGGGAGCTATCTTATTGTACAAAGGTTAAGAGGCATATCCATTATTCTACCCACTTTTGCCTTGGACCACACACACACCTTTGTCTCCAGGTTTGCCCATTATTCTCCTAAAATATGATCCTTAGACTCCCCCTCCCCCAACTTAGGGCTAGGAAATTATTTTTCCTAAGACAATCCATTGCAAGCCTAACTATGACCATAATAAGAGGAGGCAAGAGTTACAACCATGCGGCCAATTTTTGTTGTAAGTGTAGCGCTTGTCCTTTTCTGGTTTTGGTAGATCTTTGAGCAAGATCCCCTAAGTTGGGATACTTCTTCTGGCCTTCAGTTACTGTTGCTCGTACACTAACCCTCTTTCTCCTGGTCCAGTCTAGATAGCTAGCAAGAGAGAGTGGACAAGGTGAAGTGGAGATTACTCCTCTTCCTCTTGTCACTGCCTGCTCTCTTAGAGAGGACTGATGGCTGTGCAGCAACAGCAAGGAGTAGCAGAACTGGACCAGAAAGCTTGCTGAGGCAATAACCTTGGCAGGTGTTTGATGACATGGACTCCTGACAACAAACATAGGGTAGAACACACATTTTTTTTTGTTTTTTTTAATTAATATTTATTAAGTTTTCAAAGAATAACAACAAAAATTTCCAAAAAAATTGAAAATACAAAAAGCAAAAACGATAAAGAAATAAAAAAGAAAAAAACCAACCATAAAGAAAAAAAGAAAAAAAGAAAAAAAGAAAAACAAAAGTATAAAATCATTTATGATCTCTATTAACTTCCTTTCTAGACTTCCTCCTCCTCCCCTCTCTTGTTTCTTACTTTTTAATTTTTACCGCAAATCCTTTCTGTTTTTTCATAACATTCTATCATTACATTTCCTTATTCTATTTTCCCTCTTGTCATATAAAAACTTTAAAACTCAAAGCTTATATTCAGTATTTACCAAATTCTTACATCATTACCTTTTGCAAATCATTTACCAATCCTTACTTAAGCCATATAGTTTCATTCAACATCTTTCAAACATTTATGAACGTTCCCAATATTGAAAAATAGAAAAATAAAATAAGATAATAAGTCAGACACAATCCAGTCAACTTCCAGCGCCCTCCCCTGGACCCGGGATTGTCAGTCCTTTTAACCTCAATAGTCCGGCTCCTTAACCTGGTTGTCTCGTGTCCGAGGCCCTCAAATCTCTTTCTTGCCCCTTTCGCAGCTCTTCTTGATGTTTCCCTTTCAGTCGTGGGTACTCCAGCAGAAAGATACTTTTGACCCTTTGCAACAAGTCCATCCCATGCCCATTGTCCAAGCCAGACAGCAGATAATACCACTTCAAGTTTCCTTGAAACTTGGAGGCTCCGACTACTCCAATCCTCTGATGGCCCATCACCAGACTCGGAAAGTCCAGATAACCATATAAAGGGGGGTCAATCCATCCCCCATTTCCAAATCTAACCACATTTCATCTTTCCGAATCTGATTTATCCCAAGTTCATTTATCAAGTTCAAAGGCTGATCCTGCCGGTCCAAAGGTCCCTCCATCTCTGAAGCCTCCATCACTACAGCAGGTTCATATACTTGTAGATATTTTAACTGAGTTCCATTTACTTGCTGCTGTGCTCTGGTAACTTCCGTCATCAAGGTCGTCTCCTGACGCATCTGGTCCAGCTGGGCACTTAGTTTTGAAAAACCTTCCAGGAACATTTGTTCAAGCCTTTGTACAAGCATTGTCCTTCAGGGTCAAAGAAAATTCTTTCCCACGATTATAGTCCTTCACTTTTAAGCTCTCTGCGTTGCAGTTTCACTCAAATCCCACTAGAGGGAAAACCTTTTTTTTCTCTTTTTTTTTATAACGGAGAAAATCATCAGCAACAGTCTTTCTTTTCCAGATACACTTTATCCAAAGTTCCCCTTCAAAATTCAAGAGGCAACAGTAGAGTCACAATGTTACCTTTCTTTTAACTATCTGTCGAGCTGGACAAGCTTCAAGACGTCAGTTCTGACAGCCCGCTCCTGGTTCAGGGCGGTGGAAAATTACTTTGTTTTAAACTCACTTCCGCAGGGTTATAAAGTCCAAAACAACCCCTTCTTCTCCTGCAGTCAAAGGGGGTTCTAGAAATCTTAGGTGTTGAATTCTAGTTCTCTCAGAATTTAATTTTCAAGCTTTAGTATATTTTGTCTTTGCTTTCTTCACGTAACAAAAGAACGGAAGGTTGACTTCCTGCTTAGACCTTCTCATTCCAAGTCCCAATTAAATTCAATTTCAAGTCCAATTTATTTATTTATTCACCAGTCTTAAAAGTAATTCAGCTCTTCCAAGATCAGGTACTCACGGATAGATGTTTTAGATGCCAAATTGTCCCAGGAAAAAGGCAGCGCTCTCCGGAAACGGCAGTGCGGCTTTGCTGCACGAAAGAAGCAGTCGACTCACAGCACCACGCACCTCCCACTCCGGAGCCCGTTACCGGGCTCCTGTACAAGGGGAGAGAGCGCTCACGGTGCCCGCTGAGTCCCACGTCCACAGGCTTCACCCGCCTGTGGGTTTTAAGGGTCCCCGCTGCGCCGTAGCGGTAGGACCCAAGCTTCCGTGCAGCGGGTTCCCTTCAACTTGAAGGGAATTCCGCCATTTTCCGGAGGCGCCACCCCGGAAGTCTAGAACACACATTTTGTTTCCACCAGATGTCTTCAAAACTCAGGAGATGTTTCTCTACCATAAATCAAGGCGAGGTACGTGTGACTTCCAGTGGCTAAGAATTGGGCAAGAAGGTCAATTGTTAATCCTTCTCTTTCTGGGTGCTTTTTTCCTCTCTACCTAGCAAGGGCTCCTAGACTGTGCTTCCATCTGGAAGTGAGTTTGGGGGATTGTAGTTAAGTGAATAGTGAATGGCTTCTTTGCTAGCAGTCTCAGCCTGCTTTAAAGTGGAAAACCTATAGCTGAGTTTTGCAGACAGGCAGTGGAGATGGAATGGGTAGGCCTGCCCTGAAATGTAATGGCAATGCAAGATGCACTGAGCAGGGCTATTACCGTATTTTTCGTCCCATAGGGCGCTCTGGCCCATAGGACGCACCTAGTTTTTTTTTGGGGGGGGGGAAATAAAGGAAAAAAAATTCCCCTTTATTTCCCCCCCAAAACCAGGTCGGGGAACAGCGGGATGGCGGCGCTCCGCCTCCCCGCTGTCCCCCGAGCTTGTGGGCTGCAGGCTGCTGCCCGCAAGCCTTGCGAGCCCGCGGGAACTCCCCCCGGGCGCGCAAGGCTTGTGGATAGCTTCCTGAAGCCTGGAGAGTGAGAGGGGTCGGTGCGCACCGACCTCTCTCGCTCTCCAGGCTTCAGCGAAGCCTGCATTCGCCCCATAGGACGCACACACATTTCCCCTTCATTTTTGGAGGGGAAAAAGTGCATCCTATAGGGCGAAAAATACGGTAAATGAAACAGAATGGTGTAGTAGCAGGTGGGAAATTCATTTTGCTCAGTGGTGGGAGACAGGAGGACTAATTTGCTAACTTTATTACTAGCATTAATATTCTACCATTCTATAAAAATTGAAGTTGGTAGAAGAGGTGAGAGTAGGATTACCTTAGCATAATGCTGCTTTTCTTTTATTTATTGCCTAACATGTAATGCATTTGTTTGGATGTATTAATAATGAATTCATTCTTGTTTGCTTCGATTCTAGGAGTTTGCGGCACTTACTAAAGAACTTAATGTTTGCAGAGAACAACTCCTTGAAAGGGAAGAAGAAATTGCAGAACTGAAAGCAGAACGAAATAATACAAGGGTTAGTTAATTATCTGATATCATTTTGTTGCTATTGCATGCAATGTTGCTCTTGACTTTGCTTTTTAAATTAAAGGGGGAAGTGAATGGATAGAACCTTAAGCTATGCTCTTACCTTTCTGAATATGGTGCTTCTGTGTGATATGTATGTTTGGGATGTGCAAGGCTTGAAAAAATGAATGAATGAATGAATAAATATATAAATTTTATAAATATACAGCCATCAAATCAAAATCAGATAAGCCACAGATTGCACTAATAGGGCAATGTGTATTAACAAGTAAGATGTTATATGCAAGCTGTATTGAGCTAAAAATGCTGCAAACCAGGAAGTTAGTAAATGAATTGTGAGTATGTTTGTGGAAGAGGAAGCATTAACAGCCCAAGGATGACCAAACAGTGTTATTGCCTTGTGTTGCATGCAGACTAACCCAGTACAGTGGTACCTTGGAAGTCGAACGGAATCCGTTCTGGAAGTCCGTTTGACTTCCAAAACATTTGGAAACCAAGGCGCTGCTTCCAGTTGGCTGCAGGAAGCTCCAGCCAGTCGGAAGCTGCGGAAGCCACGTTGGACGTTCGGGTTCCAAAGAACGTTCGCAAACCGGAACACTCACTTCCGGGTTTGCGGCGTTCGGGAGCCAAAACGTTCGACTCACAAGGCGTTCGGGATCCAAGGTACGACTGTATGAATTTATGCTGGGAAATGTAGTAGAGTGGCTCATGGGTGCACGCCTACTACATGTGTGGGAATGGATATCTTCCTTTTGTACCTACATATTCCACACAGTGAATTTTGGTGTTAATTCAGCAAATATGACTCTTGTGTGATAAAGTATGAATTTGTCCTTACCAGTCAAATGTATTTTTCTGAATGCTGAACTCAAGAGTTTCAGAATGAAATTATAATCATAAATTGCCACCAGGTATGATTTCTTGCCAGTATTGCCCATCGTAAGCTTCGGATATAACATTATTTAGCTAAACGTACTGTTTTACTGAGTTCTGGAAATCCCCAGGAGTGCAACCAAAAGCTTGCATGTTTGGACTGGTAGCTCTTGGAGATCTCATCATCTTTACTCCTCCAGGCACAGTTTTGAGAATCAGCTTGAATTTATATTTGGTAGTCAGTGCCAGTAGTTGATTACTTGCCATTGAATCTTTCTAGTTATTCAGGATTAACCCACTTATGTTTCAGTATGGTAATAATAGTATAATTAGAGCATTTGTGATTCAACTGTGTAAAGATTTTTTTTTTTGAAAGTGTCATTGGATTTCCTTTATAAAGCCGAATGAAATGTATCACTGCTCAAGATCTTAGGAATCATCTTTTGACCTTTTGGGTAATCATCAATTTTGTCATTCTCTATTTCACCAAATTAGGGCAATACCACACCAGCAAATTTAGCAGCAAGACAGAGCCATCTAAAAACACAGTAGCAGTTCCTGTCTATTTGGGGAAATTCCCAGTATTCAGGAGTATATTTGTAAACTAAAAGGGAGTAGGGTTAAAAAACCCATATGGCCTAACATGGAACTATTCTCAGCGGCTTCTGCAACTTCTGGAATGATGTGTGTGTGTGTGTGTGTGTGTGTGTGTGTGTGTGTTGGTGTTGGTGGGAGGGAGGAAGGATATAGTATATTGCAGATAAGAGGGAATTGGCCTCTTTGAACCAGGTTGGGGAAGGCAGTCCAGCAACAGCTGAAGGACCATGGGTTAGCCAGTTTTACATGGGAGCTTAAATTCTCATAATGCTGAACTCTGTATCCTTTGTGAAAAACACTGCATAACAATTTTGCTGAATACAATTATAAATGATGCTCAAATTTGCTGTTGTCACTAGTTAAGTAACTTATTGGATCTCAGCTAAAAACACTGCAGGTGATTTATCATTCTATAGGAGACTTTTGCAATTAACTTGCAATTAACTGGGACCTCTGCAAGGAGGAAAGCAGCTGGGGAGGGCAGTTCTTAGGAAAGGCTAAGCATTTCAGTGGATTTGAAGTGGTGAGGATATAAGACATGTAGAGGTAGATTGTGTAGTTTTATCCTTAGTGAGAAGCTTCCCTGGCTATTAAAGGAATCACTATAAAGGCTGAGATTACAAGAGAGCATTGATATATGTAAAAATAAATTGCTGGCAAATTATTTATCTGACTTGAGGAAAAAAGAAAACTTTTGAAAATGTCTTCCTATTCTTTTTGGTTAGCAAAGTACATGGTTTTTTTCCTCAGTTGAATTTGCCATGAAACTTTCTGGGCTACACAATTTTTCAGGCAGTCAAAGTTAAAAGAGATCATTTTTAAGACAAACAGAATTCTGTAACTCATGTGGTCATAAACAATCCATCTTTGCGGGTTTGGGGTGCACATTGCATCATGATTTTATTTTCAAACAATAGCATAGCGTTTCTCTTCAGTTGCTTAGAATGGAATTCATCTGTCTTCCTCATCTAAATTTTGGCTATTTTTCAGCTGCTGTTAGAGCATTTGGAATGTCTTGTCTCCCGGCATGAGCGATCTCTTAGAATGACTGTAGTAAAGAGACAGGCTCAATCTCCAGCAGGCGTTTCTAGTGAAGTAGAAGTTCTCAAAGCACTAAAATCCCTATTTGAACACCACAAAGCCCTTGATGAAAAGGTAAATGTACTGAGTGCATTGTTTATTATTTGAGAAATGTAGTTATACATTTGAGAAATGTATAATAAATGGTTATGGCAAACTAATTAAGCGCATTAGTGTAAAAACAGTCTGTCGTTCAAAATTACTCATGTAATGCAAGTGGAAAAAATAGCTGGCTGACTTGTAAAACTTGTTTGTCTTTGTAATAACTAGCTTACCTTTGTAAGTTTACCTTGTTATAACTAGCTTACCTTTCTAAGCAGGTGTCAGCCAGTGAATTGGTCTTCTAAGGCAGTCCCCTTGGTAAAACAAACAGAAAAAGTGAAAATAACATTTGCCTTCTACTTTTGTTCAGTTGAAGCTTGATAGCACTGCTGTCTACTCCAAAATATAGATGCCAGGAAAGTGGTGGCAATGTCAAATTGGAGTGCGACAGTCTTTTATTATGGTGCCTTCCCAGTCCCTTTTCATCGGTTTAGTTCAACTCTTTGTTCCCCTTTTTGCTTCATTCTGTTTCTTCCTCCCTTTTTCCCAGCTTTTGGTATGCGCATAGGGGAAGAGACAGGAAATGAAAACACTTTAATGCATTTGGGTGGTGGGTGGGATCTGTGCCACTTTTAAATTGTGACATAGGGAAAAAAAGAAGTGGTAAGAGCAGAGGGGCCAGCTTAGCCTAATACTGTTAGACGTATATGCTGTAATGCAAGAGAGAGCTTAGCTTCTTCAAGCCCCCTTCCTGACTTCTTCCCCTTCTGAGGGTTGGGACACCCTTCTGAAAAGGTGGGATGTGATGTAGGGGGCTGAGGGGAAAGGGGATCACTGAAAACAGTGGGTTGTGAGGGAGACGGGGAGGCAGGGAATTCATCCAGTTGCCTCCTGTGTGCTTTTTCTATGGATCCAGTTCAGTATGACTATATGACTGTCCATCAAACAGTATGGATAGGCATTGTGAAATTTGAAGTTAAGCAGTTGAAGTCCCAATGACTTCAGAAGAGGCTTATCCTTAACTTTGGTTGAACAGTGCCCTTATTTCCCATTTCATAGAGAACGGTGTTCTGTTCAGTAGCTTCCATCTCTTGCTTTTGGGAAGTTCTGGGCATTTAGCCTTTTGAGTAAGCAATCTTACTCAGATCTTTTGAGTAAGCAGTCTTACTCAAATCAATAAACAAGTTCATTTATTTCAATTAATCTACTCTGAGTGTGACTAACATCAGATGGCACACCTGGTCTTTAAGCAAATATTTCATTAGTAGAAAAGCCATGGACGGTGGCTTTGATTGTAAGGATTGTGAGCAGAAATTTGCTCATGGAGTAAGACTTTTGATGTGGTGTAGGGATTGTAGGTGGCTTGGGTTGTGGAAATGAGAACCTTCTATATGATCAAGATTTACCCTTATGCTTGGGCTTTATTGGATCCAGACCCATAAGGTTTATACAGCGTATTCACAGGTGACATATTGATCAATTGAAATTTTATATTTTAATTGTTATAACAACCAATTTCTATGCTTGTTTAGTCAAGAAAGATGAAATACAATATGATAAAATTAATATATTTAAAATCAATTCATCCTATCTAACCATGATATTGTTACCAGTCCACATTTCTGTAGTATAGCTAATACTATACTATTAAGCTTGTCTGAGCCAGAGGTTCATTGCCTGCAAATGAAATAGGAGTTCTGAATGTATATTGGCTCCATATTGATTTTGCATAAGCTGCTTGTTGTTTGGCATTCCATAGATATTGGAAAAAATGTTTCGGTTGTTACTTTATTGTTTTTAAGAATTTAAAGATAATGTTCATTGCCAAAAATAAATATATAACTGCATGTAAATCAAAACTTCTGCACAGTTTAGTTTTGGAATTGTTTGTGTTCACACCTTGGCTCTATCTTTTTTAGGTAAGGGAAAGATTACGAGTAGCACTTGAAAGATGTAGCTTGTTGGAGGAAGAACTGGGTACTACACACAAGGAGGTAGGTCATTTCCTTAAAACAAAAACTCCTCTTGTCAGCTCTGAAGGAGCTATTGACTTTTTGAGGGGCCCAAAGAACTATGACTGAAAGGAAAGGGTTAGAATCAGTGAAATGCTCCCATTGCATCTCTTGGTCCTGCTGCGAATTCTAAACACTGATTCAAAAGTTTGTGAAGCAGCGTGTCTTCATTCATTCACTTTATTATTTGTGTACCACTTTCTGACAATTCCCCCCCTCAAACTCAAAGCAGCCTACAACAAAGATACGGATGCATTTCAAACACTGCCCCCCCCCCCGGCAAATAATAGCATAGGAAAACAATAACATAGTAACAATTTCATAATATGTAGCAAAACAAAAATATAACAACATACCCTGAAACACATTCCTATACTATAAATATATAACAAGATTACTTAAACAACATTCAGCATTCATACAAAAATAACAAGGGAGTTTCACAGTTTCACCTTAGTCCTAGAAACTCCCCTCCCTTGATGTTGCTCACAGTCCCTCTCCTGCAGCAGCTTCTTTGAAGGCTTCCCAAGGGCAAAGGGTGGGGTAGCTAGAAACACCCCTCCCTGTCTTCTGCAGGATAAGGACTTTGTGCAGCTTGGTGATGTTGGGAATACGTTTTCCATGAAGCTTCTCTCTAAATGCAATCTTTTCAGCTGTGGACATGTCACTGCAAGGTTTCAGTCAGTCCTAAGAGCCAATTCACTCAACTCCATTCACTTATTAAGTAAATGGCAGTCATAGATCATTTGTTTTGCAGAAGGTTTCCTGTCTGACAGTTGAGTACTCCTCAAAGGCAAGCTTACCATTTGACAAATATCCTCTAAATAGATTATAGAAATCAGTTCCAATTCTGCTTTAAAATTGAGGGCGGTAGTATATCTGTTGCCTATTTATTCATAAATGCAGAATTTCTATCTTTGCAAATGTTAACTGCTCCTTTTTTAATTTCTGAATTAATATCCTTTATTACCATAACTGAAACAATACTTTAATTTCATTTTCAGTTAATGATTTTGAAAGAACAGAACAATCAGAAAAGAACTCAAGCTGATGGGATGCCTGATGTTAATCATGATCAGGAGAATGCACCTAGCACTAATGGGAAGGTAGGTGGAAACCTTGGTCTTGTAGGGCTTGTTCACTCATCATTTCTGGGGAAATAAATCTTAAACACAGTGTGGGTCTCAGGTGCACCTACACCATCATCTCATTCCGATGAGAAAGTAGTGAGTGAAAGCAGCTTTATACAAACATAAATGTGTTGTCTCTGTCATCTCCTGATCAAACGCTCCAAATCTTTTCAGGTAATGGATTTGTGGTACAGAAAACACCATTTTCAGATAAACATGGTTTCAATTTGATTTACTCATTGTTTCTTGAATCTCTGGCAATGAGACCAGAGACTCATCCCTTTGAAACTTTTCCTCCTAGGACATAGTAAATGAGCAGACCTTAATCATGCCTGAATTATGACAGCTTTAACTTGAAAAATTATGGTAGTATGTAGTACATCATATTGTACTGGTCTTCTAAAAATAATAATTTTTTTCCCAAATAGAGATCTTCCAATGGCTCCCTAAGTCATGATGAAGACCTTGCTAAAGTAATAGAACTTCAAGATGTCATAGAGATGCAAACTAAAGAGCAGGCTCAAATGAAAGAACGTATAACGGCCCTTTCTAACAGAGTAGCAGAACTGGAAGAAGATCTTGATACCGCTAGGAAAGATCTAATAAAATCTGAAGAAATGAACACAAAGTTGCAAAGAGATGTAAGAGAGGTAAGGAAATGTCAGTTTTTTGTTTGTGACTTAATGGAAGGATTGAGCAAACATGTTTTAATAAACTCTCAAGTGGAATTTTAAAACTTGTATTTGTAGTTGGCTGTATGAACTTCTGCTCAAAAATTCTCTTTTTTTCTGGGTTTTACATGCAGTGTGAATCTTGATTTGGCAGCCATATAAATTAATGTTCTGATCGGGGGGAAATCCAAGTCTGTTTTTATTAACTTCTGCATAGGCTGGCACCTGATTAATATGATTACTGGTGGATCTTGAAAAGATAAGCACCTCCTATTAAAAGGGCTGAAGTAACCACATCACATACTTTGGTATTGAGTATATACATAAACTAGGGATTCAAAGAACTATTTAGGCTTAAAGCTTACAATTACCCCTGTAAATCTTGACTGTTTTGCTTGGAACAATCTACAATTATTCCTTATCACAACTTCTTTTGAAGCACTCCTCATTTTCCAAAGCATATTATTATAGATTGGAAACTTTTGCAAATCTTGATCTTGAACTTGTTAAGATCAGTAAGAATTGGCAACTTCCATAGTGTCAAGGCCCATGAAGTAAAAGAAAGGTGCAATTATTTCAAAGGATCTTTTGATCACTCTTATATTTCCATGCCTGATTTCTCAAGACACTCTATTAAACACACTTAATGAAGAGAGACTATTTAACACTTAGGGACTATGTATTTCCTTAATCTCCTTACAATTTTTACAACTTAGGCAATGGCTCAAAAGGAAGATATGGAAGAGCGAATCACAACCCTTGAAAAACGCTACCTCGCTGCACAACGTGAAGCTACATCCGTGCATGACCTCAATGATAAACTTGAAAACGAAATTGCTAATAAAGATTCTCTGCACCGACAGGTAGAAACTGTTAATTATAGTAATAAAGCAAAACTTTATCAAGCTGTGATAGCTCTCCATAATCTGCTTAACATACTTGATATGAGAAATATGAAAGAGACAACTTTGCAGCAGCGCAGGTAAGAATGCCATGCATTCACAAAGAATTAAATAACTGGTTTTATGCAACAGTTGTGTGAGAACAAGGCCACTTGTGCAATTGAGCTTTCCCACCATCTACTCCCCCAAAAAACTGCTTCTGGGGTGGGGTTCCTCAGGAAAAAAAGGGTTGGAATATCACCTGGGGGACAGCAGCAGGAAGAAATAATCTAAGAAAATTTGCCAGCCTTGCACTTCAGTAAGTGACTTGCACAATAGGTAAAAATATTCAGTTTGCTGGTGATATAACTAGTTAGTCTATATGTTTTGTATATATCTAACTATAACCAGAAAAATGGCTTGTATACTGTACAGATGGCCATGGGTAAACTCAACAGAGCATGATATTAGGAGCTTATTTTTTATTTTAAAAATTGTATCCTATTGTTTACAGTAGCATTCCATCCTTGGTTATTTTTGTAGTGTACTGTATGTTGGAAATGAACTTCTGAATTTCCATTTGAAACGCTTATACCATGTTCATATGTTGCTCATGAAAATTATCTGCGTTTGTGAGCAGTGTTCTGTGCGAGACAACTTGCATGATATTGGAAGTTAATAAAAGCTATTCCCTACGATTTCACACAAATTTTCTCACAACATGACTGTTCAATACCAATAAAAAGAGCTTTTGAAAGTAACATTTGGAAAAATATATGGAGCATTAGTTATAAGTAAATTAATGGTGTTCTTGCCTTGCTAGAGTGAAGATAAGAACAGGCAGTTACAGGAGCGACTGGAACTAGCTGAGCAAAAATTGCAGCAGACTCTCAGAAAAGCAGAGACTCTGCCAGAGGTGGAGGCTGAACTGGCTCAGAGAGTTGCAGCACTTACAAAGGTAGGGCTGTGATACTTTGTACTGTGAAAAACTGTGTCTTCAGTGGAAACAATTTGTTCTTGGTAATTTAGTTCTAATCCCACCCTTCACCCTGGGTTAACAAATACTTGACATAGTACTTTATATTTATATGATTTCTTAGTTCTGTAACATAAAACAATTCATGTTTTTATAGTTTGGAGGTTGCTTGAGCAACTCTTGTGTCAGCTGTAGGTGCTGCATTATAAAGTCCTTCTGCATTTCCTGGTGGAGTAAACTATATCCGTAAACAATGTTATGCCCAGTATTTACAAATGGATTATTGGCTGCCTTTTATAGTCTTCATGTTGTTGTTGTTGTTGTTGCTGTTGTTGTTGTTGTTGCTGTTGTTACCACCTTTTCTGTTCCTTATTGTCTTTCGTTACCTGACATTTGCCTCCTGGGAATTCTGCAGCTAAATTTGCTAAACAGTTGGAACATAATCCAAGCTAAGGAAGGTCAAATTTGTACAAGGGATGCTAATCCTTATGTCTCTATGCATGGCTTTTTTAAAACCATTAAAATGAAAGGTAGTAGGAAAGAAACAGTGTTCAATGTATTTTATTCCATTGCAGTGTGTGAACAGAAATAGCAGTCTGCATAAATCACAAAATTCTCATTTGCTAATAGTTTTTCTGGGTGAATTTTCAAATTTTAATTAGCAGTATGATTTATAATAGGCTGAAGAAAGACATGGTAACATTGAAGAACGATTGAGGCAGATGGAAGCCCAGCTAGAGGAGAAAAATCAGGAATTGCTAAGGGTATGTTAAAGCAGTGATGACTACCATCTCCCCTCACCCTACTTTCAAACTTGAAAAAAAAATCAGGTTAGCAATGCAAAATGTAGGCTTATATTCCTCATAAAGTGAACTGAATGGGCAAGCTTATATCTTAACTGGATACTTGAAGTACTTGCGTGGGCCTTGGATGTTCAATAGCACTGGTGGGTGAATTGGCCTCTTAGAACAATGTCAGCTCCTATAACTAAATTTTTAAATAACTAATTAGAGAACATGTTTAGTGAAAGGACCTCTTGTACAGCTGCTGTCAAAATTATCAGTGGCTAAAAGTTCTGGAAGCTATCATAATAAATATTATTCAGAATCACATTGCTATTTTTTTAGGGCAGGCTCAGGCTTGAATCTGAAAAAGCAAATATATATTATGCTATAAATTAGAGCATCATGAAAAATATGTATAGCACAATAACTTTGGGACTTTCAGTATTTCTACAAATTAGAGACAGAAAAAAGAGTTGGCTTAGGTGATTTTTGCTTTTGGATGTGTACAAATGCTCATAAACTCACTTTGTTTCTTATTATGCCCTTTTCCCGCACATCCCAAAATCTAGGCTCGACAAAGAGAGAAAATGAATGAAGAGCATAATAAACGTTTATCTGATACCGTTGATAAACTTTTGTCTGAATCCAATGAGAGACTTCAGCTTCACCTTAAAGAAAGAATGGCTGCCCTGGAAGATAAAGTAATTGTGAATGTTATGAATGTTGCTTGAAATGCAACAGCAGCTTCAGTTGTAGTTTACCAATTTATTGATGGATATTTAGCCTGCTGTTTATGGCAAGACAGAGAGCCAGCGAAAGAACTATATAAACCGTGGGGATGTCTAGTGCACAGCTGTGGTAACACTACTACTTTGTTATGGGCAGAGAAACTTCTCCTAGGAATATACCTTTTGTGTTAAAACAGTGGTGTGAGGTTCCTGCTCTGCAATCTGCTGCTCTTTTTACAGCTTTGGCTACTTGTAAATAGATGGCTCTTTAGATGGATGGATGGATAGATCTTTTGTTAAGCGTATTTTATTATACACCACCCTGGAACCAGGTGATAAAGAACTATATGTAGTTCTCTTATATTAATGTTTATCTTATTTAAGGAGAGTGTACAAGAGCTCACGTATCTTAAATTGAGCCAAAGAGGCAAACAAGTAGAGTTAAACAAGCAGGTGCTCACATCTATAACTTTTTGATAGTATTTAAAAACTTTAAAATGCTAAGTATTGCAAAGGGTCACATTCTAAAGTCCTAATGAACTTAATTTTGTTCCAGAATGCTCTTGTTCGTGAAGTTGAAAATGCTAAGAAACACGTTGAAGAGCTTCAGAATGAAAAGGTATTGACTGAAAATGAAATGCATTACTTTATAGGATGGTTGTAAAGCAGTGAAACAAAATTAGGCATGAGAAAAAGAATAAATTACCACAACTGTTAAAAAAAATGCCTGCTTCGAAGTTGATTGTACCACAGATCATGCTGCAACAGCCCAAGGATCACTAATGCCCGGAAAGCATACATCTGTAATGGAGTCATTTTTTGTTTAGACATTCCCAGAAACTTGCTGAGGTTTTTTCTCTTTACAGTAGGGGTGGCTAACTTCCAGTTTGGGGCCTAGTTACACCTCCCCCAGTTATTCTTTCTTCCCCCCGATCCCACTGATGTTGGTGGAAGTAGCAAAAAGAAAAAATGTAGTAGACGCAGTACTAATGTTGACATATTGCCCCTTCTACGGTCATCAGATTGATCATTTGACAGAAGAGGGGTCTATAACCCCTTCAGATAATCTGCATGGATTATTTGAGGAGGGGGAGTTGTGCATGTGAGAGCCTGAGGTGGGTATACTTACCATTGGCATATGGTTCCCTGGAGGGTTGGCCCAAAGGTAAATGTGGCTCTTGAGCCAAAACTGGTTAGCCATCCCAGCTGTTGGGGTGCAGGGAGGAATAGACCCAGTCCCCTGTCCTTTGAAATATAGTTATTCAGAGCCATTCTAGAAATAATAAGTGAGGGACAATTGACCAAAATGGTTTTTGAAAAAACTTTTCATTGAGATGGGCCTTGAACATTAGAAATTCAAAACAATACTAACCTTATGAACCAATGTATGTGATTTATGTTTTGAAAAGAAATATATAACGGTAAAAGGAATTTATTACTTGCTTTTCTTTGTAGGATCAACTGGTACTAAACATTGAAGCAATGAGGTCTGAAAATGACCAGATGAGGATCAGAGGCCCTTCCCTTCATCATAGGTATAAGTAACAACACATATGCTTTTCTTCATTATAAAGTATTACTAGATGAATGCCTGCGTCTAAATTACTGACATTTGAGAGAGTGTCTCTTATTAATGCAAAATATGGTATCTGCTCTGGTTTCAGTCGACCACATCTGGGTAGTGTGCCAGATTTCAGATATCCACTGGCACCTTCAGCCATAGCTGACAATCAAACAGATTCTTATAGCACCTCAGTGTTAAGACGTCCACAAAAAGGACGTTTGGCAGCTCTGCGAGATGAACCTTCAAAGGTATGAACTTTTTGTTAAAGCACTCTTATAATAGCATGTTTTAACACACAGTTTTTCATCTCAAAGCTATAAGAAGCCTATTGAAATGATATTTATATATACAAAATAAGGTCCATATTAAAACAAGTTTGAAGATGTTCTTGACTATCAAAGACTTGAGGGTGGATCAAAAGTACTACTTGCAAAATGTGACTTAAAACTCTGTGACTTTTTGATCCAGCGGAGGCTTTCATGAATGGAAGGGAAAGGGAGGGTGATTGATTGACAGGTTTCTTTTGCAATTTCCCCTTTCTTATGCAGCCCTCCCATGCTATTCTGGACAGTCCCCACAAACCCCACCCTGGTGGGGCAGAGGGAAAGAGGAATAATAAAATAAAATAAAATAGTCTCATTCTCCCTTGTTCACAGAAGCCTCTGCTGGGTCAAAGAACCGTCCATGAACAGAATAACAGGGTAGCGCAAACCAAAAAAGGGGTGTTACTATGAAAATAAGCAAAAAGCATGCAGAAGGAAAAAAGAAAATGATTTACCGTATTTTTCGCCCTATAGGACGCACTTTTCCCCCTCCAAAAATGAAGGGGAAATGTGTGTGCGTCCAATGGGGCAAATGCAGGCTTTCGCTGAAGCCTGGAGAGCAAGAGGGGTCGGTGCGCACCGGCCCTCTCGCTCTCCAAGCTTCAGGAAGCTATCCACAAGCCTTGGGAGCCCGCAGGAGTTCCCGCTGGTCTCCCACGGCTTGCGGAGAGCTGCCTGCATCCCGAAGCCTGGGGCGCGCACCCCGGGCTTCGGGCAGCTCTCTGCAAGCCTGGGGAGACCAGCGCGACGTCGCGCCGGGCTCCCTAGGCTTGCGGATAGCAGTCTGTTCTGGGGGCTGGGGCCGGGGGAAGCTCGGGCTTCCCCCGCCCCAGCCCCATGCCTGGGGGGGGGGAATAATTTTTTTTCTCTCTCCCCCCCCCAAAAAACCTAGGTGTGCCCTATGGGCTGATGCGCCCTATGGGGCGAAAAATACGGTATTACTTATCTAATTTGGACCCCTCTGGACCAAGGAAACTCAGATATGTAGAAGTTCCATATGAAATTCCTTTATGAAGGAACAGAGTGGTCTGATCATTTTCTTTTTCCTACCAGCTAAAGCTGTGCACCTAGTTCCAAATGCTGGATTTGAATTATTTGTGTGAAGTAATAAATAGATGGTATTGCTGCTTTGACACACTGAGTTAATTGTGGGAAGCTGGATTACTGAATTTTGGATGTCCTTCCCCCCCTGCTGATTACTGTTAGGCAGCTAGAATGAGGTCATGACAAAAACAAAATTCTCATCTAAAAAACTGAAGTTTCCAAAGCTATTCAAGAAACTTAAGTAATGGAATTATCTTTTGTTTCACTTACATAATGTTGCATTTATGTACTATATCTTGATTTTGTATAATCTATCTTATTCGATAGAAATAATAATGACTACGAATATGATATTACAATTATTGTTTTGGTTTTATTGCATTCTTAATATTGCTGCCTTGATGGATTACTGCAGCATGTAAGTTAAGTCTTAGTGATTTTATCTGTCTATCTTATCTTATCTATATGTTAACTGAGAGAAATTTGCAATTAAAACTCAGATCACATATATTAAACAGGTTCAGACTCTTAATGAGCAAGACTGGGAGCGTGCGCAACAAGCAAGTGTGTTGGCAAATGTTGCACAAGCCTTTGAGAGCGATGTTGATATCTCAGATGGTGAGGATGACAGAGAAACAATATTCAGCTCAGTTGACATCTTGTCACCTAGTGGTCAGGCAGATGCCCAGACTTTAGCCATGATGCTTCAGGAACAGTTGGATGCCATCAACAATGAAATTAGGTACAGTATACATTTGTATCATTAACTTAAATTTCCACTATTTGATGTGAGAATGTATTCTTCCTGTATGTCTAGTTTGTTTACTCTCATTTCTTTTCGTTCACAGAAGTTATATCAATAGGTGTGTTTAATTTAACCAGTGCTCTTCATTTGTATGGATATAGATATGATTTTTCTACATTGTCAGTTTGCCAGAGTTCTTGAAAAATTAACTCAATGTGATTATTTCTAACTGCTGTGGTAGTAGCATGGCTTCTCCAAACAGCATGAATCTTTACTTTTTCTTAATGAAGGACCATGTCTGTGAACACAGAGCAAAAATTTAAGATCTGCTGTATTTGGTTATTTTGTGAGTGTTGAATCATTTGCCTTAAAGACAAGCAGCAAATTATTTTTCATGAAAAAGAGCTTTAAGTAAATTTAATGTCCCTACCTAGCTTTAATAGTAGCTGCCACTCTTGAAGAATTCACACCCCCCCCAAAGGGATATATATGCAGAGAACAGTGTAGGAGTTAGTACAGAGGCTGCAGGCTGGGGGCAAAATGCAAAAATAGCCTCACTATCTTATTTCCTCACAGAAGTCTCTGTTAGATCAAATACTGCATATATCCATGAAGGGATAGTGTTGGATGCAGTCCCAAATGAGTACCTGTTCAGTAGAATTCCAATAGTAATACTGTACCTTTCATGAGGACTTGTAAAGAAGTACAGTGGAACCTTTGTTCTCAAACTTAATCATTTCCGGAAGTCCATTTGACTCCTGCAACTGTTTGAAATCCAAGACGCGGCTTCTTATTGGCTGCAGGAGCTTCCTGCACTCAAGCGGAAGCTGCGTCGGACATTCGGCTTCCAAAAACCTTTTGAAAACTGGAACACTTACTTCCGGGTTATCACTGTTCGGGAGCCGATTTGTTTGTCAACTAAGCCATTTGAGAACCTTAAACTGTACCCTTAAACAGCTTATCATAACTTGAGTTATTGATGAAAATAGCAAATGTTAATTGATGGCAGTGAAACTTTGATAACATTGGCAGATACACTGCATAAAGGAATTGCATTCTTTCTTTCTTTCTTTTTAGACTGATACAAGAAGAAAAGGAAAACACTGAGCAGCGAGCAGAGGAAATTGAAAGCCGTGTTGGTAGTGGGAGTTTAGAGAATCTTGGCCGGTTTCGGTCATTGAGCTCTCTTCCTCCTCCTCCCTTTCCTGGTGGCTCCCTTTCTGGCTCCTCTCCACCTGGCAGTGGTCGTTCCACCCCGCGGCGAATGCCACATAGTCCTGCTCGAGAAGTGGACAGACTAGGCATCATGACACTAGTAAGTGTCTCTGTTTTCCTCCCACACACCCCAGGAGGGAAATCCCTATGATTAGCTCTTGTGTTGTTCCCCATTTTTCTGTGTGTCTTGTATTCTTGTGTTTGCGTACTGGCCAACTTTATCAGGAATTCCAGACTGTTTGCATGTAGCATGCAGCCACCTAACCCCCCCATCAGAAGTTGTCTAGTGTATGTTCAACTTTGACACCTCCCCCCCACGCACACTTAATTTGGAACGGAATGTTGGAAACGTACCATGAATGTTAAACATGAGTTGAGTCCCTGGGAGGTGTCCAAGGCTACACACTTCTAGGTAGAGATAAAAGATACAGGTAAAGGACCTCTGGACAGTTAGGTCCAACCAAAAGCGACTATAGGGTGCGGCACTCATCAAAGAAGCTGGCGTTTGTCCACAAACAGCTTTCCTGGTCATGTGGCCATGACTAAACTGCTTCTGGTGCAATGGAACACGATGAAGAGTGCCAGAGTGCACAGAAATGCTTTTTACCTGTTTATGTACTTGCACTGGTGTGCTTTCAAACTGCTAGGTTGGCAGGTGCTGGGTCAGAACAATGAGAGCTCACCTCATTGCACGGAGTCAAACTGCCAACCTTCCGATCAGCAAGCCCAAGAGGCTCAGTGGTTTAGACCACAGCGCCACCCACTCTAGGTATAGAGTTGCAACTAATCACATTTACACTGCACTCACTCTTACCTGGCTTTTCCATCACTCTTGGCTTCCCTCCAAGGTCTCTAGTCCAGGGCCTTGGGCACTCTTTTTGTTCTTGCTTGTGCTGTTGCTTTTCCTTATTTCTATAATGCATTTTGCTCAGCTTTGACATGAAAGGTTCAGCAGGGGGAGGGGATTGTGATTCCCATTTCCTACCTTTCAAGCAGGAGAAATGAGAATTTACTTGGTCATCTCCAAGGGACTCAGCTCAAAACCAATGTTTATGGAAGGTTTCTGACATTTTGGTCCGTGGTAGAAGAAGCAGAAAGAGCACTCTACTTCTGTCCTTTATTTATGTGGCTTTTAGAACATTAGTTAAAAATAATCCCTCATGTAAAAAAAAGTCATTTATAGCAATGCTTAACTAGTGTTAAGAATCCAGTTTTTAAAACTGACGTGTGATACTGCAACAACAATACATGAAGGTAATTTACACACCAGAGTGATCCCTTACTTATGGTTAAGGTATTCCACCCATTATGTCTGCATCAATCTTAAATGCTGCTTTCCAGGGTTATGCTTAAATATTTTCAGTATAGAGAAGTGGTCTGTTTGAGCAATGGTTTCATGAGTAGGTTAAATAGAGCATATGGCTTGTCTTCTCCCGGAGAATGTTTTATAACTGCGAAAATCGTCCCATGTGTTCATGCTTTCTAGTTTGAATAATCAAAATACCTGCTTTATCTTAATTTCTCTTCTTTGCATGCTTCTGTCAGCCTAGTGATTTAAGGAAACATCATAGAAAGGTAACTCTTCAGCCATTAATCTCTGTGGAATCTTGAACAATAAAGTCTAGTATAATTAAACTGTATTTTTAAAATGTAAATGGTTTTTGATCATCATGACCAGAACAAAGAGTTCTCCATGCATACCTCCACTGCTCTCTTGCTAGCCAGGTGTGCTCATCTCCCTATACTATTTCTATGGTAACACTTTGCTATTAAGGGAAGGTGGGGGACAAATAAAGATATATGAAGTCTACACACCTGCCATTTAGATTGTCTTCCCTTCCAGTTGAAGAGCTATGTTTGCATTGTGCATAGTAGGTATTCCTTGTGTATTTTCTCCATGGCTGATTAATCCCCTTACAATCCCTGCAGCGGTAGAACAGATATTAGAACAGGTAGAAGTTCAATCCTATTCTTCACTTCAGGTTTCTACCAAAGCAAAGTGGGAAGGAACCTGAGCCATGCCAGAAAATAGTACATGCATACCATCAGAACTTGGAACAGATGCTCAAAGCATGTCCATGGAGAAGAGAAATCCGTTTAAATACCCCTCTGAATTCTGGGCATTGACTTCAGAATTAGTCTCAGATTCCACCAAAGTCTATTTCAAATGCTTATAACTGCAAGAAATATGTGTTCTGTGTAAACTGGCAGACCCTAGATAATACATGAACTTGGATTGGTTAGAACAAAATATTGTATCATTGCATACAATTTTTCTTTGTTGAAACAGAAGCATATAGATGTAGCAGCTGTTGAGATTATAAAATCTATAACACCTAAGACTCTTTATGTGAGTACTCTGCCTCTTAGAGATGAAGTAATACTTAAATTGTGTTTGTTTGCAGTCTCCAGTTTCAAGAGAAGAAGTTAGAGATGACAAGGCTACAATAAAATGTGAGACCTCACCACCCTCTTCACCTCGATCTCTGCATTTGGATAGAACCTATAAGGGTGCCTTGCATACAGTGAGCCATGAAGATTTAAGAGATCTAAGAAAGTAAGTTATGTTTAAATAGAATATAGCTAAACTGAAGACTGTCATCCTATGTTTTGTCACGTAACATAAAATCAGTATATGATATTGGCTTTTTGGAGTCCTTGGGTGCAAACTCCTAGCTTCAGGATTTCTCATTGACTCCCAACAGCTCATACTGTGTGTTTCCTCAACTTCCCCTTTCTCCTCCGTGGCTCCCTTTCTCCTCAGACTTCTACTTCCATTGTTTGCTATTTAGTTAGTTATTCACAGAATTTTATACCAGCTATTACTGTTTTTGGGTGGTGTACAATTGAAACAGAACAAAACAGAAAATAGAATACAAACAGAAAATCCCAAAGACGCTTTCACAGAAATACTTGTGTGGACAGACTAATTCGGTTGAATATAACCCAAAATGTGTATAGTGCATATTTTTATAGACTTAACTGTATCTGCTCTACAGTTCCACAGGTTCTCAAGATGGACAAGTAAGCAATCCCAGCAGCAGTAATAGTAGCCAAGATTCCCTTCACAAAGCCCCTAAAAAGAAGGGGATAAAATCCTCAATCGGGCGCCTATTTGGTAAGAAAGAAAAGGGTCGACCTGGACAGATCAGCAAAGAGAGCGGAGGACAAGGTTGGTGCATTATTGTACCTAGAACAGAAGGCACAGCAATTCTTAGGCTAATCGTTGTATAGGGTATAAGGTAAAGAAGTCCTAGCTGTGTGGTATGCAGATTACACCTACCTATGCTAGTATAGGCATAAGTGGAAGTTGGCTTCCTTGGGTATGCAGATGTCTGTCTCAGCACAAGTCCAAAATGCAAGGTATGAGATCTGAGGCAGATGACTGTGATTTTTCCAGAACTGACCTTAGTAAGCATTTTATATTTATCTGATTGCTGTTCAAAATACTACTTGTGCTGCTTATCACGTAAGCGCCATTGTGTTGCACCTCACTGCCATGAGACCCCAAAGCAGTGACCAAGCAGTCCCTGGCCTTTGCCTACCCATCTGGGTCAATTCACAGCATCCACCATTGAGTATGTTAAGGAGACTAGGGGTGGGCTCTTAAGTAGATGGATGGATTTATTTAGAAGTATTTCCAAGTGGTGTATAAGTAGTATAAATCGGCATACATCCTAAAGATGTAGAAAAGCAGATAGATATAAAAATCCAATGATACAGGGTCCAATTTTACATATCAAGGAAAGTCCTTTTGTTCAATTGTTATGTGGCTTTGAAATCATCAGATAAAGCAGCTGCAGGAAATTGATAGCTACAGGAAATGTAGGTGTATCAGTTTCTACTACAATCATAATATTTTATTTATTACTACTGTGTTTATATCCCACCTTTTCTCTAAGGAGCTCAGGGTGTCTCCATTTTATATTGATGTTCACTGTTCATTGTCTCTTGGTAAACAAAGGTTTACTGGCTTTTGAACTATACAGTTGGAACTTGAGAGTCACTTCCATAAAGGAAAGAGTTCTTTTTGCTCATAGGACCAACTGTGATCCACTGGAAGTTCCCTGCTGGAGAAAGGGTCCCCATCCACTAATTACATCTTCATCCCTCATCGCTGTCTCTCATTCTCCTCTGGAGAGCCCTCCAGTTCTCCAGAGCACATTTTCAGGGGGAAGGAAAATGGGCAAAAATTGCCTGCCTCCCTCTGTCTCCTCTAACGCAAATGTAACTGCTGTGTTTTAATTCTGGACCCTGCCCAATGTATATATAACATTTTACACTGTTGTACTGCAAACAAACTTGTATGTTGGAAATAAACACAAATGACATTCATTACTGTAATTCTGCTGCGTGCTAAAGTTAATTCCAAGAAGTACATGACAGGTTTTTTTCATTCTTGCAGTTAGTGTAATGGAAGCAGACAGTTCAACTCAGGATGGCTTGGGACTTGGAAAATTGGGAGGACAAGCAGAAAAAAATAGAAAATTGCAAAAAAAGTAAGTTTTAACTTCTCCTCAGTTCTGATATCTAAACAGTGAATGTTCTGCAAACTGTTGCTTCAAGTTAGAATTGAATTTTCCTGTTACCAAAAATCTCAAGAAATCAAGAAAATGGATATAAAACTATGACAAAAAATCAGGTTTATCTTAAGAAATGTCCGCTGTTTTCCTTTAAATTATGCATCTTTAGTGAACCTTTAAGAATAGCTAGAGTGAAAGATGGCTATACTGGATTGTATCCCATGCTGCTGCTGAGCTCAAAAAACAGAGTTCCACTTGCACAACTTCCCCCTTCTCTCTCCTGCAGCCATCACCTCCAAATCTGCTCCAGGGTGTGGGGGATCCTCAGGAGTAGATTTTAGGGGCCCATAGGGAGAGAAGGGGAAGGGGAAAGTCCCAAATACCCATGTCTGTATGCCGTTTTCCCATAGCATCATGATTTGGTGAGATTCAAAGTGCCTTTATGCTGTCGTCTTTTTAAAATACTGTTTCCTGTTCATTTTATCACTATTATTATATGACGCATTGGGAACTGAGAAACAGCTGTAAGTTGAAATAATAATATAAATAAATAATATTTGCTGGTACAGCGAGTCTCAGGACCTGAGTGAATAACATGGGTACAGAGTGGGACAGGGGAAAGGTTGTTAGAGGAAATTCATTTTGTGTTATCCTGTAAGTAGAAAAATAAATACATTGCTCAACTTATCAGTCAGTGTTCTGTCTATCTTTTATTCACCCATAGTGCATCATCATACACTATCATATTCACTTTTATCTAAATTAAGTGATTTTCAAGTTTTAGTTTTACATTTTATTTTCTTTATTTCCTTTTAAATTTTCCATTTGGTGTGGTAGTGCAAAATCAGGGTAAGTTGATTTTAATTTAACTTTTGCAGAATGTGAATGTGTGATGTATTGGGAAACTATTGTTTAAAAGATTTGTGTTAAACATCAGCCATTACCTTTTTGAATTATTTTCCTTGCAAGATTAATATTAAAGAATATTCTGCTGAAACATTTTCAGCAAAACCCTGTCAGCGTCTTCATGAATTAGGTATAATTCATGAATCCTGCCATAACTTGTCATGTGCTGTCAAACAAAAATTCTTGACATAAATTCTTTTGTCCTAGCATTTGATTTTAAACTGTTTGAGTTGATTTTTTTTAAAAAAAATGTATTGTAGAACTGTACTTTTGTAGTGGGTGCTGTTGACAACCGAAGAAGAGTGAATCTGTTAGGCTACAGAACAGTCAAGTTCCTCAGCTCATCTACCATTATACTCCCTAGCATTTTCACATACAGTTTCTCCCTTCACTGTGTCTAATGTGTATTTAGAAAATGAGCATATGTTTTAGATTAGAGAACATGCACTCATAGTCATATAATAAAATAAGGTAGAAAATAGTTTCGGCCCTCTTTTGCTTTGTTTTCGAATTTTAAGGGATGGTACTTCTCAAATTGTGTTAGGAACCCTCAGAATCCTCAATGTCATAAGAGTTCTTAAGGAAAAAGATCACTAATAGACTTTCCCAAAAGATAGCATTCCCTACACTGCTTAAAAAAGCAGAACCCCAAAAGAGTGTTGCATGCATTTACTTAATATACTTGTCAGTGGTTCTTGGTAACAGTAAATACAGGTTCTGAAACCCCTTCATATTGAGGCTGCCCAAACCTTTCCTGTAGAAACTATTCCCCCTAGGTAGTGCTTCTCTAGTGCACCTGCACATGATAGCTAATTTAGACCAGGAGCTTCAGCAGTGTAATGGATTCTGCTTTCCAAAGGTCTGGTGCAATCCATTATTCTAATGTTACTTTTCTACTTATCTCATGCAGTGTGCTTGCCATGCTGCTGTGGCTCTTGGACAATTTGCTGTGTTCCTAGAGTTGCTGAAACAAAGGGAGAAATCGCTGGAGGATAATCAGTAAAAATATAAGCACTTCACAAGTATATTTTGCTGTTTTTTAAAGGCATGAACTGCTTGAGGAAGCCCGGAGGCAAGGTTTACCGTTTGCTCAGTGGGATGGGCCAACTGTGGTTGTCTGGTTAGAGGTAAGGAGTCTTTACAATAATGAACTCAGTGCAGCATGGCTTCTAACTTGAAACTTGTAGGTGATCCTCTTCCTGTTTTTCTCCTTTCCAGTTGTGGGTTGGGATGCCAGCCTGGTACGTAGCTGCTTGCCGTGCAAATGTGAAAAGTGGTGCTATAATGTCAGCCTTATCTGATACTGAAATACAACGTGAAATTGGAATCAGTAACCCTCTACATAGGTTAAAGCTGAGACTTGCCATTCAAGAGATTATGTCACTAACAAGTCCATCTGCTCCTCCTACATCAAGAACGGTAAGTTGGAAAGCAATGATGTCTCTTAACTAAAGAGAAGCTAGCATATCTTTTAGAATTCTGCTTTTTGTGGAGGTCTGCATTAAAAAAGACAAATATAATAAAATAAAATAAAAATAGTTGTTAGAAGAAGACAAAATGTAGTGACCTGTTGAAACAAGTTTGCAAAAAGTTATGGTTAGTAACTGTGCTTAAAAAAGTAATGAGTGCAAGAAGAATGCCAGTTTTAGGCAGGTTCTTGGGATCATTTATGGCATGCTAAGATTTAAAGGCATGTTTGAAATGTTAGGCAACACTAATATTTTTAACTAGATGTTTATTACTGTAAGCAGGTGTCCACCATTTTGCTCACCATGATGAGTATCCTATGTCCTTCTGTTGAGCATGACAAGCCTCCAGCCTCCCAAATTTGGAGTTGGAGAATGGGGCAAGTATCATCCACACAGTACTGCTCCTTTTCTAAAGCTTTCCAAGCACTTTGGAAGCACAGCAGCAAAGCAACCCCCAACCCTCATCTCAGTTTAGAATATTTTGGAGCAGAGATCCTTTTGTGTTTCCAGCTCTGGAGAAGAGGTGTGGGGCTTGATTTTACCGTGTTCTTCCAAGACACTTGGAGTACCTTGTATAACACAACTCAGTTTCTGGGACTCAAAAGGGAGGAGGGGATTCCTTTGAAAGGCACCCGACTTAGATTGGGGATAAAACCTGTCCTGGCAAGTCAAACCTTTGGTTGGCTACCAAGGCCAGCCAAAATTTGTGAACCCAGAATTTAAAGATACAGTACCACCCTATTTCAGGCATGTTACATGAAAGCAATCCCCTTTTAAAAGTGGAACTAAAGAAAGTTGTACCTGTGTTGTATTCTTGTGTGGGGTGGGGGCACATGTTGAAGGCAGGTTGTTTTGCCTGCCACAATTGAATCACATTTCATTATTTATATCTGGGGTGCAGAATGTCAGCCAGTTCAGTGGGGCCTTGATAAATACTGTGCTGTGGATGTGCATACAGATGCAAATCTGCATCCATATAGCCTACATATGCACATCTCATTGTGGGGCTGGAGTGAGAGTGATGGTGACTTCATCTTGTGAATATCTGCTGTGTTTGTAGAGTGATTTGAAAGAAAACTGACTGACAAAGAATAAGCAGGATCCATTTCGTGTTAGGATCCAGAGTTCCTGCACTCATGGAACAATTATTGCCACATATGCTCTTGGCTTATCATAAATATATGTTATGTATATTTATTTATTTATGTATTATATTATGTATAAACTTAATCTGATTGCATTCTATATAATTTGGTCTCAAAAGCAACCTGCCTAAACTGAGGTGGTTCACATATAATGCCAGCCATGATTTGGTGTTACATGACTGATCTTCAAACTCTGGTTTGCAATCCTGATTTGGAGCAAAGGCAAGCCATAGTTTTTCGGATGTAACAAAAATCTATGGTTTACCATAAACCTGTAAGTACTTTGGAGTGTGCAAGGGGAGGCATGAGTACACAAACACAACTTGTTCAAGTACTGCCACCCATGATTTGGCATTGCATGTGAATTGGCACATAGTATACAAGGGGATACAGTAAGTTTCTTCAGAAGGATAGATGCACTCTAAGGAACTAAAATGAAGTATCCCAAAGTATTACTTGGCACTGCTAAGTGTAAGGAGTACACCTAGAAGTCATATTATGAGGAATTATACTTTTTCTAATTTTGCTTAAATACAGGGTATACATTAAGTTATTATTTGAAGGGAAATGTTTGCCTGCAGGCTTGCATCTTACATCAGTCTGTACTTAACAATCTAGAAACCATTGCTTTTGCCCATGCCTGCTCCTTATATGTACCTGTTGCTTATATATTCTGCAACCTTTCCTCTTTGTTACTGCTTTCCTTTCATTGGATGTGATTGGTTCACTTTGGGGTCATATTAGACCACAGGAAATGTCTGGGTAACACATGAAGAAATGGAAAATCTTACATCTACACCACAAACGGTTAGTTATAGCACTGAACCTTTTTGTGTTTACAGTGCTTTTCCCACTTCTTGAGTGCTTGAATCATGTGCCTCTTAATGTCTCTGAAAAGAGTAGAAATATTAATTCTTCTTGGTTATGGCCTATTTTAATTACTAACCTTCTCTGAAATGTATAATTATGCTGTAAAATGTTTTTCCACCAAGGTCATCATGGGGTTGGGAGAAATTATGTTCATTGAAGGCAAAATCAGTGCATTGATTTTGGAATTCTTAAGATGTTGCCTAATATTTTACTTGGGTTTACAGCTAAAGGCTGCTTCTTGTGTGGATAAACTAAGCAGCATGTGGTGATTCAATTTACACAAGGGTATAAATATATTGAGAAATTCTTATGTACATAACTTTGAATGCATGATACTTGCATTCCTAACAATTAGCATGCCATTATTTTGCCTTTCCATTATGGCCACATTCCAGAGGTGTCATTTTATGCGCAGAAAGGACTGTGTACACTGTTCATTGCTAGGATACATATACTAAATGTGACATAATTTTATTATGTATTTTGTGGTTTTATATCTTGATTTTATTCTGTAAACTGCCCTGAGACCCCCGGGTATAGGGTGGTATATAAATTCAATCAAATAATAATAATAATAATAATAATAATAATAATAATAATTTCAACAGCCATATTGCTTGTTTTGAGAAGTTTATTGACGTCAAGCCTTCTACAGGTTTGCACAGTTCAGCCATTTGATTATTTTTTGCACACTGGACTGCGGCCATCACCTTGAATTTTCTTGCATTACTAAACTTACAAATACTAACATTTGTGTGTTCTTTTGCTTTTCTAATTACGTAACATCAGGAAGATGTGGAAGGAAGCTGGGCTCAGGTTGGAGACTTTTCTTTTAAACCTTCTGTGTAAAACATCAAAGTTTATTTAACCATAGAAAACTTATTTTTTTTAAAAAAATATACATTGAAAAACATTTTTGAGGGGAAACTAATGAGTAAATATTTCAAATGTTAACTCACCCAAAATTTATTTTGAGAAATTATTTGGCATGGAGGTTGGCATTATATTATCTACTTTTGAGGCTTGTTCTCCTGGAGTTCATCACCGGCTTGTGATAGCACAGCAACAAAATGTGTGCCTTTTGCTGATTTTTGTTTCTGTCACAATGCATTCAGATTCAACTAAAATCTGTTTAAATAAGTTAATAACATCTTTCTAACAGCAGCCACTTCCCACTTTGCGTAGCTGGCCAATGCCAGTGATTCACATTGTAAACACGTGAAGGAATGGCTTCACATGACATGGGAAGCCAAAATACGACTTCAGTGAGGCTGTGCAAACATGCAGGGGAGCTCAGAGGTCATTTGCCCCTCCCTACTCATTTTTACAACTGCACCATGCTGACTAAGCTAAAGTTTGGCTTTAGTGTATCATCCAAACCAGGAATCATGGTTAAGCCATCCTCTCACTAACCATGAGCTGTAGCCAAGAACAAACTTCTCTGTAGCTCGTGGTTAGTCAGGAGAGAACTTAGTTTTGCTCAGTGCAAGGCAGCAAGATGAAAGTCCAGAGGAGAGGAAAACAGCTCCTCTCCAAGAGCAGGTTCTCACAGTCTTACTAAGTCATTGTTTGCTGTACCCAGTTGTGCAAAGCAGATCAAAGTTTGAAATGGGGAATTGAAATGTACCAGGAAGCTGCAGCCCTGGCACTATCAGAGAGTTTGACGATGTGCATCTTCAAATCATTCTTCACTGTTCACCTAAGTAAATGCTAGCTGCTGTATAAATAAAGTGTGAAGTGGTTTTAATTTTTAAAACATTGCTTTGCATCTTCAGTAGTTACAACTTCTTTCTTGTGTGAAACTGTAAGGCACTGATGAAATATTTTACACCTTCTTATTTAAAATTACACTTCAATGGTTTTCTTTAAATAGACCTTAGCCTATGGTGATATGAACCACGAGTGGATTGGCAACGAGTGGCTTCCCAGTTTGGGGCTCCCTCAGTATCGCAGCTATTTTATGGAATGTCTTGTGGATGCTAGAATGCTGGACCATTTAACTAAAAAAGATCTCCGTGGTCAACTTAAAATGGTTGACAGTTTTCACAGGTAAATAGATTTAAAATAGTCTTTATTAACGAGCATTTTGTCTGTGCATTTCAACATACTTTCCTAATGCCTATTTCCTTTTTAACCTTTTAACAGAAATAGTTTCCAGTGTGGCATTATGTGTCTGCGGAGATTAAATTATGACCGAAAAGAACTTGAAAGAAGAAGAGAAGAAGGTTTGAATGAGATTAAAGGTAGCCCTTTTCTTTCCTGGATTTGACTCTACTTATGAGAAGTATATGAAATCATGGTCCTATATTTTCTGTTGGTTGAAAAATCTCCCAAGTTGCAAGTATGTCCAATGGTAGATTCATGCCAGTTTTATATTTTGTATAGAGCTATATTTTGTATAGAGCTGGTGTTTATGGGGTCTAGCATAGTGTTGTTAGGTCCTGTGTTTTGACTGCATACTGGAACCACTAAATCTATAGTGTGCTTTCTAAAATACCCTTGATCTGTAAACAAGTGCCTATATTTCTTTTCCTTCCTAAACAATTATATGTACAACTACTGGCCCTATTCATTTGTGAAAGAAGGAAGAATCTGTGCAGTAAAAAACTAGTGCTGTTCTGATCTCTCTCTTTTTTTAAAAAAAAATATTATTAACCGACCAATCAAATCAAATCAAATCACATCACATAAATTCCGAATTACAAAGCCGAATTTTAAATTTTTTGTTGGGGGGACCCATATTTCAAGTTCCGAAGGGGATTCCGATCATCTTCTTGCTGCTGCGTTAATATCCACAAATCTGTCCAAATAATGTTTATAATTCTATCCAGTCCTATCTTGCTGTTCCCACATCTCATCTTGTTCGTATTTTTTCTTTTTTTCTTTATGATCTCTTCTGATAATCTCCTTAAGCAGGTAAACACCAGTTATAATCCTGTGTGAATTTTTCCGTTCGTCCAAACATCATGTCGAGATGGTTTCCATATATCATCACTTTCATAAATAAAAGCACTCTTTCCATCGTTAGTCTCGCAAATCTGTCGCCTTCTTTAATCCCTCTGAGGAGGCTCACCCACAATATGAAAACAGATCTGTTCCTCCTCCCAGACATAAGTCTTTCGACAGAGCTTGCCAAAATGGTGACGCTATTTTTTGCTGCATCATTCCAAAGCTCTTATGCTTTCCACGATCTTCTTAAAACATGCTTTGGTTAGAAAATTATCTCCACACAGTCTTAAATCCACAGCTTAAGTCATTTAAGTAGCATTTCTGACTTGTGACTTGTGGGGGGGGGGGGATTCTTGGTTAATCACATAGAGAAAAGAAAGGAAAGCCCCCCCTCATCCAGTCCCGTTGCCGAACATACCGAGCCTTGGTGTGTCTTCTCATGATTTATTCCTGTTCCTCCGACCCGTCTTGTTTATCAGAGATCTCTTCAGTTAGCAGTCTTTACTCCCCATTCTTCCTTGAAATATGTGCATTAGCTTCCTCCTAATTGTTTCTTTTGAAGTTGCTGCAGCTAGAGGCGCGAATCAGAGACAGCGTCCAGGAGCGCCGAAATCCGCACAAGGGCTTTCTGCCTAGTGCCCCCACCCCCGAATTTGAGGGGGTGGTATAGGGCACAGCAGGCAAGGGCAGTCCCCCCCACACGCTTGGGGGGGGCAGGAGGCTGTTTACTCCCATCACAGCCTCTTAATTACCTCGTGTGGGTCGGAGAGATGTTATTGTCAGCCATCTTCCGATGCGCCCCTAGTGGCCCCTCAGTGCTGTTCTGATCTCACCCTTGTGGTGCAATTTAATGGGGTAGAATACAGGTATTCTAAATAGTACTTACTCTCATAGTTGCAAGAATACAATAATAATAATAATAATAATAATAATAATAATAATAATAATAATTTTTTAATATGCTGCCCATCTGACTGGTTGTCCCAGCTATTCTGGGTGGTTTCCAACAAATTAAAACACAATACAACATCTAACTTGAGTGGAAATATTTAACCAAAGGGAGTGGGTGAAATTAATATAATGAAAGCGCATTTGCAATTCCAGTGAGAGAGAAATGCTAGGCATCAAAAGAGACTGGAATAGCTGCACAAGGAGCTTTGAGGTCAGATTTCGAATGCTATGGATGTTTTTGTTTCTTTAAAGGATACATAAAGTTTGCAAAAATTGTGTTTTAGAGACTACTGTGATTAAGCAGTATTCAAATTCTTGAACCAAACAAATGCAAAATAATTAGTGTTTAGAAATATTTGCCTTGCAATTTTTTAATATTAAGAGCTGTATCCTACACGCAATGAGCAAACACAGTAGATTTTAGTTCACACAACAAACAGAGCTCCTGCAATTATATTTGGTCTTCCTTTCCTCCCCTCCTGCTACCTATGTGCCTTCAAGATCCATTCCAGAGTGCTGGGGAGTGCTCTGGAACAATTTTGGGACATTACAGGGGCGAGGGGAGAAAAGTTTACGTCAGTTGCCTTGTGTAATGTTAGATTCCACCCAGTGTCTACAGTGTTGAAGGAATATTTCATAACCATTACAGTGGTACCTCGGGTTACATACGCTTCAGGTTACACACTCTGCTAACCCAGAAATATTACCTCGGGTTAAGAACTTTGCTTCAGGATGAGAACAGAAATCGTGCTCCGGCGGCGCAGCAGCTAATGGAGGTCCCATTAGCTAAAGTAGTCTTTAGGTTAAGAACAGTTTCAGGTTAAGAACGGACCTCTGGAACGAATTAAGTACTTAACCCGAGGTACCACTGTATATGCCAGTATCAGACATTTAGCTGCTTCATACCTTCCGTATTTACAGTCCCATCTGTATTTGCTGCAGAACAATACAAACTGTTGACAATGTATAAAACACTTCATTTGATACTAATTTTAATCAAGTGGCAGTGCAGTCCCAACATTTATTTCTAAGCTTCAGTAGTATGCAGTACAGGAACCACACCTGAAAGAAATTGTATTTTATATATATTGTCAACTTTTTAGTAACTCATAACTTTACTTTCCCCCCTGCAGATGTCCTTGTCTGGAGCAATGACAGAATGATTCACTGGGTGGTGTCGATTGGTCTCAAAGAATATGCAAATAACCTTATAGAAAGTGGAGTTCATGGCGCACTTGTGGCCTTAGATGAAACTTTTGATTACAATGCATTAGCTCTTTCTCTACAAATTCCCACTCAAAATACGCAGGTAATAATGAAGAAATAATTTGATGGGGATGATTCTTATTCATTATCAGAATACAACACTGAATAAGAATTTGTAGTGTGTGGCCTATTTTAACCCTGAAATACTGTATTGGTGTCAAAGAGCATAATGAATCTGTGGGATTGAGATTTAACGTTTTTTAAGGCAGAAGTGGGAAGCATATGTTGACTCTAGGTGCCAGATATTCAATATCTTATACATATAGATTTTCCAACTGTAACCCAAAAGTTTGAAATAAGTTTTGCTAATTCTTGTTCACTTAGGCTCGTGCTGTGCTGGAACGAGAGTTCAACAACCTTCTAGTTATGGGCACAGACAGGAGGTTTGATGAAGTGAGTATTTTGGTTTTTAGTTCTATGATTCCATCCAGACTTCTTATTTGTACATACAGCCACCACGAGTTAATGAAATCCTGCAGCAAACCTTTATGGGGACTTTTAACTGGAGTGTGTTTTTGGACTCCCCCTCCTGTGCATTCACTGCCAAGAGATGCAGTCAAGGGGCTCCTAGGCAAGTAAGAAGATAATCTTTCCCCCCTCTGGTGTCACAGCACCTAAGATTAAGAACAGTTTTCCTGTGCAGGCAGCTGACTCACTGAGATCAAATATATTTCCACTATTGATCAGTTTCTTTGTTTTAAATTTTAGGAACAGAGTTCTGTATAACCATTTATTCACTATTAGATGTTCAGCGTTTATAAATCACCGTTTATAAATCACCAAAAACCTTTCACTACTCCCCACTTTATGGTTGTACAATATTCAATATAGCACTACGGTGAACATTCCGTCAGGGCAAGGATTTATTCTTGTGCAGCAGAATATGTCCTGTCCACCTCCATCCCACCAGTGCGAGCAGATTTTAAGGATGGCACAGGCTGCATGCAGGGAGGAGGAGTGGGGGGGACCCCTGTTAATCCTTGCACTAGTTAGTGCAGAACTGCCTGTACTGTATTGGCTGTGCTTCATTTTAACATAGGTTTGCTCTGTTCTATCTCACTAGAAGCAAGTAACTCTAGTCCTCTAATGAGGTTTCCCAGTAAGCTCCACAAACTCTGCAGTGCAGATTCTTGTGCAAACTGCACCACAAGTGAGAGAAAACAGTGTCTCTTCTAAGCTCTCTGCACATTCTGGAGGTCTCAGGAGAGACAGAATCTTGTTTCACTTGCAGGGAGGCTTGGGTAAGTTAAGGAACAGGAAGGACTCCAGCTGTTTTCTTATTGAAATTTCCGTGCAACTGACAAAAATCTCCACCTCTCATTGAAGCCATTTGTTCTCGCTGCATTTAGGAAGCTTGGGGGTGAAAGTGGAGCTCCTTTTGACATGCATAGCAGTTTGCAAAAAAGGGGGGGAAGCAGGGAAATTTCTGTAGGTTCCGTTTTTCTTTTCATGCCACAGTGCAACTGAGAGGAAATGCCTCTGTCAATGTCCTCTCTGCATGTCCCAGAAGATTTGGTTTGTGGAGGGAATTGAGGTTAATGAGGACAGATAGAAGTTTGGTAAGCCTAGTCAATATTTGTTGATTCCTATTTTAACATAGGAGATTTAAAACGTTTAAGTAGAGTTTTCCATCCTCTTGAATTTGTTATAGCTCTGCATTTGCTGTACCATGTTGGGCAGTGATCATGGCATGTTTTGTTCTTTGGATAAGTGTCAGGCAACTGAGAGAAAGAACTATGCCTCCTCTCTGTGTTGTCCTAGTGGGAATTGTCACCACACTTGCTGTGCTAAAGCATAGGGAGAAAGTGGATAGAGAGATGTTTTTCTGCCTCTCATAATATTAGAAAACTGGGTCATCCAACAAAGCCAAACATTGGAAGATTCGGGACAAGCAAAACGAAGTACTTCTTCATACAGCACACAGCTGAACTACGAAATTCACTGTGGAGTGAATATAAGTTGCTAGGAAGCACAAGTGGGAAAGAGTGCTGTTGAACTCAGGTTCTGCTTCTGGCCTTCAGGCATCTAGTTGACTGCTGTGAGAACAGGATGATGGACTAGATGGGCTTTTGACCTGATAAAGCAGGTCTTTTACATTCTTAGGACATGTATGCCACTTCTACGTATTCAGGGAATAAGCCCTTCAAATATAAGAGTAGCTTGAGGAATTTATCTCAAATGTGTGCTAGTGAATCTGTTTCCCACTGCAACCCTGGCTGTCTTCTGCTGTTTTCAGTCCAGTAGAGCTGGCCCAAAGTAGCACACTAACCAAAACACAAAAGCGGTCAGGCGTGAATAACTTTAGGATCATTTAGTTTAGGTGGCAAAGTGCCCACTTACCATGGGGGGCAATGGAGGTGAGTCAGGGCTTTTCTAGAAACTGAGGTTTGATTATGGTTATGCAGCACTGGAAAGAACTGAGCAGTCATATAATCAAGTAAGCCTTGATTTTAAAAAAGCAGACTAAACATATAAGAGTGAACAGGGGCAAATGGAAAGGTCAAATTTTGTAAGTGTTGGTTCATTTTTGTTCAGTATCTCAACAGAACAGAGCACAATATACACCCTCCAACCCCTCTTGGAGATCTGTGGATGCTATCCCTGGCTTGCTTTGTTTATGAGACAGCTGAGTTTCTGTAAATTGTACTCCTTCTCAATGAGTTTAAATGGTTTCTTGATTTTTATGTCAAAAAGGATGATTAACTATTGAAAGGCTTCCTATAGGGAGAGCACAAGAGAGTGAGGAGGAGGAGTTGTGGGATGAATGGTACAGCTGTGCACTGTAGCTTTCTACTTCTGATAAGAGAGCTGGTCGGGGGGGAATTCACAGAAGGAAAAGGCTTAAAAAAGGAGAAATATAACATCACCTTGGTTTTCCTTCCTTACGTTCTGTTGGAAATGCCAAAGAAGGTGATGGTGATTCAGTGAGGTGCAGGACAGACCAGGAGGGCACTTGCAAACTGGGTGGGGGACAAGTGATACTCAGGGGAAAGGGGAGTGGTCAGTAGAAAAGGGAACTCACATTCAAGGGAATTCCAGCATGCCAGAGCTGTTAAGGCTGAGTGGAAAGAGGCTTGATGAACAAAAGGGTAGCCCTGCAAAGGGAATTTCCAGGCACACAAAAAGGAAGGCCAACTGTCTTGTTTAACAAAAAAGTAGTAAGCTTTTCATTGTTTTTTTGAAGTTCAGTTTACAATACTGCCTGGATATCACTCTTTATTTCTCAGGGCCGTAGGTAGCCAATTAATAGGCAGTACAGTGATTTAATTAGAACCAGAGGAGAACTGTAGTCCTGGAGATCTCAAGCTATTTGAATCACTCTCTTGTCCACATCAATGAGAATTTTGTGGGAAACTCACAGCTTGATTTGTCTGTCCAGCTAAATTTTTGCTTAGCTTATTTTCTCAGACAAAGCAAAAAGGAAACTGTTCAAGGTACACAAAATGGCAACAGAATTGCCCTTCTCACAAAAGGCTGCAGAAACATTTCTTTTCTGCATTAATTTGGAATTCAGTACTGAATTTTTGTAACTAATGTAATGTCTGCTAAAATTGCTTATCATATTGCATAGTTTCAAATTCCTATTAGATGGGGGGAAGACTGTCAGAGACTGACAGCCATGGGAGTAGATAGTCTTTGAAAAGGATGCATGAATATTGGATTTTTATACTTCATCAATAAAACAATCAGCAACGTGCAAACTATGTGGTTCCAAAGCATCTAAAAATCTAAACCAAAGCGCAATGTTCTGAGCCCTCTTGAATATTATGGTTGTGTTGTATATTAATCATACATTAAAGTGTATTGCCTTTCTTTTTTTCATGTTCAATCTTTGTTACACTTGTTAACTTGATAGGATGATGACAAAAGCTTTAGACGAGCACCTTCATGGAGGAAGAAGTTCAGACCAAAGGACATACGGGGCTTAGCAGCTGGATCAGCAGAGACTCTCCCTGCAAACTTCAGAGTTAACACCTCAATGTCTTCACCTTCTATGCAGCCAAAGAAGATGCAAATTGATGGTAATGTAGTGCTTATTTATTTTAAGCATGATGATGATTTATGCCTGAGGTTGTAAGTGTAATCATCTGCTTTCTTTGTAAGGGGAGTGAGGAGGACTTAACCCTGTGCATGACTTTCAGTAATGCTTTAATTTGTCCGTGAATGATGGCAGCATTAGTAATACTATTTCAGCATTAATAACTGTTTACTTTCTGTGAGACCTAATGAAGCAAACTTTAGGATTGTTTTCAAATGATTTAGAAATCTTTTTTAAAAAAATATCTGTGTGGTAATGGAACACATCTGAATCTATGTAGCGCATAATGCAATATTGTTGCATGCAATCCACAAAGTATTATTGCTGTACGTAATCCAGTTTCAGCTGAGCTTGTATGATGCTCTGCTCCAGTCCTCTTGGTGGATAGGTATTATTCAGCAGCTGGAAGTGGTAGATTCTACCAGCTATGCAGGTCTTACCAGTAAACAACCTGATTCCTTAACAAAAGGTGGGGAGTCTCTGGCCCAGATGCGCTCTCTCAGTAAATGTCATTAGCCAAGACAACCAAGGCAGTTTCAGTGATGTGACCAGGGCTAAAGTCAGATTGGAATGGATCCATGTAATCAGCTTTCTCCAAGCATTCCTAAGGCTAGGCCACCATCACCTTCTCAAACACCTTGCTGCAAAACTGGGCAATAGTTTTAATACTTCTGGGTCCAGGGAGGTCGTCTTAATGAAGGGACGCACAGCTGCCTCCCTCAGGGCAGATGGGACACCTGCTATAGTGCCATCTCTCATGTTTTATAGAGTTGTAAGTTACCAAGAGAGTCATCTAGCTCAACTCTCTACAATGCAGGAATCTTTTGCCCAATGTGGGGCTCGAATCCATGATCCTGAAATTCAGAGTCTCATACTCTACTGACTGAGCTGTCCCCTTTCCTTGACCTCTCTTCATTTTGGTTAGTTCTTTTGTGGGCTATGTTGGTCAGGTATATGGAGAGGAACTGTGTCAGTATTGGCGCAGGAGCATAGGGCTGGGAGTCACCTGATCTTAAACACCTAAGTGAGAAGCTACCATGTGAATATAGCTAGTACGAGGCTTATAAATTCATGACCCCAGGCACCACATTGAATGCTGCTCTAGGGATAAAGCTGTTAATGAACCTAGGAAGCTGTCTTACACCAATGCAGAGCGTTGGTCCATTAGTATTGCTTCCAATTCCTGAGGCCCTCTGCACACAAAGCATGTATTTTGCCATTGAGCTGTGAGACCTTTTCCAAATTTGTGATTGGGGCATGTGGTTGTTTTGACCTACTTAGAAGAATGGAAAGTATATGCTGGTATAGTTTGGTGGGCTGCAGCCAATTTGACAATTATCGGTGGCCCTCAATATGCGCAAGGTTTTCCCACCCTTTTCATAAAGTGGCTTACAAATACAAAGTAGTGAATATGTAGCCAATTACTTTACATTCTGCGTAGCTAACATTTTGTAACTTTATCTTGTTACTGTAACTGCATTGATATGTGGTTCTAATACTAACTGCATGCTGTGTTCTGCATGTCTTCCTGATTGTTGGAATAGGCAATGTATCAGCAACACAAAGATTGGATTCTGCTACAGTAAGGACTTATTCATGTTAAAGCCTTTTATTGGTAAGTAACAGTGATAGCCTCATTGGGGTGCATGGATGTTTTTAAAGTTACAGTATACAAATATAGGAACACATTCTTGACATCTTTCTGGTTGCTGTCTGTGGCATGCTGAAGTCCACATTGATTCGGAAGATGTCCCCCAGAACCACAAACTGCTGTCCAGCCCTATGAATTTAGAAAGCAGTTTTGTGATTCAGCCAAGCAGCTGTAAAAAGGAAGCTGGTGAAATAGTCCCTGTACAGCACCAATATATAACCCCCCTTTGAACAGCTGTCATACCTAGTCCTCAAACTACTTTTTAAACTCTGTAATTTAGACATAAGTTTGAGTTCTGTGGGGACACCTTTTGAAAGGCTCTGTGCGCAGGAGTCATACCCCCTTCTGTATGTCTTTGTGAAATGGGCAGTATATAAATATTTTAAATAAATCTACATTAGATAAATGTAAAAAAATTAATATTTTCATGCGCTGATAACTGTACTTTCAGCACCAGGCTTTCTAGTTTGTTTTTGGAAGATTGAAAAGGGGGAACTTTTATGTAATGTGCAAATAACTTGTATTGGGGTTTGTAGTATTGTAAGTACAAATACATCTGTATACTTCAAAATTTTTATTCTGTTGTACTGGGTAAGTGAATGAACAAAAAGCCATGCCGGACACTGCTCCTTACCCTTTAAAATTCTGTCCAACCCTTAAGGGCTATAATCCTGCTTTAAGGAATAAAGGCTGCCTTCATGGGGGTAACCAAGGGAAGGCAGGGGGCAGCCTGACTACGCCCATGGCTAGATCAGCCTCTTCAAGTAAATGGTTTGGTTTTTGTTTAAAATATGTCTGCCTTAATTATATCTTTGGGGAGACAGTGCATGGGAATACGTAACATTTTATTGTATATAAGACTGATTTATAAAATATTCTTGTTCTTCGAAAGCTACCTATAAGGAAGTACTTTACAGCTAGTTGTGCATCTGGTGCAGTTGTACTCGTGGGGCCAAGAGGAGTAGCCCACTGGTGCTGTGACACTTCTGAGTAAAGTCGTTCCATACAACTGATCAGCTTTTGGGTGTAAAGGAAAAGGGGAGTCTGGACAGAGTTTGGTTTCCCCCCTTCCTTTGCCTAACAGCCAGTTGGCACTGTGACAGGCTTTCACTGCCTCCCTTGATTGAGGCTGTGAAAAGAGAGTAAAACTGCATGTAGTCTCCCCTCTGTGCTTGTCATTCCTTGGATCAGAGAGATGGTGCATACATTTTCCTGACTTGACTTCTGCAACTAACTGAGTCTTACTTTATTTTCAGTTTATCCCCACTATTTCTACAGATGACCTGAAACATTTTGAATCAAAGACCGTATTTTGGAAACAATTCAAATCTTTAATCTTGTTAATACTTGTTAAATCAACACTTTGAAATATTTTATTACAGAGTTTTTAATTAGATGAATTTGTGAGTACTATAGAGAAAGTATTTTAGACTTAAATGTTTCTTATATTTATGTAAGTGTATGTGGGTCTTATTACTTACCTTTGTATTCAGTCTATAAATCAAATTACTGCCGATTTGTTAATTTTAGTCTCTTCAACTGAATGTACTGTAATGCTTGTATGTATCTACCCCTATAAGCAATGTAGGGTTTTTGTAAATTATGCAGTTATTGTAATTATCAGTAATAAGTTTTTAATAATAAACACAGGTGAAAAGGATTTTACTATCTTTGTAAAGGTATCCTGACTCAAGCAGTATATATATTTTGCCATTTGGAAAATGCTAGCTAGCTCTAAAATGTTAAATAAATCCCATTTTTTTCAGAGAAGCATATGTTTATTAATAAAGTGGGCATGGTACCTGCTTCTATTTCCGTTCATAACTCTACTTTTTCCACCTAGCATATGATTTTAATGTGGATTTATTTAAGTCTTCTGTTCAATATAACTTGCTTTAAATGAAATTCTAAAATGTGGGATTTATTTGAATACTATGAAATGTGTGTGAGACCTGGTGAGCTCATTTATAACTACTTTTTTGTGGCTATATTTGTACAGTCTATGTTCATTGACTGAGCATAAGCCATAAGCGGAAATATTTTCTCTTAACCGAGGATAGCTCCTAATAGTACTCAACAGGCAACGAAGTGCTCTCCTGTATTTTGATGTGAAACTGTTTTTCGGAAAAATACTGATGCAATTCTTCTAAGTGGACCAATCATGATGCGCAACTGTCTCATGACGAAAATGCTGATGGCCCGTGAGGCTAAAGCGTGTAGTAGTGCAACTATTTAAAAGGCCTTATTTTTCTTACGCCATCTTTTGCATATATTTATAAACTTGTTTTAAATTCTGGACAAAAAATTAATTGTTAATAGCATTAGCCATTTCAACCAATATAAGTAGAAAAATGCATCATTCTTTTTTTAAATAGCATCTTTAAGAGGCCAGCGAGGAATGAGTTCAGATTATGGTGCATTATTTATTATGCAATAATATATCCAGCATGTCTTTTTCTGTTTTGGTTTTGGCTCTTTTTAATTGTATGACTGAAATTCATTGTTACTGTTTTGTTGTTTTTTTCTATTAATCTTTTATGTGTACTTCTGATTATGTAACAAAATATGTACAGACTAAGTACTTTTGAACTATTTTTATCACAGTATTATTTATTGCTTTCTTTCAATAAAGTACTGAAGCATTTTTTTCCACTGCCAACAATGGGGGTTGAAGTGTTTTGAAGTGAGATTTCAAGTAATTAATTGATGTGGATGAGATTTCTTGTGAAGCATCCAGTCATGTTCCCCTTTGCTGAAACCAGCTTTCCCCAGCCCAGATGCCCTCCAGATGATTTTGAAGCACAACTTCCAGAATTAGACTACAACTTGGGTGAGGCTGGTTTAAACTGAGGCAAGTCCCATAACCTTCAAGACACTTAAGCTACCCGTGGTGTAGCACAATGTGGTGTTCGAGTAGCTTTGCACTACAACTCCCATTCTCCTATTGCCCATGCTGGCTGAGGACTGATGTGAATTACCCAGAACATCTGGAAAGCACCGCCTGTGCTATGTCACAGTCTGTTTACGTTCCTAAAGTGTAGCCCTACATTAGATTGCGGCTTTGATGGTTAACTCCATTGGACTCCAGTGCAACTTCACAGTAAGCCTGCATAACAATGCATGGCTGAGCCCCTCAGCTGTGTGCAGGAACCCTGCTGATGAAAATTTGTCTCAAAATGTGCCACATAAAACAAGCATTTCTAGAATGCTTCAGTAAGTGGGTTGCTTTTAAACCTTTTGAAGTTCACCCCACAGTTGAACTGATGCAACTGCTGTTGCCTTCTGCCATCCTCTTGTTTTCTAAATGGCTGCTTAGCCCTGTGACCAGGAGCTATTGTCATGTAATCTAGGGATTATCCTCCCCCTTTTTTTTTCCATCTATGCTATTCTAGCACTTTAGTGTAGAAACAGATTAATATTTCTGGTAGCTATAGCAACTCTGTGTTGAATGTGCTTTCCTCAATATTGAATGATAACAGGAACCAGCCTTGATTCTCTCTGCAGTCATTTCAATGCAGATGAATCACACATTTCCCCTAGCTTTTCCTTTCCATCTCAGCGGTTCACAACTTGCCGCTCGCATTTTGAGGTGCAAGCACAGAATCCAACGAAACAGATGTTTGCTACCCTAGAGGCAAGGAGTTGCAGCTTCTTTTCCTTCCATACTTGCAACTCAAACCCTGGAAAGGAGGAAGATTAATGTTCCCAGCAGTTTCCCCTTTTAATTCTGTATCAGTATCTTAGACATTGGGTAGTCAGTGTGGTGTCTGGCACACTGGCAAACTCCCTCAGTAAAGATGGGAGCAAGGTACTATGACCAGGTTGAAGGCACGTTAAAATTTAAAACACCTCCTGACAATAATTCTTGAGAGGTCAGAGATTCTCTGTACATGGTAGTGTTTACTAATGCAGCAGCAAGGATTCTTTATATAAAGGAAAACCTGAGGCCACTTATCCCTCAATCAGTAGATCAAAGTATGAATGAGGCATGTTGGAAACAAGACTGGAATTTTATTTATACACATTCAGTGAGGGTTAAAGCTCAGTGATTACTCTGGGAAGGTACAACACTTTGTTTCAGTCAGATCACTTTACAGAAGTAATTAAGAACTTGACTTAAAGCTTTACTTTAAACCTGTTTCTAATTAAACTAATTGTTCCAAGAATGGTTATTTACTCAGCCAGTAAAACACTTTCAGACTCCTCCTAGAATCTTTTCCTTCCCCTCAGAAATAATCTGGGTTGCCCAGCCTAGCGAAACCCTGACCACCCAGCCAAAGCCTAAAATCCACCTAAGCGCTATCTGACCGTTTACGTCAGGTTCTCTTCTTCAACTCTCCACTCCCTCGTGATTGGTCAACACCACCCCCCAGCCCTGACTGGCTTCTGGGTCTCCAGGAGTTTGAGCCAAGGCCCAGTGTCCATAAGTGTCCTCCAGATAACTATTCCTATCATCCCTGACCATTGCCCATGTTGGCTAGGGCTGGTGAGAGTTGACTTAGATCCGTATGAGCCTTTCCATCACTTGAGATCTGGCTGGCTCTTCTCTCCCCATGCCATAAGAAAAGTTTTCTGCTTCAGTTTTGTAGAATATTCTCTCCTGGAAACAGTGATGCTCTCTGGGCAGAAGTCCAGGGCCCTATTCAGCAGAATGATAGACACACAGAGAGAGCAGGGCTAGATTTGCACATTTTGAAGCAATGCGATGAAACAAGCGATGGTGCCAATACTTGGAAATCTTGTTGAGGTCAGCCACAACAGTTTTAAGAGAAGCTTTTAGAAACTTGCTTTTTAGCATATAACAGTCATGTTCCAAATTTCATTCAGCTATAAATTCCATAGTTGAAATTAAGTTGCTTTTCTAGACTCTTCTTCACATTTTTGCCACCATTAAACTGTATTGTGAATCATTGCTCTTCTTTCCCAATGGTGTAACATCTCTCATTTACCCTAAAAAAGGTCTATAGGAAATTGTATCCTAGAACATTTTTTTTTTAAGCTGCAGGTTTCCAAAGAGTAGAAAAGTGTTCCTTAACAGTTTCCAATACATACATACATGTTTTTAAGCAGTCGGTCTCTGCTCCGTGCCCCAAACATGAGTTTCCAACATCATTTCTATTATTTGGAGTTCAATAGACAACTTTTTAAAGCTATAGAAATGCCATTTTTAAAGCACGGATCTCTGAAGTTTGGACTTGCAGATGGTAAAAAGAGTGTTCTGTTTACCTATTCTTCCCATGCACATGCCTGGCAAAAGTGGCTAGAGTGCTTCCTTCTTCTACAGGAGCTTGGATGGGAAGAAGGGAAACAACCTGAGGCAGAAAAGTGGAAGTGACCCGTTATTCCAGGTCAAAGACTGTTGCTTTTGTCCTCCCTCTGCTGAAGCCCTGGATCCCTCCAGCTCCTTTCTTCCTCATTTGTGATGGCCCTACACAAACGGTCATGTGAGGCTGTAATTTCGGGGGCAAAGTGCCATCAGTATGCTAGTGATACTCTGCTCTATTTCTCCACAACATCTCAATCAGGAGAGGCTGTGCAGGACCTGGACTGGTGCCCAGACACAGTGGTGGGTTGGATGAGGAAAAAGAAACTGAGCTTTGAATCCCAGTAAGATGGAGGCACTGTGGGTGAATGGTTTCCTGTGTCTGAGAAATTGGCCAGTTGCCGTCCCTGGATGGGGTTGTGATTGGAGGCCTCAGTGGCTAGGAGTGGCTTCTGTTTGCTTTGGTGCAACAACAGGATTGGGATAGCTTGTTGCACCTTAATGTTCAGGCATTAATGACTTCAGTATTGGATTACTATGCAGGACTTCCCTTGTGCTTGGCCTGGAAACTGCAGCAGGCTCGCTGACAGGAGTGAGACCCTCCCAGCATATCTTGCTCAGAGATCTGCAGTGGCTGCCGGTATGTTACCAGGTCAAGGGCAATATGTTACTGCTCTCAACAACTTGGGGCCAGTTTTCTTAAAGGGGGCCTTGCCTCATATGTGTCCAGTCGGCCACTTCAGTCTGTGGGACTAGCGCTTTTACAAGTACAATACAATGTTCATTCCATGCTTGCAAGAAGCCACCCTTTCAGTGTTGCAGCACCTACACTTTGGAATTCTCTGCTCATTGATATTAGGCAGGTGCATTCTCCAAATGGTTTTCCCGTGCCTACTAAAAACTATTTTAGTTCCAGCAAGGCTACCCAGGCATGTAATCTTAACATGCAATTTTAATGCCTCATTTTAGTAAGTACAACTGTTTTAAAATTACAGATGTTATTTTAAAGCTTAATTTTTTATGTTACTTGTTTTTAATGATTTTTTAAAATTAATATTTTAGGCTATCTACTGTAAGCCGTTTAGAGGTCTTTTGTACTAGTGGCGGTATGCAAATTTTGTTAAATAACCCTATGCCCATTTTAGCTGGGAGCCAACCCCACTCAAATCAGTGAGACATGGTATACTTTTGGATCGACGTTGTGATCCAATTGCTAGTAAAATTTCCCGCCCACCCACCGGCCGACTTGAACGCCTGGGTTCCCCCACTCCCACCCTCTGAATGGCAAAAGCCATTACACGCTTTGGTACGAAACGATGCTCCCATAGCGGCTGGGGACCCGAGCAAGCGCGTTAGAAAGAGGCGGCGCAGAGAGAGGGGTCCGGGAGCTTTTGCATAGGAGAAGCGAGGGACGCATCGCGGGGTTTCAATATAGGCGACCCCCCTTTCCGCGGACTTGCTGCAAAGCCCGCCCGGAGCCGAGTGCCAACCACCACCGGCAGCTCGCTTTAGTCCTCTCCCACCTGATGACGCGCTGTGATGAAAAACAGGAAACGGGATCTTGGGAGAGGCGGAAATTGCAGCACCAGCCGAGTTAGGAAGCCCCAGCAGGGGAAAGCGAGGAGACGCTGCATCGGGAGAGGAAGGCGCCTGGGCAGCCAGGAAGTGGGCTGGGAACAAAGTAAGTGGCAGGAGCCCGGCCAGGTGCTCCCTTGCGCGGCTCGCCTTTTGCGCCAGCCACGGGGAGGCTCCTCGGCGCAGCAAGATCCGCAAGCCGGGAGGGTCCCTGCCGCCCGCGATCCGCTTGCCCGGAGCGGGACTCGGGTCTTGGCTGGAGCGGGGAGGTGCAGCCGGGCGTGGGGGCTTAAAAAAATCAAATAAAAATCAAGTGGGCGGGGGGTGCCTTGGTTCTGATTTCTGCGCCACGCGCAGCATGGCCATCCCTGGGATCTAACTAGGGCATCGGCGCTGCAAGGTGGGGCCCGTACCTGGAGCAGCCCAGATTGAGATTTGTCAGGGGAGGAGGAAGAAGAAGAGTCGTATAGGGAGGGAGGAAGTGGGGGCTGGGGTGCCACATGGCATCTCCGTGGCTGGCTGGGTGGGCTGCCTCGCTTTGATCGCCCTTTGTTCTTCGGTGGCGAGGAGGCAGCTGATCGAAGGGGGCTGAGCTGCTCTTGCTTCCTTGTCTGGGACGCTCGTTCCCGAAGGGAGGGGAGCGCCTTCCCGGCTCGCTCTTCCGCTCGCCGGGCGTGCCCGCGCGCCGTGCCTGCTCGTGGGGGCAGCATCGTGCTGGAGAGAGGACTGCCTGCCCCCCTGGGCAGTTGGCATGTTCCTGGGCGCATGGATTGCAATTCAGGCTAGTGGCTGTGGATGCGAAAACTGGATGGGCTTGTCTGGAGTAGGAGAATATCATTGTGTGGTGTGTGGTGTTGGATCTAAGGGGAGGGAAGTTATTTGACAGCTTCATCTTGGGGGTGCTGCTCCCCGCAAGCTTAAAGCTGGTAAGAACTCTGGCAGGGTGAACATCAAAACAACCCGTAAGTGTCTCTAGGATATGAAGCTGCCAGGTCCACCCAGCAATGGTCCATCTAGCTCAGCATTGTCTCCATGCCTTCCAAGGTTTCTCCAAGGCTACCTGGAGATGCTGGGGATGGAACTGGAGACCTGAGTGCAAAATAGGCACTCTGCCACTACGCTAATAGCCCTTCTCTTTGTCCTGTGATTGAACCCCACCCCCACCCACTTCTTAGCCATTAATGCAATAGGGAGATGCGCAATGATTTTCCTGGAGCCTTGAGGGGATGCTTATTTGCGCTTGTTAGATGCATTTCCATGATTATAATTGCCGAAAGGCCACGGCACGTGAGCCAGTAGTTTATGGAGGCAGCAGGTCATGAGCGCTGCCGCAGATCATGTGTCTGAAAACTACTGCCTAGCTGGCATGTTAGGTTCATCCTACGGATGTTGATGTGTGCTGGGCCTACCCTTGTCATCCTATGAGACATTGCGCTTTCGGAATCCAGAGAAGAGCACTGTTCAACTGGATGCAGATACTGTCCTTTGGAAACGGCTTGCAATTCTGTGGTTGTTCATTGCCTGTGATTCAGTCAGTCACACAAAATGTTACTCATGGCGCAGGCAGAAGTTGGACTCATTCATTCTTTCGTTCTGAAGTCCACATACCACTGGACTATCCAGTGTTTCAATGAAGAGTGCTGATTGAAGATGTTTGTTTCTGTTGTGGTCATTGCTTTGCCTTTTCAGCTTTGAATCTAATTGTCTATGTCCCACTCTGTTTTATTTCCTACCTCATTGCACTTCCTAGAGCAGGGCTGGCAAGCCTGTGCCCCACCCCCAAATGTTCCTGGGCTACAGTTTCTATCAACCCTGACCATTGGTCATGCTGGCTGGGGTTGGAGAGAGTTGGGAGCCCAACATTCATTTGACCATAGCTTCCCTCATTCCTCTTTTTCTAATCAACATGAGAAGTTGGGTCCAGACAAAATGTTACCTGATGGCCAAACCATGGTTTAGTGATCAAGAGTGTATTTATATTTTACCTAACACTAGTTGGTGGCAAACCGTTTTCCTGATATTGAACTAGTGATATGAAAAGCTTCATTTGCTCAGTATTTGCATGCCAGACTGTTTTTAAAGGCACAGAGAAGCCTGTAGTCCTAAAATTAATAGATGCTGGATGTATCTGACTTTCTGACCCAAATGGCACATACAGTATATGTAGTTTACCTGCAGAAATGTGTACAAGTCAAGAAACTCCAAATACCCATGAAAGGGAGATTACTGACAACGGTTAATTTAAGGTATTATTTTGAGGCCTGCTCTTTCCTCACTTAGGGAGGATATGTACACAAATGCAGTAACCTTATATTCTATAGCACAGACCTATAGGATGGGTAGCTAATGTGAAAAAATTCCTCTGAGGCAATTGGGGTTGACTTGCTACACCACTTTTTACTTTCTTGCTGTATAAAATACACTCTGCATGCCACCCTCCTTTCTTGACTACAGTCTGGATAAATTCTTTTAATGTTTTATTATGTTTTGATATGTTGGAATCCACCCAGGGTGGCTGGAGGAACCCAATCAGATGTGTGGGGTACAAATATACAGTAATAATAATACAGTAATAATATTCCTCTCTGGCTGCTGAAGAATCAGTAGAACAAAGTAGCCAGCGTGTCTGATTGTCTGAGTTCTCTATTCCCCACCCCCTTACCCCTTTTCCAGAAATTGTGTGAGTCAATGACTCATGGATAACGTTTCTCTCCAGCCTGGTTTGAAAGAAATTGGCCAGAACAGCAAATTGCATAGGAAATTTAAAGCCACTGAGCTGCTAACCATGTTCAGTGGAAAACTAGAAAGGTTAGAGCTGGAAAGGAAAACTCAGTATCTCTTGCGTCTGCAAAAGAAGAGAGGCTGAAATGTTGTCTGTTGTGTAGTACCTCTGATCCTCTCTGAATGTTGATAACTGTGTGTAATCCCAAGCACACTTACTCTAAAGTGAGCCTGGTTGAATTCAGTGTGACTTATAGAGCATTGCAGCCTTATTTTTGGTCTGGTATGTTTTGTGGGGAGAGGATTTGAGCTTTATGGAACCGGGTGGCCTTCAAACTGCCTGTGTGGGCAGGCAAGAAATTGCTCCAGATTGTCCACATGTCTTTAATTAATGCCCATGGCCATTTTTATCTCAGTTGAAACTCATTTATATAAAGAGAAGCTACCTTTAAAACCACCTATTTCCATAACTGCAATAAATAATAGTAGAAGCAAAAACTATCTTATATTGCTGTAAGTGTGCAGAGGTGAGCTGGCTAAACAGTTCAGCTTGTGTCATGCCTTCTCTGAACTGGCCTCCCTTTCTGTGGCTGGTTCACAATGTGTTTCAGATGAATGAATGAACCAAACATATGCATGTTGACTCTTACCGGAATGAATTTCCTCCTTTTCCTTTGAAATTATGCCAGTAACTATTCCTAGCTGTGGAATAATGGCAAGAGGATTCTTTAAAATGTATTCAGCTTGCAACAATGTGGGGTTAGCTAAATGTACACCCATTAGAATTGCAGTTGTTGGCAGTATCTAACCATAGCAAAGCCATTAACCAACCTTTCATTGGGTTAGAGGGTGAAATCTATATATTTTTCCTGGCAATAATAATGTGATTCTTGCAGAACTATTTTGTACTGCAAGTATGAAACCTTTTTTATTCTAATGTCACTGTTTCTTCTGAAATTTCAGATGTGGAAAGCAAGCGCAGGCCACACTATCAGTGTCAGCCAAGATGATGGTGCTGATGACTGGGAAACGGATCCTGACTTTGTGGTATGGTTAGACACTTTCTCTAAATGCTAGCCATGCTAGTTAGAATCAGAGAAAAGCAAGTAATTTAGGGATTGCTGGCGCTGTGGGTAAAAGCCTCAGTGCCTAGGACTTGCCGATCGAAAGGTCGGCGGTTCGAATCCCTGTGGCGGGGTGCGCTCCCGTTGCTCGGTCCCAGCGCCTGCCAACCTAGCAGTTCGAAAGCACCCCTGGGTGCAAGTAGATAAATAAGGACCGCTTACTGGTGGGAAGGTAAACGGCGTTTCCGTGCGCTGTGCTGGCTCGCCAGATGCAGCTTTGTCACGCTGGCCACGTGACCCGGAAGTGGCCCCCGGCCTCTTAAGTGAGATGGGCGCACAACCCTAGAGTCGGACACGACTGGCCCGTACGGGCAGGGGTACCTTTACCTTTTTAAGTCAAAGTCTGAGAGTCATTGGGAGGGACATGCTTATGTTTGTACGCAACAAATAAATGGATTTAACTGGGTTTTTTAGTAGCTAGATGTTTCTCCTGCTGAAGGACTTGTTGGAAGAGGGCAGGATATGAAATTGAAATTAGCCAAAATGACCAGCGACAGATGGGAAGAGGCAGGGAGGATGCAATTGTAGGATTTGCTGTCATTACAGACCTTAAAGTCTCTTTCACCTCTGAACGCTCTGGTTCAATTGTAATTGCTGCTTAACCTGTTTCTCTTTCCTGTGTACTTTCAGAATGATGTGAGCGAAAAAGAACAGCGCTGGGGTGCTAAAACTGTGCAGGGATCTGGTCACCAAGAACACATCAAGTAAGCCACTTCTTTCATGGTCTTAAAACTGTGATTCTGGTGATAGTTTTGGCACGTTATTCCTTTTCTAGAGCAGAGGTGGGGAACCTTAGGCCCTGGGAACCAAATATGGCCATTGAGCCCTCTCCCTCTGGCCCTTGGGTCTCTTCCCAGCCACATCCTGTTTTTGCCTGGCTGGAATGTGAATACTGAGCATGTCTCTTGCAGGGTGGAGTGTATGCATATATGGAAACTAGCCTGCTGTGCAAAGCTAAAATGCATATCTGTTGCTCCTCTCATTTTTGCCTCTGGCCCCACCCACCACAAATATTGCCCTGAAGGGAATGCAGTCCTCAGCCTGAAAAGAGCCTTGCTCTGGAAAAACAGCAAACAGAGGCTGTGCGCACGTAATGGGCCTCATCTTTTAACCCAGGGCTCTTAACCAGTTTGTAGCTGGTCAAGAATCCTTGGCTAAACAGGTAGTTAACATTAGCTGCTGATAATATCGGTGTCGAAATGCCCTTTAACTTTGGGTAAGGCGTTTGCTTTAGGGAGAGACTGTGGGGGGTATAAGCATGTTATCAGACAGCTCACTCTTAATCTCTTAATTGTGGTTTAGATATTAATTGCATGGCATTCTCACCAGCCCACTGCTGTCACTGTGAGGGCTCATATGTTTTTATATGTTCTAAAGGGAAGTGAAAAACTGCTTCCAGCTACCACCTTCATTGCTACATACACTGTCTCAGAAATAGAAGGGCAAAATTTCAGATCTTCTGCCCTGTGCATTGCAGCCATTCTTATTTCTCTGGTGAGAGTTCAACTTCAGTCTAAGGCTGGGCCTGCAGCTGGCGAAAAACATAGCCGTATGTAACTTATCTGAATGGTAACCTAATGATCAGTTTTGAAAGGTAGATAGTATTGCTGTAATGAAATCTGAAGTCTATGAAGACATCAGTACAGTCGTACCTTGGAAGTCGACTTCCAAAATGTTTGGAAGCCCCCAAAGCGGGGCTTCTGATTGGCTGCAGAAAGCTCCTGCAGCCAATCGGAAGCTGTGGAAGCCCCGTTTGGATGCTCAGCTTTCAAAAATAGCTTCCAAAGCGGCACACTCATTTCCATGTTTGCGGTATTCAGGAGCCAGAATCTTCGAGAACTAAGTTGTTTGAAAATCAAGGTACGACTGTAATGGCCTTCTGCTCTAAATATTGAAAACAAATGTTTCTTGAGCATGTGACACAGTTGAGGAACCAGTTTTCCTACTCAGCTCTGGTCATTTGGTCCGTGGTATGCTTCAAAACATAGTTTGGAAATTTTTGCGACAATTGCCTGTTCCTAAAGGCATGTTAGAAACATGGTAAGCCATAATAGCAGCATAGCCTCTGGCATTGTACACTGATGCTTGAAGTAGCTCCATCTCTGGAATAGTACAAGAATGCAGATTACGCTATCAGGTAAGGTGGCAGGGCAGACAACACCTGCAAGTTTATTGTTAGGAGGAACAGCGTCGGATGAACGGCCCTTTTCTGAACAATGTCATGGGCTGTAAACAGGGTACATTCAAGCACTTCTGGTAGGGCAGTAGAAAATGGTGGCCCTTTGCATTACAGGTGCCTGGGGCCATTTCTGGAGTACTGTGCTTAATTTTTAGTCACCCATGGTGAAGAAGGATGAATTCAAGGTGGAAAAAAAGATGCAAAAAGGAGCTGCTAAGAAGGTAGCAATAAAACAGGGACTGTTAATTTAATTCTTTTCATAAGTAAATTTTTATTAGTATAAATAATACTAATAAATAGCCAATAATAGCCAAATTATAACAATATCAATTTGCGGGACAGATAGTTTAAAGGCAGCTCTGCACAGTGTGAGATAAATGATACGATGGGTATAGCCTGTGACTTCTTGCACTTCGGTCAGCACAAGAAATCCTATTTTTGCCCTGCAAAATCTTGGATGATTGATGAACCATCTGGACAGGACAGTGAAAGCACTGAAATATTTTGCATTTTGGATGTGTAATGCACTGCAGTATTAGCATTTGAATTTCCTTACTGCAGACTTCTCAGGCAGGATTCAGCTAATGAGTCCCATCAGCAGAAGCTGACTTCTGTTTGCACAACAGGGTTGTCCTCCCCTGCCCCCTATGTGCTCCCCAAAATTGGCTCTGGGAGGGTTGGGTGAACCTCAAGAACAGTGCATGGAGGAAGGAGAGGAGGGATTGCTTTGTTTGGCAAGCTGAAACCTTAGTACGACATTGAACTCCTCCCCTAGGTTTCTTCCTCTGTTTAAAGCAGCAAGGTATGTGTGTGCAGAGGGGTGGGAATAATGTAGAAGGATTCTGAAACGGGTATGCAAATGGTGGTTTTTATTTAATTATGGGAGGAGTTGATGTAGTTTCTTTCTCTTCCTAAAGATAATTAAAAATGTTAAGGGCAAAAATGGCACAGGAGGCGAGAGCTAGAACAAAGTGGCATCTATTACTGCAATTTCTCTTGTTTTTAATTGGTTTTGTCTCAAAAAGCATTCATAAGCTGAGGGAGAATGTATCCCAAGAGCATCAGACTCTCAAGGAGAAGGAACTTCAAACAGGACCAAAAGCTTCCCATGGCTATGGAGGAAAATTTGGTGTGGAACAAGACCGCATGGACAAAGTAAGTGCAGAAGATTTTGCACGGCTGATGTGCTGTGTAACAGGCATGATTTGCCAAACAGGGGCCTCGTCAGGCTTTCTTGGACCCTGCCTCGTGCTCAAATGTCCTGTCCCTCTTTCTGCTTCTGGGTGTCTGGTGCTATTGTTGCATTCCTTTGACAGGGAACTTGGGATAGTGGAAAAGTTGGTCTGACTTGACTTGGCAATCCGTCCAGCTCTTAGTTTTGCTTTCTAATTGCAGGGAAGTGAAAATACCTTGTGTCATGTCCTGCTCCTGGGAAGGTGCTTAATATTTCCAGTACACTTTCTAAATTGAGGAAATGTCTACCTCACATACATAATTGACATTCATGCTGACTTCCCTTCCATTCATGAATCAAGCCTTTGACATCTTCTCCCTCTCTCTACAGACCCTCACTATCACTGCCCAATAACAGAGTTCTTAGGACATCCCACAAGAAGAAATAAAACAAATTCAATAACAAAACACTTAAGAGTATAAAGACAGTGGTGGTGGGGAAGTCATATTAAGAACATGAAGCTAAATTGAATTAAAAATAAAACCTCCTGCCTAGAGCTGAAATGACAGAAGGGTAATACTGCTGATAGACTTGAAAGCCGCTGAGAGGTTTAGGAGAACCCACAGGATTGAAACCCTCAAGACTGCCTTCTGGGAAAGGTGATCTCAGAGGGCAAACCAAGACCATTTCTGTGCTCAAATGGGCTAGAATGACAACTGAAATTGATTGAGAATGCTGAGGATTCTTGGCTTAAAAAGAAAAAAGGTTATTATTGATTGAGGCATAGAGGTAGTAGGAGTCTAAAATAAGAATTGCAGAAAGCCATTGGCCAAATTTGCTAAGAGACATGTTGCCTCCGTGCTTGATATGAGTCAGTGTGGTGCCAGGTGGAATATGCACACTGCAATACTCTAGGCCTGCATTGTGGCATGCAGTAAATGGCCTCTGATCCTTACAATTCATGAAGGAGAATTGTGGTTAGTAAATCTGAGTGTGGGTTGCAGCAACCACAAGCTCTTACCTCAGCAGACAAATGATGAAGAGGAAAATCCCCAAGTATCTTAATTCTGAACACAGGATTTGAGGAACTAGCTCTTGGGTGAAGTTGAAACTACCTCAGCTGATGAAAGAGGCTATGATTTTACTAGAACTCTCTCTTTCTCTTTAAATCTGATCTGCAGTTGACTTATGCAAACCTGGTACAATCATTAAATTGTTTATCCCACAGTCCCAATAGATTTTGTTTCTGGTCATTGCAGTTTGGAATAGAAGCCTATTGTACCTCCTCCCATGCTGAAAACTCTGTTATTATTTTATTTTGAAACTCAGAAATGGCAAATTGCGCGCTAGAAAAGCTCCTGTTTGATAAGGCACATGCTTAGCATCTCTCTCCTGCTCTGCAGGAAGACAAATGTGGAGACCAAATGTGGAGGAAGTTGTTAATGCTTGATAGAGACTTTGGGAAAGGAAGAGAGTGTCTGGTGGCTTCCTGTAGGATAGCAACACAACACAACATAGTGCACACTGAAGGCACAATTTTAGCTGAATTCTCTTGCAGTTGGAAGATGCTTTCTGGTATAATAGCTGGCGCAGTAATGGCAGCCTTCATTTAATTTATACTTTTTCTTTGTAACAATATTTAATATACTGACGACTTGTATAGAAAAAGTCGTGTAAAGCACATATACAGTAACGGTAAGCATCAAAGACCAGAAACTGTCATAAGAATCTGGCCGATCACATACAACTTATCCAGCTGAAACAACCTATTGACATAAGTAAGTCTTCGAAAGACATCTAAAAAATAAGAAGCAGAGCTGCTTGGTGGAATTCCATCAGGAGGGCATTCCACACTGATGGGGTCGCCACAGTAAATGCTTGATTTATCATAGATACCAAGTGGGCCACATTCACACAAGGATAGTTCAAAATGAAGTTTGTAGTGGTTAAAGGCTATCCCTTTCCTGTGGCCTTCTTGCATCTCTAGACCATGATACTCCTAGTGCATTGGCTCCCCCCCCCTTTGCTATTTACAATTGAGTCTGTATATATTTTGGTAAATGGAAGTACTGACTCCTATAAGCTGAGGTAATGGAATTTCTCTCCCCCCCCCATTCACTTTTAATTTGTATACCGCCTTTCTATATTGCTGTACACAAGGCAATTTACCAAGTTGAAGAAACAACAAAATATGCAACAAAGATCACACATCCTATAACAGTCTAGTCCATGAAATGACCAAATACCTCCCTGTCAGTGACTTGCTCAAGAGCCTTTGCACCTATAAATACATTTTGAACTTGAAATCTTATTTGGAAAAGTAAAAATAACAAGAAAGCTGGATTTTTACAATGTTCACATCATATCAACTGAAGAGATCGTGTTCATATATATCTTGGATGGGGACCTCCAGGCCACAAGCCAAACTTGGCCCACCAGCTTTCTGCATCTGGCCCAGGAGGCTGTTTCTCTGAAACCCGGCCCACCTGATGTCATATGTGATGTCAGGTGTGAAGCAGGTAGAGATGAAGCTGCACAAAGCAGGATTGAACCACCAACTGCATCAGCTGATCCACAGGGAGTTCAGTCCCATCTAGTTCAGTGTGACAACAGATGACTGACAAGGAGCTGGTCCCATCCACCTGTCAGAGTTGGCCTTCTGGCATGGGGGAGATAATGATCTGGCCAAAAAGGTCCCCCACACTCCAATATGCATGGAACCAAGACTGCAATCTTTGCTTGTCTTCTACAATTTAAGTAGAAAAGGCAACCAAGGTTGAACCTTTAAAGTTACATGTTTTCTTAGAAATACAGAGCAGCCATGGTTTAACTTGTTTGAATAATCTTAAAAGCGCTCTTAATTGTTCATTGACGCCCTTAGCTTTCTGATGTCATTTCTATAGTTTCTTTGGGGCTTATACAAACTTCAGGTTCCACAGGGAGGACCCAGTAACCATAGTGCTTGTTCAGTTTTGTGTTGAATGAATAGGTTTTTCCTTCCTCTAGGTGGAAGTTAATTGGTCCATATGTTTATATTAAATGTGTCTTTTCTTGTTCTTCCAGTCAGCTGTTGGTCATGAATATCAGTCTAAGCTTTCTCAGCACTGTTCCCAGGTGGACTCGGTGAAAGGTTTTGGTGGGAAGTTTGGTGTGCAAGTCGATAGGGTTGACCAGGTAAACGACTTTCCTGTATTTCTAGAAATGCGTTTGATAGCTGCCTCCTACATTTTTATAGTGTAGGTGTCGATGTGGCTGTATTAAGATGGTTCACATGTAAGTGTCATTTATTAATACCACTTGGGGGTGCTTCTTTGTTTAGAATACTCTTGTAGTACTTTTTATTGTTATTAAAATAATTTTCATTTTATTTATTTATTTCTGCAGTCCGCTGTGGGATTTGAATACCAGGGGAAAACCGAGAAACATGCTTCTCAGAAAGGTAAAGCATTCTGAGGAGTTTGTGTAGAATTCATATTTTCTTCTTCACAACAAATGCTGCTGCAGAATTCTTTTCCAGTACAGTGGTACCTCGGGTTACATATGCTTCAGGTTACATAAGCTTCAGGTTACAGACTCCGCTAACCCAGAAATAGTGCTTCAGGTTAAGAACTTTGCTTCAGGATGAGAACAGAAATCGTGCTCCAGCAGGAGGCCCCATTAGCTAAAGTGGTGCTTCAGGTTAAGAACAGTTTCAGATTAAATACGGACCTCCGGAATGAATTAAGTACTTAACCCAAGGTACCACTGTATTTTTTTCATGAAAGCTTATGGAACAGGAATGTTAAGCCTGTCATTCCATGTCACTGTTGGCAAATGACACAGATAGAAGAATTGACCTTTCAAATAATGAGTTGTGGCAAATCCTTTCCTTTTTTAGGGTTGTTGTTTTTTATAAAAAAAGATGGGACCCTTTAAATAAGAGGATCTTTTGTTACAAGAGACTTTCTACAGAATATCATTTGTGTTTAGTACCTCAGTATTGAGTCTATTCCTAACTGAATAGCCACTCAGATGGAAGCCTTATTAGGGCATTCATTTCCTTCACACGTCAAAATCATGTGAGGAGCGTGGCGGTACACTGTCTAGGCCTTACCCCTAACATATCAGATATCCTTCAGTAAAGTTACTGTAACTGTGACTATTACATAAATGCCAAATATTTACTCTTTAACACACTTCAAACCACTCTTTTCATAGTTATAAGGGTGGCAGGGAGGTAATTATTGAAGGAGGTGCCACTAATTAGCATCATCTTCAGAATTGTTCAACCGGCATCCATGCAGTTTCTGACATTTTTTCAATGTGCTCGTTTCTCAGACTACTCAAGTGGATTTGGCGGGAAATATGGAGTACAGGCTGACAGGGTAGACAAGAGCGCATTGGGATTTGACTACCAAGGGAAAACAGAGAAGCATGAATCGCAGAAAGGTTTGTTGCTTGCATTATATTCTGTGCATTTTTTAAAATTTCAGGAGCTTGTGCTATGATGGTAAATTTGTAAAATGTTTTTCCCCCCTCTTTAAAAAATAGGGCAGCGACTCATTTTTATAGCATCAACTCAACAAATAACCTTCCTTTTGTGTTTGAAAATTCTCACAGTTTAGCTAACACAGGAGTTCTCTTCAATCCAGAGTTGGCGTCAGAGGAGGCGAGAAGCTTATCTAGTAGATTTGATAGAAAATCTTAATACCTGGAGATTCTAAATTCTGAGTTCCGGCTGCAGTGGTGGAAAACCAAGAAAAAGTGTCTCTTTTCAAAAGCTTGGTAATGGGTTTCCAAAAAAACCAACCAATCAACAAACCCTTATTTGCCTGTTTGTGGAAAATGACCTCTTCTTCTCAGTTCTCTGGTATGGGGGTGGGGGGTGTTTGCCAGGGATAAGAGGTAGTTAGGCTTTTGTTTGCATATTTTTGTTTTTGCTGCTGCTGCTCCTTTCTGCAAAACCATGAGCAGAATTATGCACTTTTATTCTCTGTGGAAGAAACCAGTCTCTTTCTGTTTCTGTTCAGTTTTTGCAGGAGGCAGCGAGGAGCTACTGCAAGCACTTGTTCTCCAAAAGGCTGTTTCTCAGGGAACAAAAAGCCACTTCTCTTTTCCTTCTCCATATTTTATTGAAAAATACGGATGAACTCGATGTCTTGTGATGTGAAAGTGTCCTCTGTGGTGGTTGGGTAGTGATGGCTCTTTCACACATGCAAGTCAGCACTTGAATACTCAGTTGGGGTGAGGGGCAGGAGAATGTGTGAACTGACCACTGCTAGCCAAATAGCTATCAATAGAAAGAATTTAGTGTCTTAGTTTGTACTGCTGTGATGATTTTTTGATTTTCCCTCTATCCCATCTCCAGATTATTCCAAAGGTTTTGGTGGTAAATATGGCGTGGACAAGGAGAAAGTGGACAAAAGTGCTGTTGGCTTTGAATACCAGGGCAAAACGGAAAAACATGAATCACAGAAAGGTTTTTATTTTAAATTTTATTCCATGAAATGGTTTTGGGTTGGCCTTCTTTAAGCCTGAGCCTTTTAGTATACTTCAGTATCCCTGCATAAACGGAAGCCTTCAACTTTTAGAAGTAAAAAAATCCTCTTCCCTTTCGCTTTCTCTTTATTCGGTCTTTTTGTTTTGTTCATTTTGTTACTTTTATATCCTTCCTTTCCTTAGAATAAAATATTAAAAAATCCCACAGCACCTGATGCCTATGAAATAAACAAACCTAAAGTTGATTACTTAAGGAAGGCCTCTGTGAGAATACACAGTTGTATTAAAGTTCTGAACTAACTTCACAGCACACAAGTTCCTTCATAAGGATTGTGTTGTGTTTATGGATGTTATGGATTTTGATTTGTTTGCCTTACTGTAAACCGTCCTGTGACTTGTGCAAACGGTGGTATATCAATCATTTCAATAAATCATCTAAATAATCTTATTTGTACAAGTATTTATAAATGTTTATAAATACAATACCTCTGTAATATATAGATATATACAATTTAGAAGTGTAACAACCATTAAAAGCAGTATAGAACAATCATTAACATGACATGATTATTTGTTTATTTATTAAATTTATATATTGCCCTTCATCCGTAGATCTCAAGGTGGTTCATAACTTAAAAACCACAAAAATATCCTGTGAATACCTCGGCTCAGACAATTTACTGCATCCAGCAGGAAATCTGGATGATAGAACTAGTAACTGCTGATGTGGCAAAACACTACTATTTTTTGTTTGTTTTTTGTTTGGTATAAACAGCTGCCTCTTAAGTTTGCACCTCATAAGATTAGCAGTATTCCTTCTTGTGCATTTCTGTTTTGTGTAAATTGGACTATAGTGAATATTTGCTGAGTTCTATACAGTAGCATTCTCAAGGCACTGTGGAGCCAGGTAGCAGAGTAGAAATTGCAAAATAAATGTCCTAAACATGTAGTTTAATTCATCTCAGTTCGCTGAGTCCTTATGACTGCAGCTTTGTGTACTACTATTTTCCCACCGTTAAAAAAAAAAAATCCTACTCGTACATTGAGTTGGACTTGGCAAGGGGAAGAAGACCTCTAGCTACTTTCTCTTAAATATATAAATTCACTTTAAATTCCTCCAGGACAAAAACGTTATTTCGGTAACACCTTGTGTTATTTTATCTATCTAGATTATACAAAAGGTTTTGGTGGAAAGTTTGGGGTGCAGACGGACAGACAGGACAAATGTGCCCTTGGCTGGGATCACCAGGAAAAAGTACAACTGCACGAATCTCAGAAAGGTATATACATATTTCTTGGCTGTACATATAAAGGGGTACAATGATTACCATCCTGTATACTGTACTGTATACTATACTATATTGTTGTCATGTTCATATAGAAGGAAGGTATATGCATCACATGATCTCTAGCAGAGGTCACCAAAGTGGTGACCTCCAGATTTTAAACTACAGCATCCCTAACCATTGGCTGAGGCTGATGGAACTGGGAAACTTGTGAAAATATTCTTCAGAGTTTTCAGACTCAAACTACATGTTCAAAAATATTACATGGGCTTGCACCATTTCACTTGTATATTGTGAGGTGGAAAGGGAAATAGTATGCCTGAATGCTTTCCTTTGTGAAAAATGCGTTCTGCTTTTGAAAAGATGCGTATATCAGAGAAAGTTTTAGCACATTCTTCTCCTTGGTGGTATTGCTGTGTATATGCAGGGGATTTTTGGCATGGGCTTTCAAACGTGTGGCATTCCAAGCTCTGATTTCTCCCAGCTGCAATCTGAAGTAAAACAGTCTTGGGACCATAAGATTTCTCAGTGTGTATTTTGGTTCTGAATTGCATGATGTGTTCCTGAAAGTAGTTATGGGAGGCTACTCTTCAACGCCATGGGAGTCATCCCGTGGTGTCCTGCAGGGTTTCATCTTGTCCCCCATGCTATTTGACCTCTATATGAATCCACTGGGGGCTGTCATCAGGAGATTTGACGTGCCATCAATATGCAGATGACACCCACCTTTCTCTTTTTGTTTCATCTGAGTTGGGAGAGGCAGTTGCTTGGAAACAGTGATGGACTGAATCTTGGAAAGACAGAGGTGTTATGTGCTCTGAGTTCTTACACCCAGGAAGTGAGGCGATGGCCTGTCCTGGGTGGGGTTACACTCCCCTGGGAGGAGCAGGTCTGTTCCTGGATTCAGCACTGTTTGTTACTGGAGGCTCAGGTGAGCTTAGAGGCCAGGAGTGCCTTTTTCCAGATCCCGCTGGTTCACCAGCCTCAGCCCCTTTGGGGCAAAAATGACCTGGCCATTGTACTCCACGATTGGTAACTTCCATATTGGATTATTGCAGTGTGCTCTAAATGGGGCTGCCCTTGAAGACATCTCAGAAACTTAAATTGGTTGAAAATACAGTGGCCAGATTACTGGCTCTGGCTCCATTTAGATAGCACATAACTCCTGTTTTAAAACAGCTGCACTGGTTACCATTTTGTTTCTGGCTCCAAAATACTCATATTAATGTTTAAAGACCTAAATGGCTCACCCTCTAGATACCTGAAAGACCAACTCCTTCCCTACTGGACCCTCTTGAGCTCTCAGATTGGTAGAGGGGGGCACTCCTGTTTGTTCCACTACCCTCAGATGCTATGGGGAGGGGGTGGCCCAGGAAAGAAAATTCTCTCTGGCAACCCCTAAGTTGTGGTACTCATCCCAATAGAGGTGTCTGGCAACTTCATTATTTAGCTTCTGTGATACTTGAGATGCGTATTTTTAGGACCCCCCTTCCTTTTGTGATTTTTTATTTTTTGTGATTGTAAGTTGTTTTAATCTGTTTTTTAACACTGTGTTTTAATTGTTGCAACCTGCCCTGGTACCTTAGGGTTAGGGGCAGGTAATAAATTAATACTTTTTGGGGCTTTTTAATAGTGTTTGTTTTTTGTTCATCCATGTTGTATCTAAATATGTTTCTCTTCCTCCTGTCCTTCTCCTTCTCTCCTCTTGCTTCTTTCTCCTCGTGATATAACCTGGATTTCTCAGACTATAAGAGTGGTTTCGGAGGGAAATTCGGTGTTCAAACAGAGAGGCAGGACTCCTCAGCTGTGGGGTTTGACTACAAGGAGAAACTAGCGAAGCACGAATCACAACAAGGCATAGCTTCTAGTTGTAACTTACCCAGTGCTGCCACTTCTACCATAGACTTAAGTTGCTCTCTTTGAAAGTCCTGCACCTCCCTCGGGCAGTTTCACGGCAACATTTCTTTCTCTCTGAATCATATCATCCCAATACATCGCTGCAATCTTTAGTTGAATGTTTTAAAGCTAATGGCAGCCATTCTTCATTATTATTATTTTTGGCAAGTGCACATCAGGTCAGTCGTCTGCAATAGTTTTGCTTGAGTGTGGACTCTATGATATGTAAGGAGTGGACCTCTCCCATGCCTTGTGTGGTTCTTGATTCTGGCCTACAAAGCCTGAGTCTTTGCCATAGCAAGGTTGATTCTGTCCAGGAAATGTCACTTGTAATACCCACGTCCTTAAACAGTTGAGTTTCTTCCGTCATAACAAGAAGCCAACATTTTAGGTTTATGCTGAAATTGATAATACTGCTTAAAAATGCAGACATCAGTGTCTCTTTCTTTAAATGCAATGGATGAAATAGCATAACAGGCACCACTATGAGATTATCTTCTTTTCTCCATGTGCTGTGAAATCAACCTAGCCAACATTACATATAAATATACAGTGGTACCTCAGGTTACATACGCTTCAGGTTACATATGCTTCAGGTTACATATGCTTCAGGTTAAAGACTCCGCTAACCCAGAAATAGTACCTCGGGTTAAGAACTTTGCTTCAGGATGAGAACAGAAATCGCGTGGCGGTGGCGCGTTAAGAACAGTTTCAGGTTAAGAACAGACCTCTGGAACGAATTAAGTACGTAACCAGAGGTACCACTGTATATATATATAGAGAGAGAGAGCTCCCTTGCCTCTTTCTTCAAAGGAAAACCCATGTGCAATTCATTTCCTAGAACTAGTACAGTAGTTTCCATATGTTGCAATGTTAAAGTCATGCACCATCCATCCGATATAAAATATGCCCTGATTTGGCTGTTAGAAGGTTTGAGATTTTGTCTTTATGCAGTGTATCAGTTCAATATAAAACATGTAAATAATGTCTTCATTGAAATGTTAGGCAAACGTGACTTGGTTCCAATGTTTTGGGTGGATAGATAGATATATAAACTCTCTTTACATAGAATCTCCTTGATGAAAATAAGGCAAGGTAGCCCATGAGATCCTTCTATAAATAAGAAGTATTTCATTCCTTCAGTTTCCCCCCACAGTGTGTGTGTTTTGTAGAAGTTTGTCTATCCAGCATTTAATTGTACTTCTGTTGTCAATCTTTAATGAGACAATGCCCTGCTCAAAGTAGACTCTCTGAAATCGGTGGGCCTGACTGATGTCAGTTCAGTGCTTTTCATTGTATCTACTAAAGACTATGGCTTAGTTGGATACAAAGCCCTCTGTGGTTAATATATCTGTGTCTTTTTGGCATTTAAAATGCTCATTCATTGACATGGTGAATGCCAGAAGTGGCGAGAAGTAAATGCTAGAAGTAGAGTAATCAAGGCTGTTCTATGGAAGTGGTGTGTGGCAGGCAGGGTGTTGGGTCCAGAGAGGGAGAGCATCCTTTTCTTTGCTTGATTCCTGCCAACGGTCATCCAGTGTCATTTCAGCCGATGAATGTGGAAGCATGAATCTGGCCCACTGTAGCTTGCACATCTGCCGACACTTCTTCCAAAATCTTACAAGTATATATATGTATATATTTATTGCATCTACTTCTTTTCCGTTTTTTGCTTGGCTGCAGTCATTGGGAACTCTTAAGCATGCAGCTCCTTTCAGTACTCATCTGCATTTGAGAAAACTCAAAAGAGGGGTAGAAAAAATCACCTACAATTAGTGTTTTTTTGTCCTGTTTTTAGACTATTCGAAAGGCTTTGGTGGAAAATATGGCGTGCAGAAAGATCGAATGGATAAGGTATGACCGTAAATCAAATATTTCTTATGGCAAGGATGGGCAACCTTTCATTTCTGTCTGGGAACTGATGATGGGTGGAGCCAGAGATAAATTGTCTGCATTAAATAATGTGGAATAAATACCCCCTGACATCAGTTTTTATAATGGCTGCCTCAGATTAGAATCACCAGTCCAATGCAGAGGTGCTCAGAAATAATCCCCTCTGAATTCAATGAATAAGTATACAAAGGAGCTTCTTACTTTATTTTTTAGAACAGCGGACCAATACAGAAACTGTTCTGGAAAAGAGATCCTTTCTTAGGCATATATACATACTCACGTGTGGCTGGTGGATGATGAAAGTGGTTTTTGTTGTTTTGTTTTTAAGAAACAAAAATTGTGAGGTAATTCATATCAGCTGCAATTTTAGCAGCTCACAAGAAGTAGAAAAACATTACAAAAATGTAGCATATAAATGTCCAAATGCATAAAAAAGAGCGTTGCAACATAAAAAGTACCAGGGATCAGTTCATAAAAGCATCCTCAACCTTCCGTGCAATTGTAACCATGTCTACTCATATGTTGAACCTTCATATATTTGTGATAGAGACATCTGTTCCCTTTGCTACCTCATATCATTGTGCACTTAAAGCTTCTCTACTGCTTTTTGAAATTGAGAGTTGCTCTTTTGGGTTCTCTGCTCAGTTGAAATTTAGCTTTGTGTTTCATTTTAATTATAAAAAATGTCAAACACCTCTTGCATCCAAGTTTTCATTTGTCATTAGATTGGCAAGTGTCAGGTGGCATTTTGCTTTGTCTGGATACTTATTAAAATCACACAGCCTTTTTATTTGTTTTGAGTGCACATGTCACCTTTGAGAACATGCAGCTTGTACATGAAAAGCAACTTTGGAGCATAAAAATGACTTCTTCAAATAAAACTGTTGTGTGCATTTCTAATGTCTTGTTATCTTGTCCCTGAATATGTTTGTGACCTCATCTGTCTTTTATTGATAGAATGCAGCAGCTTTTGAAGATATTGAGAAATTGTCTTCAACATACCAGAAGACCAAGCCGGTGGAAGCTGGTAAGGCTATATTTTAAAATGCTGAAAATCTCTGTCCAATGTTTTCCTTGTTTATGGTTTAGGTTGCCCTTATACCTGAAATATATTAACTTCTTGATGGCCTAAGTGCCTAGCATTATGAGGATGAGGGGCTGTGAATCTCAGGCTTGTGTGCTCCTCTCTTCACGACTGACACGGCCACAAGGAGATTCCTGAACTTTCAGCTTTTGTTTTGGATTAACCACAGTTTAGTGTTGCAACTGAATCCCAAGTTAATCTTAACTATGGTGAATAAAAACAAGACAGCTTCTTAAATTATGGCTTGAAGGTGACTAGTTTCCATTAAGCTAAGGCGAGCCACAGTTTCTCCCAAGTTCAGATGGCAAATCAGATGTGGTTAATCTATAAATGAAAGGAAAACTTCTCAACTCCTTGTAGCAACATTTCAGGGGTGGTGGCGGTTTGTGAGCCTGAGGTTTACTGCATTTCACCCTCATAATGCCAAGCCATGCTTAAGCATTACATGGGAGTGCAGTCATTGCATCAGCATAAGTACTAAATCTCCTAGGTATATTTAGCTTTCTATGCTTGGAATGGCGAAATAAAAATTGGATGGACTTTCTAATGTATTTTCTTTTTTGTCTGCTCAGGAAGGGAGTCATCATTTTAAATTGAACGTGTCAGCTAATCCTTGGCCTTGTTGCTGGAACGACTCCCGAATTCCTAACTTTTAAGTCAGTCATTTAGGCCTGAACTTTCAATATGTTCCAATTTTTGCAGCATCTGTTTTTAGTAGGAAGGTGAATGAGTCAGGCTTCTCAGGGGATTACATTACTTTTTCTAAGTATAAAGAATTTGCTTAGTCTTAATTTTGGTTACCAGTTAACTCTGGATCTGCATGTTGTGGAGGTTTGCATAGGAAACTGCCCTGTAAAATGAACGTCTCAATATTTCTCCTATTACAGCAAATAACAAAACCAGCAACATCAGAGCTAACTTTGAAAACCTAGCTAAGGATAAAGAGCAGGAGGATAGAAGGAAGGCGGAAGTCGAAAGAGCTCAAAGAATGGCACAGGACAAGCAAGAACAAGAGGAAGCCAGGAGAACACTGGAAGTCAGTGAAATTCATTGTTTTGCCTCTTTCTTCCACCCTCCTCCACCCTTGAGAAAAAAGTCAGAATTGGTTTTGTTTTGTTTTTTGAAAATAATTAACTTTAAAACTTCTAGAAAGCTGTCAACTTTTACGATTCAGGACTAGAATACATATTATAAATAGGTCTGGTTATTGTTTGCTTAAAGTCTTCCTAGTTCCAGGATTCATTAATTAGGCTGTAATCCAAACTATGGATTCAAAACTATGAGGAGGGAAGGAAGCTATTTTTAGATATTTTTAGGATCCCTTCTTTCTGGTTGTCACTGCAGTGTACATCCCAACTGATGAAGCTCACAAAAAGAAAGTTCCTGCTGATAAAATGTGAGCTGTTGTCAACCAATCCCTTTGTGTCTGGACTGGACACAGAAACCTCTAGAAGCTAAACTGTTAGGACCTCCATCTCCATCTGAATTGCTCCTTTTATTGTTAAGAAACCTCTTGGTGTAACTCTGTATTGCTAGCATCCTATAGGTCACTAGCTTTACTTGTAGCAGAGACATTCAGCTCCCTGATTTCCTTGCTCTGGTGCTGGCAAGAGAATCATTGCTGAGCATTTCTGAGCTGCAGTGGGATAGAAGTGGGTGCTGAAGATGGCAGGCACGCCTCCTTTATGACCCTAAAGCTTGATCCTATGACTGGGGCGCACAACTAGACAATAGAGAAGGATGTTTGCATGGGGCTGAGCAATTTTAAAATGTTCTCACCCTGTAAGGTTTGAGTTAAGCAGCTGGCAAAATGCAGAGGCAGTTCCTCAGTAAAATATGTAGAACCAGCTGGAATAAATACACTAGAAGGGTTTCTTTCTCTCCCCCCCCTGCCCCCCGCCTCTTGGAAAGCATCAACCTCTGTTGAGTGTTCTCTGTTAAAGAAATGTAACTTGGCTGTATCCTTGCTCCCAACCGATTCCTTTCTTCATCATATGATCTGTATCCCTGATGATGTCATTTAAATCTAAGAAAGAGAATAGCAAGGTGGTAGTTTTTACTTTTATTTCTAATGAGCAAAAATACTAGATTATTGCTCCTAAATGCCTACCTCTTTTGGACTATCTTTAAGTCCTAGAAAGTGCTGTGAAGCTTAATCTGGAGAAAATTACTAGCAGCAGCACCCAGCATGGGTCTTCCTACTGCCACCCACTCTGACTCCTGCCTTTGAGACACTGATGTAGAAAGAAATTGCCTGTCTGCTACAGGATATGTGGGCTCCGTGAAATGAAATGCAGCAGTCCTGTACTGCTTGCATTCACAACACCTGGTAACAATTTAGTGTGTCAGACCACAGCCCTGGGACTACAAATGAAAAATAAGTTCCTCTCCCAGCTTTGTAGTATGTCTTGTCTTGTTAGTGGGTTAACTAGACAAGGGAAGACTTACAGACTTGTTTCCCATCAATGCTTATTTGCGGGGGGTGGGTGGGGGTGGGGAGATATGTAGTAATCAATGTTATAGTCATCGCTCTTGTGTATTGTAATTCACCATTAGGGAAATGCACAGTACCTAAATGTTTATGGCAGGAACAATGAACAGTTCACTTATAACCCAGTGCTACTAATTTTATGTATTCACAAATCTTATATCCTGTTCTTCTTTCAACGTGGAACTCAGGACGGCTGACGGCCAATAGATAAAACAACTGTACACAATAATATATCATCTAAACCACAAAGTCATGGCAGCAACAATTCATCAGTACAACTGCAACTAAAAATAGTTTACCTCTTTGTATATGCACCTGGCCAGTGTAAAAATATATAGTCTCCTTGTAAAAACAGCATTCCTCCGTGTCTTGTTGCCCAGACATATATTGACTTAAGTGAACAACTGAGACTTAAAAGTGCAGTGCTTAATAAATCCTGCAGCAATTTCACTAATCAGCCATGGTAGAGAAATAAAGATACATACAGCAAAATAATCAGCTAATAGAAGAGTATAAAAATACAACAAATACAACACACTAACAATAGAAAGCAAAAGCACACGGTACCCTCTTCCCTCCCTCAGTAGCAGCAGCAATGTGGAAATATGGATACATAAAGGGAAATGTGTAGGATATAGCAGATTTACCATAACTCTTGCCGTTTCCACAATTGTTTACAGTAAGCAGGTGACCACAAGTGTACTTGCTGTATGTACCTTGCTTATCTAGGGACAAGAGGGGCTGCTCTTCCTTCTGTGACTCTTTCAGCTTTTACCCAGAAGCATTATTTGATCCAAACTCCTATCCTGGGGTGCCTTTCTTCCCTAACTCTGACTATGGGATTCCCCCACCCCATTGGCAGTTGTCATAGGGGTGCTGCACACTTGTTGCTCCAGAAATGGTGACCTGTGTCACCTTTGTTGTTCCACCTCACACCAGTTGCTGTTAATTGGCATCATTGTTTCTGGGAGTCTCGGGAACAGGAGGCTGCAAAAACTCCTTTCTGATTCCCACTGTCTTGGTGGCAGCTGCTGCCTCTGACAGTGCTCCACCTGGCAGTTCACATTTGGTCCATCTTTCATCTCCCTGTCCTTTACCCTTAAGTCCAATCAGCTTGTCAGAAAGGTGATGTTTGGTGCATTGGAAAATGCGGTGCCTTTATGTTCCGAGGCCATTTCTAAAATAGGATCTTGAAGCCTGGTTGGTTAATTAATGCAAGGGAACCAGCCCCCCATGCTTAAGGATACAAAGGTAAAGGGATCCCTGACTATTAGGTCCAGTCGTGGCCGACTCTGGGGTTGCGGCACTCATCTCTCTTTATTGGCCGAGGGAGCCGGCGTACAGCTTCCGGGTCATGTGGCCAGCATGACTAAGCCGCTTCTGGCGAACCAGAGCAGCCCACAGAAACACTGTTTACCTTCCCACCAGAAGGTACCTTACCTACCTACCTATTTATCTACTTGCACTTTGAGGTGCTTTTGAACTGCTAGGTTGGCAGGAGCAGGGACCGAGCAACGGGAGCTCACCCTGTTGCGGGGATTCGAACCGCCAACCTTCTGATAGGCAAGTCCTAGGCTCTCATCATAGTCTTACTGTTAAGTATTCTCCTCATTGTGCCTGCTTTCTGTTTTAGCCTCCTGCAGTGTGACTCCATAAGTGAAACTGCTGCAGAAAATAAGTTACCTTCCTTACAAATTCTCACTTTTTCATAGAGGGGCAAGTTAGTGGTGGTGTTGCGTGTTAAGTGCAGGTCACAAACTTCCTGCTCCTCTTGTTGTGTCATGTCTGTGCTACAGATCTTGCTTTGATCCATATTTCTTCTCCCTCCCACCCACTCTTGTTTTCTCTCTCTTTCTTTTAAAGGAACAGGCCAAAGCCAAGAAACAAACTCCACCTCCATCTCCTGCTCCTGTTCCTGCTCCCACACTGCAGCCTGTGGAAGAAAAATTGCCATCAAGTCCAGTCTATGAGGTTAGTTTGCTAGCTATAGTCATTTAGCCAAACAGGAAAAAAGCAAAACCCTAGCTGAAGGGCAAATGCACGCTGAAGCTCCCAGGTACAATCACTGGCACCTACCTGTCAGGTAGGAACTGCTGTGAAAGAGGTCTGTGCCTCCTCTGCTTGTCAGAGGAGACAATGTTGGGCTATATGCACAAGTAGTCCAATAGGGGCATCACCGGAAGCTGCCTTATACCACTCAGGACAATAACATTGTAATAAATTTAATCACATTTGCTATGCTAAATTTGGAACATTCGACAAGGGAGAGATCATGGGGAGAAATGAGAATACGCTTGAATGAATTATCACGGGGTAGTGAAGAGCAGACTTTCAGCTGTATAATGAACAAACATGCTGTGCAATTGTATTCCCACAATGATTGTGATGCGGCTGTTGCAGTGCACCATCCCAGCTTCTCCTCGAGTCTGCCAAATTACTTTGCCAAGGAATTGATCTGTCGGACTCTTGTAAGGCACTTGCTGTGTATCTTCTCGGGAAGGGCACTTGCAAAATGTCATCTTGCAGCAGTCTCTAAAATGCAAGCAGTCCATGGGCTGTCTTCATGTGCTCCTCATTTTTGAAAACTCTGATAAGGAGGAGTTCCTGGTCCTGGGGAGGCTTCTAAGCATGTTCAGCTGAAAGCACTTAGGAAGGTCTAAAGGGGGCTTCTGTGTCAGGTGGAGCAGATGAGCATTTGGGGGTGCAGGGGGCTGGCACAGAGGTGTCCTTCCCCTGCACACTTTAGCCCTATATGCATTCATGTGGATGTGGTGTGCACTGTGTCCTGTGTACCGGGGGTGGGACACCTTTATTAGCCCAACAGGGACATTCTGAGAGGCTCATGACAGCTGTGGGTGGGGTCAGAGGCAAAACAGATGGAGCTATGAATATAACTCCCACTTTTGTACTGTAGCATATATGCAAAAAAAGAAGTTTCTCTGTGTGTGCTTGTGTACACATGTGCACGCTCTCTGTGTGCACTTTCCTCTCCACCCTATGTACAGGCAAGCAGCAGTTCAATCACACATGCCAGTCCAGGCTGTGGATTGGAGAAGGCCTTAAGAGTCCATGCATTCCCCACCACCCTTCCCCCAGGGTTGAGGTTTCCTCCTCCTAAGGGAGGCTGTAATAACTGCATTTCTGTAACAACAGTGTACTTGAAGTTCTCTCTGTCTGTTATGTTCTGGCTGCCTCTCCTTCCCTCTAGGATGCCGTTTCCTTTGAGTCTGGCTACAAGAATTCAAATGCAAATTACTCAGCCGCACACGAGCCAGAAACCAACAACAAAGTTGAAGAATCTGACTACCAAGAAGCAGTCAGCCAGCGGAAGCCGGAGTATGAATCTGAGACGGTGTATGAAGTGGCTGGGGCAGGAAACCAGTATCAAGCAGGTTCGTCAGCTTATCTTTTGACCTAGGAGAGAGCTCTTTGGTCATGGCTTTAGGCAACGGTAGACTGTTCTCAGATCTGGTAGTTTGAGATGTTCAGGCTAGAAAACACTCAGTAAGTGACAGGAGCTGGGAGGTAATACTTTTGAGTAGATGGTTCCTTCTTTTTCTAAAGCTATTCAGGGCTGTGTCTAGCCAATGCTGCAGCAGATTTACCTGGGAAGCCTCTCTGTGCTGTATTGAGTTCCTTAGAGTAGCATCAGATACAAACCTATAAATATTTGGGGTCTGTGCTTTCTGAAAAACAAAGCTGGGGAAAAGGCATACTAGCTTGACTTGTAAGGTGTTAACGGTGTTACATCTAATGATTCTAGGCATCTGAAAGTAAGTCCCTCTCGGTGGGATTTATTCTCCAGTAAGCATGTCTAGGATTGCAACCACAGCCTACTAGGTCTTGGCTTCATGCAAAAAAAATGATCTTAAATGGTGATTAGAACCTATGTTGTGTGATGCAACTGAATATGGGAGAGACCAACTTATAAGTGTCAGACTACATGTTAGTACATGAGTTTAAGAAATTCACATATCCTTTTATTGTGTCATGCATAGTAGTAATGTGTCCCTTTCCCTTTAGATGAAACTACTTACGAATACGAAAACGACCTTGGAATAACAGCGATAGCCTTATATGATTACCAGGCTGGTAAGTAACACATACTCTTAGTTCTGCAGTTCTGGTTTGGTTTTTAAAAAAATATATATTTTGCATGGGGTTATATTGAGCATACACACACACACACACACACACACACACACACACACAATATTCTTCAAAAAGCACTATCTCATAGAATGCAGAACATTTTCAGAGCTGTGTCATAAATTTTGCAGTTTTCTGAACACAGCGCACAAGCACAGGAATGGTAGGTGCGAAATTCAGTAGGTGAGAATATTGACTAAGTTTCTAACCCTCGCACCTGCTTTAAAGACAAGACAGAAGTACTGGTTTTTGGGGGACAGGAGGCGGGTGGGTGTGGAGGACTCCCTGGTCCTGAATGGGGTAACTGTGCCCCTGAAGGACCAGGTGTACAGCCTAGGAGTCATTTTGGACTCACAGCTGTCCACGGAGGTGGAGGTCAATTCTGTGTCCAGGGCAGCTGTTTACCAACTCCATCTGGTACGCAGGCTCAGACCCTACCTGCCCACGGACTGTCTCGCCAGAGTGGTGCATGCTCTGGTTATCTCTCGCTTGGACTACTGCAATGTGCTCTATGTGGGGCTACCTTTAAAGGTGACCCAGAAACTACAACTAATCCAGAATGCGGCAGCTAGACTGGTGACTGGGAGCGGCCGCTGAGACCACATAACACTGGTCTTCAAAGACCTACATTGGCTCCCAGTACAGTTTCCAAGCACAATTCAAAGTGTTGGTGCTGACCTTTAAAGCCCTAAACGGCCTTGGTCCAGTATATCTGAAGGAGCGTCTCCACCCCCATCTTTGTACCTGGACACTTGAGGTCCAGTGCCAAGGGCCTTCTGGCTGTTCCCTCACTGTGAAAAGCCAAGTTACAGGGAACCAGGCAGAGGGCCTTCTTGGTAGTGGCACCTGCCCTGTGGAACGACCTCCCACCAGATGTCAAAGAGAACAACAACTACCAGACTTTTAGAAGGCACCTGAAGGCAGCCCTGTTTAGGGAAGATTTTAATGTTTGATGAATTACTGTATTTTAATATTTTGTTGGAAGCCGCCCAGAGTGGCTGGGGAAGCCCAGCCAGATGGGCGGGGGTATAAATTTATTATTATTATTATTATTATTATTATTATTATTATTATTATTATTGTGTGGGCAACACCTGATGGTATCTCAGAAGCCAAGAAGGTAGGAATGAGGCTACATCTCACAGCTTTGCTATATGGCAGAGAAGTATTTTCTGCTCAAATCACTTACTCTGATTGAGACCACTGAATTTCAGTTTGTGGTAATTCGTTACACCAAATAGTTGGCCACATAGCACTCCAAAGCAGAATCCACATTGCCTTTTGGGGAAAGGGTTATTAGTTCCACCTCTAGATTCAAAAATATATTTCCACATCTGTGACAGGAGTGAGTAGATGATAAAAATAACTGGTAACTCCCAGTTTTATGAAAGATTTTACATAAGCATTTTTGTTTTGCTCTTGGGATTTGGATTACCCTTTCTTCTGCAAGGTTTGTGTCACTCACCGTACTCGCTTTCCAGTATGCTGAGTATATTCCCCTGAGAATCCTGGCCAAACAGTCTCCCTTTTGCAATCTGCTTCAAAGGGATTTCCCTTTTGGTAACCATTCCACTGCAGGCTTGCCATCCTAGGTGATCTGGAGGACAAAGACCCCAGTGCCACAGCAAATCAGCAAAGGGTCTGGCAGAGTTCTTATATGAATGCCAAACACACTTATTCATCAAGCCTGACCATTAAAAAACAGGTATCCTATCTGGAAGTTGTCTTTGGTGATGGCATGATCTGGCACACACCTGCCAGGAACAATCTTCAGTGGTTTCGATCTTGTTCTCGTGTACCACCTAGGCAAAAGAATCACACGTTTCTCATAGAATTAAGGTATTTCATATGGAAGTTTGGGATCTCGGGTGCAATCTAGAGTTGTGTTCCCATGCCTTGGGTGGAACGCATACTCTGCAACACCAACAACCCTTTCCCTCTTTATAACCATCAATGAGAACCCTGCTTGAACACAGATTAACTAATTGTAAATACTATTATTTAGTACCTTACCCGTTCCCCCACCCCACCCCCTTTTATATCTGTATGAGATACTAACTTGCAAGTTGCTTCTGCTCTTTCCACAGCTGGGGATGATGAAATTTCCTTTGATCCTGACGACATCATCACAAACATTGAAATGATTGATGATGGCTGGTGGAGGGGAGTGTGCAAAGGCAGATACGGGCTCTTCCCAGCTAATTATGTTGAGCTGAGGCAATAGGAAATAATGTCCTACCATTTATGCCTTAATACCGTGATCATTCGTCTGATTTATTACACTACAAATCATGTTCTTTTTCTTCCGGAGGATGGAGGGGGTCTATACATATTCCTTTTATATTTAAGATATTTTCCCGATGCTTTTACAAATGTTTATGGGCTCAGAAATCGCTTAATATATTGTAACTCTTGCGTTCCCCACTTCAGCCTGTTGTCATAGGTTTTTAATGCGGTTTGAAAATGGGGGCTTTTCCTTTTGGCCAAATTGGTGATGGTGTTCCCGACAATTTCCAAGGCATTTTTAGCTCTTTCTGATGGCAACTGCATGTCTCATTTTGTAGCTGTTTGTGTGCTGAATTCCCAAGTAATTATGTCCAGCTGCTCTAGTACTCTCACCATACTCTCAGCTACTCATTGTCAGTTTCCCAGATCTCAGCCGTGCAAGTTTATATATATTTCCATATATAGGGAACATAGCAGGAGGACCTGAGAAGAGCTGCAGTTGATGGCAATTTCCATAGGAAAAACCTTTTTACATTGATAATAGGAAGGATCCAGTGCAGATACATTTTAAAAAATATTTTCTTGAGGACTGCAATCCAGTGGAGAGTTCCCTTGTGCAGCCACCATTCATTCAGTCTAAAAGAGGGTTGATGCCATTGCCATAAGCATTTGTTGTCTTGTGTTCTCCTCCAGTGGAAGCCTCCCAATATATTGGCAAAAGAAAACCCTGCTTTGCTTCTTCCCTGTGCCCAGAACACTGTGAGATTTTTTGGTCCTGAGAGACTTGCCAAGAAGTGACCGTTGTCATTGTCTTGCAAATAACACCCATCTGCTGCATGCAGTTCATAACACTGCTGCCTTGAAGGTTAAAATGAGGCAATAGGTGTGTACATACATACTGGGTTTTTATGATTTGGAAGAGGGAGAAGGCCGGCTGTGTAGTAAGCTGGTTATGCAACCATATTTCACTCAAGGAATGTTAATAAGAGGAGCTTAAAACCTTGCAGATAATCTCTACTAAGCAATGTGTAGAAAACTACCACCTTTTTTATAAGTTCAGCTGAAACTGCCAGTAACACAAATCAGTAAAAGTGTGTCTGCCTCTTGCCAAATGTTAAGCTGAAGTTCTTGCTACTACTTCAATGGGACAAGTCAAATATTGGGTTAGTCACTAATTTTGATCACATGAGCATCCCTACCAAAGACGTGTTCAGTGTGTGTGTCCTGTCCATTTCTACTTGACTGGAGGAATTCAGGGAGGAACTGATTGAGCAAGAAAAAGTGAAAAAGTCTTGTAAGTAAGCCCAGTGGAATATTAAAACAATATTTATGTAAAATGGCAGTGTACAGTGTATCTAGGAAGAAGGCCTTGGGGGTGGGATCGTGAGGGGGGTGGAATTAACTAGTTGGGACAATCTTTAAGAAGAATGTCACTTTTTACCTGATGTTTCCTTTCCCACTGGTTTCTATTTGTCTCCTGATTGCATTAATAGTATTACATTGGGTTGGGCCAGATTTTATATGCAGTTAATCTTACCAAGTTTTGCATAGGACACCTCATAGGGTACATTATTCCTTTTTTCCTTTTTTGTAAATTAAATATTCAAATAAAATTTTGGAACCATCTGCAGAGCCTGTTTGTGTGTGTGTTTTAAAGGCTTTATCACATACTGAGCTAGTTTTAAAAAACACACAAAACTATCTCAGAGTATGTGAGAAAGCCTTGGTCACTCCAACGCTCAATGAGGCATCCACAACCATTGGTAAGCCACATGGACAGCCCAATTCTAGCAGATTTCACCATCCAGGAAGGACTCTAAGGTCAAAGGAGCACATAGTAGACCTGACACCTTTGAGCACATTGTCTGCATCCTTGGGTACAACATAACACTGGTCAACAACAAATTTGTTGTCTGCGGTTTTTCAGTTGATTTAGGACGAATCTGATGCGCTGAATCCAAAAATTACATTGGTTTTGCTCAATCAGGTCAAGTTTTTGAGCTATGGCCACATGTCGCTTTTTTTACGTATTTGTTCACATGTACGCTTGTGTGGAACATTTTAGAAGAAGTTGGTGGGGGTAAAATGCCATGTTGAATAATTGTTTTGATTGGAAATGATTATTTTAATGACAAGAAGTATTCAGGTCCGATAGTTCTGGGTAATTATGTCGAAAAGGGATCAGTTTGAAGTCACAAAACCTCGAAATCTTCCATAAATTGGTGTGGCAAAGCATAAAGTTGCTTACTATGCTTATTTTGGTATTAAACTTGGTGACCAGGATAAAGCTTGTTGTCTGATCTTATGGTGTTTAGTGTCACTGGCTTTGGCCGCAATAAACTTGACTTGACTTGACTTGATAAAGCTTGGGTGCCACACATGGTGTGCAAGGCATGCACCGAGACTCTACGTGGGTGGACCAATGGCAAGAGGAATCTGAACTTTGGAATTCCCATGGTTTGGAGGAGCCGACAAACCATGTCACTGACTGCTACTTCTGCGCTGTTGATGTGACTGGGATCAACAGAAAGAACCGGAGCAGCCTCAAGTATCCTGATCTTCAATCAGCACGTCGTCCTGTAGCTCATTGTGATGAAATTCCAGTGCCTATCTTCGGAGAACTTCCTGACATTAGTGACGAAGATGCCTCCAGTGTTGAAGGACATGAAGAAGAAGAAGTGGTTCTTGAAGATGATGCTCCACATCCATTTTCCCAAAAGGAGTTGAATGATCTAGTTCGCGACCTCAGCTTGTCAAAGGACTCTGCCGAACTGTTGGCACCCAGATTGAAGGAAAAAAACCTCTTCTCTGACAGTGCTCGCATCAGCTTCTTCCGCAACAGGCATCAAGAGTACCTCCGTTTTTTCTCAGAAGAGAAGGACTTTGTGTACTGTGCAGATATTGCACAGCTTCTGCTGAAGCTTGGAGTGCCACAGTACGAACCCAAAGATTGGAGACTGTTCATTGACAGCAACAAACTATCACTGAAATGTGTTCTGCTACACAACGGCAACCAGTTTGCCTCTATACCCCTGGCTCACTCGAGTACACTGAAGGAGAACGATGAAGCGGTGAAGTATGTGCTGGAGAAAATTGGTTATGATCAGCATAAGTGGTTTATTTGTGTTGACCTGAAGATGGTGAACTTTTTGTTGGGACAACAGTCTGGCTTCACCAAGTACCCATGTTTTCTGTGCATGTGGGATAGTAGGGACTGTGCTCAGAGTTACACGAAGAAGGACTGGCCTGTGCGGGAGGAATTGGTGCCTTGCAAAGAAAGGAACGTCATCAACAACCCTCTGGTGGACAGAGATAGAATACTCTTCCCACCGCTGCACATCAAGCTCGGCTTAATCAAGCAGTTCACCAAGGCTCTGGACAAGGATGGTGACTGCTTCACTTACTTGTGCCAGGCTTTTCCAGGATTGACCATGGAGAAGTTGAAAGCTGGCATCTTTGATGGTCCTCAGATCCGTCAGCTCATCAGAGATCCAGAGTTCAGAAACTCAATGAACGAAGTGGAGCTGGAAGCGTGGAAGGCATTTGTTCTGGTAGTGAATAACTTTCTTGGCAACAATAAGGCCAGAAACTACGCAGAACTTGTCAACAACATGCTGACTGCTTTCAGAAACCTGGGCTGCAACATGAGCGTCAAGATGCACTACCTATTTTCACATATGGACCGGTTTCCTGAGAACCTGGGTTCAATGAGTGACGAGCAGGGGGAGAGATTCCATCAGAACATGAAAGAGATGGAGACCCAGGTATCAGGGTCGCTGGGACACAGTCATGATGGCTGACTACTGTTGGACTCTGAAGAGAGACCTCCCTGCCACTGAGCATTCCAGGAGTTCCAAGAAACGGAAGTTCAAGCCCTGAAGTTTGAAAAATGGTGAAGCAACATGCAATTTACGTGTACTTACCTTTATCAATGCCCACCATTCAGTTTACAGTAATCGATCTTTCTATCAGGTAATCAATATATGTTGTTGGAAAAACTTTTTTTCCCCTTAAAAACATATTTAGGATGATATGTGTTGACAAAAATCAGCTGATAATGCCACAAAAATGTAATCGATTTTGTCACAAGATCTGATTTTTTTCAAATCAACATAGGACAAAAACCTGACCTGATGGAGAGAAACGGATGCCATTTCCTGATTCAGCAGTGCAAAAATACCCTAAATCAGTTGTAGAAATCTAGACAACATTCAAAAAGTAAAAAATTGTTGCCCAGTGTAATCAGTGTGCTAATTCCACCCATCTCTAGGTCTGTATTCACTAGGGCAACTAAATTGGCCTGGGTATGAGCTGCTTTCTCTGCAAAATATGTAGCTAATACATCGTAGTGGGCTCAGTGTTATCCAGCAGAGCTTTTTAAGATGGCAAGTTGCCTTGGTGTAGTAGACATGTGGAAGGTGAAGGGGACTGTGGTCTAAACCACTGAGCCTCTTGGTCTTGCTGATTGGCAGGTCGGCAGTTCGAATCCACACGACGGAGTGAGCTCCCATTGCTCTGTCCCAGCTTCTGCTAACCTAGCAGTTCAAAAACACACCAGTGTAAGTAGATAAGTAGGTACCGCTGCAGCGGGAAGGTAAACGGCATTTCCATGTGCTCTGGTTTCCATCACAGTATTCCATTGCACTAGAAGCGGTTTAGTCATGCTGGCCACATGACCCAGAAAGCTGTCTGTGGACAAACGCCAGCTCCCTTGGCCTGAAAGCGAGATGAGTGTCGCAACCCCATGGTCGCCTTTGACCGGACTTGACCATCCGTCCTTTACCTTACCTAAATGGAGAAGCAGGCCCTAGAGCCCTCAAGGGCTGAACAAACTGACCAGTTGGTGTGATACCCCCTCCAATCTATAACTCTGGTACACTTGTCAGGGGGCTTGTTGTTGTTTAGTCGTTTAGTTGTGTCTGACTCTTTGTGACCCCATGGACCAGAGCACGCCAGGCACTCCTGTCCTCCACTGCCTCCCGCAGTTTGGTCAAACTCATGCTGGTAGCTTCGAGAACACCGTCCAACCATCTCGTCCTCTGTCGTCCCCTTCTCCTTGTGCCCTCCATCTTTCCCAACATCAGGGTCTTTTCCAGGGAGTCTGGGGGCTAGGATTGATGAACTTGGTGATATGACTAGGACACACACACACACATTCATGTTATGTAATTTATGAAATGGTTCACAACTGGTATATATGGAAGATTTGTGCTTGGCTTAAAGTCATTTTCAAGACCCCCTGTGTAAATATATTTTAAAGGTATATACTTTTTTTGTGGGGTGGATGAAGGCAGTATAGCTGTAAATACATTTCATTCTACCTGATGAAGCTTCCTATGTTGTTTCTGTGAAAAACCTGGGGTCCATTTTGCCTGTTTGGGAGAATTCCTCATCTGTCAGATTTAATGATAGCAGGGGGAAAAAGAGAGAAAATAAAGAATTTGGAAAACAGCGGGGTAGCTTACAGACAGCTTAATCAATGTGAATCACCCACCAACAACATGATTGTGTTTGTGTCCTCTGATTATTGTTGTATTGAAAAAGCTTGCTCTATTTTTTGAAAGTCTGTGGTATATTACTGATAGTTGGCAGCAGCTGCTGTGCAGAATAAACCCATTACATACAATGCTCCCTTGTTGCGTCTGTCATAGTTCTGCCTGGATAGGAAGCTTTTTAAAGCCAAGAACAACACATTTAACATGCAGAGTCACCTTTTCAATCTCTGGCTCCTACTCTCTGCTGCAAAGCAGCCATGGCTGAGGGCAGTTTTTGCAGCATACAGGATGGGCCCCTAACCAGTTACTTTTGCCCTAGCCAGCATTCCAGCTAGTGAGTTTGCTGTAGAAAAGGAACAGCTGTAATTATGATCTCTTGGGACATGATGGTGGTATTTTTGAGGATAGGCATCTTTACAATTACAGGTTCCTCTTCTTACCTTTAAAATGCACAAACACAGAGTATCTTCTGAAGATTGCAGAAGCCTGAAACTTGAAAGGATAGTCAGTGAAAACAGCCAGACCCTGTAAAACCTAGCTGATAGAAGAAAGTGCTATGAAGACATAAATCTCATATTGTAGCAGGCTGAGATCCCAAAAATGTGGCTTCACTAGTAAAGACCCTGGAATTTTTAACTGTTTCAACACAAACTTGCTTTTATTTGCTAGCACTGCCAATAAAATAAAGACTCCCTGAGGGAAAGGTTTTTGTTACATTCTGTGTTAAGAGTGAATACAACTCCCTCTGCTGTTTGTGTTCTTCCAGTACAACCACAAACTCGGTCTGACCCACCCTCCTTTACAGATTAACAGAATAAAATCCTGAAGGTTTCAATAGCCTGCGAAGAAAAACAGAGCGCAATCTTGGCTGTGGTGCTCAACACTGGGAGTAACCTAGCATAATTTTTTTTTTTCTTGAGAGAGTCCAGCCAATCTTAAGGCATTTCTGTGCTGCATTTTATAAAGCCCCTCTTTAAGCTGCTACTTTATTTTTAGCTTGCACAGATGGCAAGATTTAAGGGGATGGTGAAGAATGTTCTTGCATCCAATTTATTTTATATAAAGCCTTGAGGCTGAGGAGAATTGTTAAGGGGTGGGGGATGGGGAATCCATTACCCAATGTGTTTAATTTTCAAATGTGGTTTGGAACTGGGAAGAAATGAATCATGGTTTGGAGACTGCTTGCACCTACCTCAGTGGTGGGTTTGCACATCTTGCTCCTCCATTCTTTTCTTTCCCTTGCAGTCTTCCTTTTCCCTCCAGGAAAAATAAGAAATTTCAGATTTCAGAAGTGAAACCCTTGAGGCTGGTCAGCAGGAGACTGGGCTGCAACGAATGCTTCCCAAGCCAACCATTTCTGCTTCAGATGTTTCTGTTTCAGTGGATAGAAGTAATTACTCCCTGTTAAAGCAGGCTCATATTCAAAGCCATTTTGTTTCACTTAGAAAAACTAAACTAATTCAATAAATAGACACATTAAGCAAATTGGATTTTAACATGAAAGTTACTAATGAACAGCGTAAACAGAGTTAGCGGAAGAGAAGGGAAGTCCATAGTTGGCACCACTACTTTCCAAGCAGAAACATGAGCTTCCATAATGTGATTATGTTGGCCTTTTTTAAAATCAATGATAGCAAATGATTAGCGGATTTCAGTTATGCTTTTAACCAGTTGAGTAAATAATTTATAAACGGCACTGCTGGATGAAAATTGGTTAAAGTGCTTTTGAATTGTCTAAATCAACAGCTATGTGACCAGTGGCTTCTCAGCAGATGGTTTAAGATGATTTAATATGACAAGTGAATTATAATGCGATCCAATGCTTCAGTTGCATGGTCTGGAGGGCTTTAGGATCTGCTCTAAGTCTCCAGGGATGGAGTATTTTGGATGTGCTACAGCCAGAGACTCTGCTGATGGATTGCCAAGGGGCTGCAAGGCCAACACACCCCACAAATAAAAGGGTAGGGGAGAAGGCTCTTGACAAATTTCACAAATCTGTTACTACTCCTGTGCAGAATGATGTAGTCAGTCAGATGGCATGAGGTGGAAGGGGAATGTGGGCAGCAATGCTTGTTTGGGCAACGATCAGCAGGTCCAGGCAAATCAGAAAGGAAAGGTGTGGCTGGATAGAATCACAGAATCATGGAAATGCAGAATTGGAAGGGACCTTGAGGGTCATCTTGTCTAACTTCCTTCAGTGCAGGAAACATAGGACAGAAACTATATAAGAACATAAGAAGAGCCCTGCTACATCAGGCCAAAGGCCCATCTAATCCAGCTTCCTGCTCTTCCAGCAGCCAACCAGAAGACCACGCCCAGCAGCATTCTCCCCAGTTGCAATTCCTAGCAATTCGTATTTAGAGGCCTATCGCCTTTGGTAGTGGGAGCAGGAGACAGGCATCAAGGCGAGTAGCTAGAATGATGCTTAAAAGCCAACCTGGGGGATATGAGAACCAGGCCATCAGTCCATGCAGTGGTCCCTGTGCTCTAGCACCTCCCAGCCTTTTCTTAGTGGGAAATCATAGCCAGGCTTTGCACCTGACCTGGGATCTCCTGCAAGAAGAAGACATGTTGTTTCAAAGCAGCAGGGTTGGTTGTGCAGCTCTTTTTGTCCATATACAGCTGTGGGAAGGTATTCTCCCATGGTGCATCCTTCCCTGAGCTGCTGCGTCTCATCTATCCTACCTCACTGTGGTGGTTTTCGTTTGTTTGGTTTTTTGAGGATACAATGGAATGAGGGAGAACCGTGTGTGCAGCCTTGAGCTCTCTGGAGGAAAGACAGGATATCAGTGTAGCAAATAAACAAACAACTGGCATGGCTGCTGGGGGAGCAGCTGGTGTTGCTACATTCCCTGTGGTTTGGTGTGCTGCCAATTCCTTCTCAGGTAACTGGAAGCATTGTAAACTTGCAAGGCAGGTTCATTGGCTACCCAGAACACCAACAAACTGTCAGGCTTACAGCTCAGATTAATTTTGTTCATGAATGGGATAAGTGAGGGGAACTCATTGTAAATTATAGTGTAATGGGTTCCAGTCCAATCTCCTTGTATAATTAGAGCAGAATAAAAATAGCCCAGCATGTTTTCAGGTGTGTTTTGAAACGCTCAGACCAGTAGTTCCTGGAAAGTACAAGGATGGCACTTCATAGACTTTCTTCCACTTTCCCCTACAATTTGTACTTTGATAGAACAAATTGCTGTAGCGATTGGACTCATCTGTCCCATTGTCAGTCAAATTCTCACTAATGGATTGTGGCCTCTTTAGGTATTGCTCCTAGCATTAGCTATAATTCATTTTGTTGTTGT